TATATGCCCGATTGGTCCTATAAGACGGCTATGGATTAACGCCTTGGACCGCGACGAGACGACCAGCGACGGAGTAGGAGGACCACAAGGATACGAGGTGGTCGAGAAGATCTTGCAATATAACCGGACTCTGCCAGAGCTGGAAACCTGGAGGATACGGGCTCGGTCTGATCAGGACAACGACAAGGATTGGAGACTACAAGATGGGTACCTAACGTACCAGAACCGTATTTTCGTTCCCGACAAGGACGACTTACGAACTTGTCTAGTATCGGAACACCACGACCCCTTAGTCATGGCACACCCGGGCCAGAACAAGGTCCGCCGCCTACTCGCCAGACAGTACTATTGGCCGGGGCTCCATGGATTCGTGGATCGGTTCTGTGCGAATTGTTGGACCTGCTGAGCCAGTAAGGTCCCTCGCCACAAGACGCCGGGGTTGCTACGCCCCCTCCCTATACCAGATCGGCCGTGGCAACATGTCGTAATGGATTTCAAGGAGTTTCCCCCTGATCAGGATGGATTTGACAACGTCTTTGTGGTAATAGACCGCCTAGGCAAAAAGGCCTTCTCATTACCGTGCCACCGAACGGTAACAGCCACGGAGACAGCCTTACTGTATTACGACCATGTGTGGCGAATCTATGCCTGGCCCGACTCGATTACATCTGATCGAGGGCCCCAGTTCATATCGGCCTTTTGGGATGAGCTTTGTCGCCTGGCCGGCGTAAAGCACCACTTAGCATCAGCCTACCATGGTCAGACATCGGGACAGGTAGAGATTATGAACGAATACATCGATCAGCGTCTGAGGCCGTATGTGAATAGGTACCAAGACAACTGGGCCCGTATGTTGCCGGCACTGGATTTGGCCCAGGCAACAATGCCACACGAGTCAACGGGACTCTCCCCGTTCCGACTGGAACTAGGATATGAACCGCGAATGCATTTCGATGTAACGGCTAGGCTAGATCAAAGCAAGATGAAGCCTAAAGAGCGCCTTACTCGTAACGAAGCGGCTGCGATGGCAGGGCGCATGCATGAAGGATGGGAGTTTGCGAAACGAGCAATGGCCAAAGCCCAGGAACGTCAAGCCCGACAGGCAAACAAGAAACGGCGGGAGCCTGATTGGGACATTGGTGATCGAGTCTGGCTATCTAAGAAAGGCTGGAATACGGATCGACCATCTGACAAGCTAGATTTCCCGAATGATGGTCCTTTCGAGGTAGAGGCTCGGATAGGGCATTCCTACAAGCTAAAGTTGCCTGATCGGCTCAAGGTCCATAACCAGTTCCCAGCAGACCGTCTCCGGAAGGATCCAGATAACCCGGTTCCCGGCCAACGCCGACAGCCGCCGTTACCAGTAGTAGTTAATGGGGAACACGAGTGGTACGTGCCGAAGATCATTTCGTCACGAATCCATCGGGGCAAACTCCAGTACATGGTAGATTGGCTAGGGGCGGACCCGTATGATATATGGTATAATGCCAGGGGGTTCAAGAATGCCGTATCAAAACTCCGTGAGTTCCATACGGAATACCCAGAGAACGCTGGACCACCAGCACGGCTAGCACAGTGGCAGAAGGCCTTAGAAACGGGGTACGACGACCCTGATCACCCCGAGGATGATAAACCTCTACAAGGGGGAATCGACCGACAGCGTCGGCGAAGATCGAATAAGTGAGAATGCGGGAAACGGAAGAGGCTCGCGGGCGACCCTCTTCGAGGGGGGGGTGATGTGACGACTGACACATGGACGATAAGCAGGGACATCCTGACATGGCCTGCCCTGATCTGGACGAGCGCGTTCCCCTTATAATAGGAGAACGGCCAGATATACTTGTAACCCTTTCCTTCTCTTTCTTCCCTAGTTTAGTATTCAACAATAGAGATGCACTGATATGCAACCTTGATTCGTACCTATGTGCCTCTGCCTCGTTACAGTAGGGGTGTTCACAGTAGTTCATTGATCTCTGCCCTCTCTATCTTCCTCCGTCTCGACTCCTTACTTATAGCCAGCCGAGGTTCTCTCTTGGATTCTGGATGTTTGCTTCCGTATGTCTGTGTTCCTCCGACTTCGGCCAATATCTTGGATAGCGGCTCCTTATCTGCAACCAAGCGATTCCCTATCCGCTGCAAACGGCTTCGACGGCTCTCATTCGCCACAAGCGGCTCTCTAGCCGCCACAAACGGCTTCCTACCTGGTGGAAGCCGGCCCGCCTCGGATGCACTTGTGGCTCTGACACATCTCGGATGAGATTAAGCCTATCGCGAACCCTATCTCGTCGAAGTTATAGATATCCGCCTCTTGGATACCATATTTCGCAATTGTATTTCGTACGAGCGTAAACCACGCGCGATACGCGTCAGGATCTTCGCAATAGGCTCGTTGGTAGTCGATTCTTCGATTAAAACGCGTCCGAAGGTCTGGTTGTCTTTGTACGAAGTTCGAGGCCCAGTTTGTGAAGGTCAACCCTCGCAGACTCACTACAACCAGGTGACTTACAGCTGGAACACCTGCCATGGCAGTGCCAGATGGGAAGCCAATCATAACCCCTGCAGGAGCGTGGACGACTTAGTCGCGCTCCCTCAAACCTAAGTTTGTGATCTTCTTTCCTTCGCTCCTTAGAGTAGAATCTTCGTCGATAGCACCTAATTGAGGTCTCTACCAATGCGATGCAACCCAGGTCGTGACACAGTTGACGCCGACGCGTCCAGCGCCACGGTCACGGAGCAGTCGGTTAGCCATAGCTTCAACACCATGGAGCCGGGGAGGAAATGATCGCGAATCTAGGTCAAGTATGTATTGTACGACCGCTAACTCTTCTGATTCCGTAAGCTTATGACTAGATTGTCGAGTATCGCGTCGAGATAGTAGTCCGCGTTTTCGGTTAGCTAGAGTTGTACGAGGGACATTGTAGAGTTGGGCAGCGCTTTGGATGCTTAATTCGGGTTTCGATTGAAGCGCCTGACACGCTAGAATCATGTCGCTTTCTTTCCAATTCGATCCCATCTTGGTATGTGTAAAGATTAATTAAAAGGTTGTTCGTACGGTGCCAAGAAAAAGTGGCCAACTTGCTTGTGGGGTACGTTAGCTCTAATAGATAAGCTTTATTGCGTTCGATTCGCTACTTAAATTCGTCCGAATTGTATTCCACTAGATTAGCTAATTTGTATGTAGTTGGAGAGCTATTACGTAGTAAATAAGAGACACACTATTATAAAGGCGTATAATTTCCCTGCAAAATGGGGTGCGTGCAACAAGGTGGTTAATACGATTACAAGACTCAGGCTACACCGGGAACTAGGACATGCAGGTCGACTTTATCCGTTATTTACCCTGTCAAACAATCTTAAAGTATGAGCACAGCAGTCTGACGTGGTTTTCTTCGGCTGGAGCGCTTTAATGAAAACTGTGGTCTACGTTGGTCGACATCCGGGGTTTAGAAAACCAACTACCCCTAGCCAGGAACTGTAATAATTGTATCCTCTGCTGCTTGTGAATAGATGGGCAAGCCACTGCAGTTGCTTCTGGAAGAGGATGGCATCAGAAATTTACACGTCACTGATAGGTGCATTTGTTTCTCCTTACAGGCATTACTTATATGCTGAATGGTACAATGCATCTTAGGGTGTACATTCGTCGATCGAAATCATAGTCTTCTATCTTGTATTGGTTTGACCCACCATGCCGGTCATAGTCACCTGAAGGTTGAAGAATAAAAAATAGAAGAATGAAGGAAGATGATAAAAGTCCCGCTAAAATCCCAGAGCCGGGCAATGTATGCACAACCGGATGAGGAAATGAGACTTATTATTTTTGTGATTGAATTCATCCATAGAGGTAGTCATAGTTTTGACAGATTAAAATCTACTGAAATAGCAACTTTTTCCTTGGTAAATAGCAAGACATCTATTCTTGGGGCACTGTCATAAATAAGGCCGACAGGTAATGGCTCCTAGGGTGTAGCTGAGGTGACAGGTCTGATTAAAGCTGGAATTTGTGCTACAGAACATGTCGAAGTGCTGTTAGTTCGTTACTGTCGGAATCCAAGTACTAGGGGCTGCATTGGTACTATGAAGGTGTGAGGGACTAATCCCAGGTTGGCCTTGAGGGATCCCTAAATACTGCAACGCGTGCCTGCCTGCCTCTACCCTTCCACGCCTGAGGCCACAACTTCCTAGAGTTATTGGCCAAGTTCATAAACTCAATCTTCGCCACCAAGTTACTTTCAAAGATGTTCTGCTGGGAGACATAAATAGTGCCGTTGAAATACGACACCGAAGCCGGGAGAGTGGTTAAGCGAAGCTGATCGTTCAGACCCTAGAATCCGTACTGTGAAACATTTGCACAACATCGGCTGTTCTTCGCATAAGATGAAGAGTAGTGGTCACCTCCAGAATCAAAAAGGAAAAACAGATCTGGATGCTGGCCTTGAGAAGTCGAGAGAATATGCAACCGAGCAATAAGTGACAATTTGAGCCTGCTCGTATGCTTGGGGTAAAAATGTGGGAAATCTTCCAGACAAGCAATGCAAGTAGCTCCCAAATCTCCCATGAATAACGTGCACTGCCATAAGATTCTCTAAGTTGGTAAACAAATAGAGTGAGGATGGATCATGGACTGTATGAGGCTCGACCGCTTACTTGGAGAGCGGTCGTACAAACTCAAGGTAGAAGGGGGCTTTAAGTGTGCACTGGCGATAACCTAGATACGGTCAACTGGACCTTCTCTTTCTGCCACTAGAGCATCCATATTGACCTAATATTCTTGTTGAGAGGTGTGGCAGAAAAGAAAAACTTGAAAGTAGCAACGACATAGATGCCAACCAAGCGTTCAAGGCTGGGAAGAAGCGTAGGTTGAAAGTAACCTGTGAATTAACTGGAACCCCCGTTCGCGAACCTCCCCGCTGCAGGTGCACGACCCACTAGTATAGACCCACTTATAACGGCCTTATCGCAACTTTTTGGACCGATAAGAGCCAAAAATATTTCCACCTCTCAACCTCGCAACTCCAATTGCTTCAAGTTTCACAGTGGCAGCAGCATTTGAAAATGGAGTCGGTTGCTCACAGCAAGAAGAGGAAGTTCAAGGACGCCAATGGCTCCAAAAAATTGGTTACCAAACAGACGATTGTCTCAGCTCAAACTCCACCTACCCCCAAGGCGAAAAAGTTGAAGCGTGCCAAACCAGAGATCGACATCCGTGAGGCATTCACAAGCGAAGAAGACGACGACGAAGAGGTCGAAGCAGACGAAGAGGAGGCAGACGATGAGCCAGAAATTGACGCAGCAGAGAGCGAGGAAGAGGACTCGGCAGCATATGAGGATAACGAACTGAACAAGCGGATTACCTCGGTGAATGTCGAGGATGGTGACGATGCCGTCGCCAAAGTTGCCGGTTTGCCCGATGGAAGCAGTCTTTCCTTGCCAACAACGGTCAACGAGAACGCACAAAACTTCTCCGACCTGAAGCTTACCGAAATGACCATGAACGCCATCAAGGACATGGGCTTCACATCAATGACAGAAATTCAGCGCAAGGCGATCCCGGCACTGTTAGCAGGACGAGACGTTCTGGGTGCGGCCAAGACAGGTTCAGGAAAGACGTTGGCCTTTTTGATCCCGGCCGTGGAAATGTTGAGTGCTCTTCGTTTCAAGCCGAGAAATGGTACCGTGAGTGTTCTTAAGCAACGTATCACGCGTTGCTGCTTGAAGCAACCGTTGGCTGATACACAACTAGGGCGTGATCGTGGTGTCACCCACCAGGGAATTAGCACTTCAGATCTTCGGAGTCGCAAGAGAGCTTATGGCGAACCATTCCCAGACGTATGGCATTGTAAGCAACTCGTACTGGCTGTCAAGGCATTTGAGGTAGTTGCTAAATTGGTAGTTTAGGTCATTGGTGGAGCGAATCGAAGGGCCGAAGCCGAAAAGCTCTCCAAAGGTGTCAACCTTATTGTGGCGACGCCCGGAAGGCTATTGGATCACTTGCAAAACACCCCAGGTTTTGTCTTCAAGAACCTCAAATCCCTCGTAATTGATGAGGCCGATCGGATTTTGGAAATTGGATTTGAAGACGAAATGCGCCAGATCATCAAGATCCTGAACTCAGGGGAGAAGGATAGGCAAACAATGCTCTTCAGCGCAACTCAGACCACTAAAGTTGAGGATTTGGCACGAATTTCTCTTCGAGCTGGTCCTCTGTACATCAATGTCGACGATACAGCGCAATTTAGTACAGTGGAGGGACTGGAACAGGGTTACGTTTTGTGTGAAGCAGACAAACGCTTCCTGTTACTGTTCTCTTTCCTGAAGAGAAATATGAAGAAGGTAAGTCCCACTCTTCGTCTGCTCGAGGAGTAGATTATGCCCAACTGAGGCGTCTTGGAACATTGGTTCCTTCTAGATGCTTGCCCCAGGTATTCTTTCAAGTTTTACTGACTACCCAATCACGCAACAGAAGGTCATTGTCTTTTGCTCCAGTTGCAATTGCGTTAAGTACTATGCTGAGCTCTTGAACTGTAAGCAACCCTCCTGAGCGCCTATATTACTTTCCTGGCTTGCCATTAGCAGAATGCTTCACGGAGCTCACTGGGACTGTAAAATACGATGTTGTTTTTTCTTACGAGCCCCAAAGATACGCTAGCAGAAACAATTGGCTGATTACTTCGTTGCAGATATCGATCTTCCAGTTTTGGATTTGCATGGAAAACAGAAGCAACAGAAAAGAACGAATACTTTCTTTGAGTTTTGCAACGGTACGTCAAACATCCTTGTTCTCTTCGATATTGGTGACGATCTAGTGCTGACTACTTTATATTTAGCAAAGCAAGGTACCCTCATTTGCACCGACGTGGCTGCTCGAGGCCTTGACATTCCCGCTGTAGACTGGATCATCCAGTTTGACCCTCCTGATGGTAAGTCAACGCGTGATGACCCTTGTTTCGTTCATCAAATACCTAACCTACGAGCAGATCCTCGAGACTACATCCATCGCGTGGGGCGCACTGCCCGTGGCTCAAACACCAAGGGTCGCTCCCTTATGTTCCTCCAGCCCAGTGAATCCGGGTTTCTATCACACCTCAAGACGGCGCGAGTGCCTGTAGTTGAATTCGACTTCCCCAAGAACAAGATTGTCAATGTTCAGTCACAGGTATGTTCTTTAGACGCCTGGTGGAATTTACAAATGCTAACCTACAAACAGTTGGAGAAGCTCGTTTCTCAGAACTACTACCTGAACAAGTCTGCGAAAGAGGGCTTCAGATCATACATTCACGCGTATTCCAGCCATAGTCTGCGGACTGTCTTCGATATCAACAAGCTGGATTTGGCCAAAGTAGCCAAGAGCTTTGGATTCAATGCCCCGCCGAGGATTGACATCCAGTTGGGGGCCAGTATGAGTAAGGACAAGAAGGCTCAAGGACGACGAGGCTACGGCAGCCAACCGAAACAACCCTCGCGGCAAAGCTACAACCAGCGATGAGATGCGGGGTGTTGAGCGATGGCATGAGTTGTATTACATTGATTCCATGGTCGGATATGCCCACTGGCGTTTGCTAAACAAAACAATGAATTGACAATTGAACCCTGCAAATCCATTGTGCAAGTTCTTTCCAAGCGCACCATGAACAACTGAGTAATACTTTGCTGGTTGTCAAACTGAACTGATGGTCGATTATTGCTCCAGCGCTGCTCCAGCTGTGTATATGAAGAAGTAAGACAATGTGATACTATAAATGGTAGCCATCTTGCAACCCCTACTCCGTTCAATTCAGTCTACTGTCATGGGCATCCTCTAATGCCATCAGTAACAAGAACCATGTCGGTGGGAGGCTGTCGCTTTCACGGATGTGTGGGCCAACTTCTAGATTATGACCTCTTTTGCCTACCCATATCCACCCCGTCCCTACCTCAAGCTTCGCTCGCAATTTTGGAAACGTCGGTCTGTATAAGTAGTGACAGATGAGAAGCAACTTGCCGTAGAAGCTAACGGTCCTCTTCCCAACGCTCAGAGCCAGCATTCCATTTCCACTGGAGAGATGGTCTTAATCATTCAGGCTGAGGGATTTTGGGCTTCTGAAACATAATAATACACAGCCCAACCCAAATCCTTGTAACGTGACCGTATATGGTCCTAACTGCCGAAAAAGCCGGTCATGGCTCGCACATGGAATGGCTTGAACCGTGACTCGCAAAGAGAGGGATTGATTGCCATGTTATTAGCGTCTGCCATCCGAAGTCTGAAATTCCTCCCGTGGTGATGACCTGAGGCAGAAACATCCGATTTGAGTTGCTTAAAATGTGAGCGACCGACACTAGGCACCTTCCCTTTGGGGAAGCTGAGAAGGGTCCACCGGGCTGCGCCGGGGAATTTCAGCGATCGGCGGGAGGCCAAACATCCCAGAGGTTCCAGCCAAGAAAACACACGTAAATCCTTCATCCCGCATTCACGTCTTGGTCCATCACACGAACACATCCTCCCTCTATATTTTCAAGTAGCAGAAACATTTGGCCTCTAGAGACGCAAGGTTTTTGCGAGCGAAACCAACGAACAATTCAACAACGCCTCGAAGTCCGCACCCGCAGTCTTAGACCGCAGCTGTCAGCCAAACACACCTCCCAGCCAAACCAACCTTAAGATGCGCTTCTTCACGACCGTTGTCGCAGTCCTCGCTGCTGCCCACGGCGCTTTCGCCGTAGATATTCAAAAAGATATTATCATCACATTCCCATCGGGAACGGCCGATGACATTGTCAACCGTGCTATGGTCGATATTCGCAAGGCGGGTGGCATGATCACGCACGAATACCAGCTTATCAAGTACGATCCCTTTCGCCTACAGCGACATTGGAGCTTCGCTTGCGATAAACGTTGAATATCAGGATACTGACTGTTCTCAGGGCTTTCGCAGCCAAGGCACCGCAAAAGGTGGTCGAGTCGGTGACGGCATGGAGCGCTGAATACAATGCCGTGATTGAAGAGGACAACATGGTCAAGATTTCCAACGACATCTCCTAGGAAATCTTCTTGGTTCCTGCCAACAACGAATCGCACCTTCTTCTCTCTGGGCCAACGATACAGAGGAAAGATAAGCGATTTGTACGAACCCCTTCACAAACCATGATGGAAACGAAGGATAAATACCATCGCTTGAGGCGATGCTTTCGAATATGGGCCGCAGAAACAGCCTTCTTGCGGATTGATTTTGGTGTTAGGAGGCTTTGGGGTTTGGCTGGATAGGACACAGTGTTTAGAATATAAATATAGTCTGTTTATTACAGAAAATGGAATACGGTGCTATGAGGCGCATACAAAATGGACCTGTTCTGCCCGAGCCACTTTACAGATGGGCGGCAGATCGTCAAGGTGCTGCGGGATAGACAGGGATAATATCCCCAATTGATGCTAGTGCTTGGCAGATACTACGAAGATGGAAGAACAGCTCGTAGCGGCCAGTATCAACACGTGTGATCACGGCTTCCTCTAGACTGTCATTCGCAGGAGGTTGCCGAGACTTGCTCGCAACCCAGCTCGTAGGATTTCCGTCAGACTGGACCCAGAAGTTACAAGAGCCGACATTGATGAGTGATGCCCATTCACCACTCGGGTGGTTGTCAATTTGTCTAGAGTCTTCTATTCATGGCAGAATAACTTGGGGATGGATGCTGTTGGAGTTTCGGATGTCGATTACAGATTCATGATGCAGTTGCGAATTCTGGGGTTTCACCCAAGCCCCAGACTCCATGAACATCCACGTTTTCATACCTAATCCCACCAATTTAAGTGCCCTGTAGTCATAGATAAGATTGCCAATCAATCATGAAGACGTGAATCTGCACCACGACAAGAACTATTATAGTCGGGTTGTTAGTACAACGGCCGACCAAGGGCATAACCCATGATACATTGCTGGATAGGTGAGTGATTTCACATTATGGGCTATCATGGTCAGCTTTGCAAATCGTAGGACTTGAATGCATGAAAAGGGGAGTGCCGAGGGGACCACGAAATGTTTTCCGCAATGAAATCAATCTGGTAGTTTGGCACCCATTCTGTGATGCAAGCAATCGTGGAAGGGCGTATCTTGGTAATGATTACACTTAGAGGATGCTGAAGTGGACTTATGGGAATCCCTAAGGAAATAAACATCTTCAAGTACAAAGTAAACTGGCATCTCCAGCCAATTCTCATCATTGTCCTCAGGACAGAACACCAATACCTCCAGGGATAGAACCACGAGCTCCAGCCAAAGTGACATTGGGAAGCTCTCAAGTTGTTAGACTAAGACGAGAAGTGATGAAGGGCTATCTGTATCCTGCGCATCCGTAATACCGTGTCTAAGGTGATACCTTTAAGTGGCAGGGTAGGTGGTCGTCTAGCAAGAGCCTCTCTTTCATCGTTTATAAATGTGGATTTGATGGGCTTTTGATAAGTAATGCCCAGTTAGGCCCCCAGACTTATAGAAGCTATATTGGCTGCAACCGATGGTGACTGGCCTAGCCTTAAGTATCTTACATATAATAGTAGCTTGGCACAATGAAGGAAGTCTAACTGTGGAGCAATTGTATTATCTTCTCAACGCTACAGGTTCTACAATGGTGCTCAAGCCCCGAATCTACTTCGAATTCGGCTGGGGTTGGAATGTACTTGTTCTCGGAATTTCATTGGTTGTTCGTGATAAGTAGCTTCAATCATAGAACCTAACAAGGTTAACTTAAGTACCAAACACAATTCGCAGCTCCCTGTCGGGTGCATCTGCATTCCTGATCGATTCCATTGTTGTTGATGTAGTCCAAGGGATGGCAGGGCAATCTGGGGACACAGTTTTAGATCACGTAACCTCTGTGTGCGCATTGGATACCCGCCAGCACGTTGTCGCCTTGTTCAGACTCTCAAGCATATCCGCATCGGCTTGAGCATATTAACTTGCAACCCATCCCAGAGCTTTGGAGCTTCAAGCTTGGAGCACCGAAAGTACAGCCACGAGGAGATATGGCGGAGCAAGGCATGAGGCTGCAGCCCCTGGCTGCGGGTTGTCCCTGCTGACAGCTTGCGATGGCATGCAAACAACGGGAATGATTCGACAGACACATAAATGTGGATATGTCGAATATTGCAGGACTGTTCGACAGTGGCTACCGTGGGTCTTTCGGGATCTGGCGGTTATGCTGCAATAGCGGTCTGATGAACTCTTCTAACCGAAGAGGTCAAAGCACAGAATGCTCGAGTGCCAAAGGGGAACTTCAAGCAGTCAAGTTGCTGCTGAAGACCTGGCCAGAATGGAAACTCTGGACAATTGAAGTGAAACAACAAGCCGTGATATTAGTCATTTAACCAGCTGTGTTGTGTAATAAAAGCCAAGACCACTGTGTGCTTACATACTGCACAGTGACGACTCCCTTGCGATTAGTAATCATTGGGAATAGCGACACGGACGATCCTTCGCCAGGATAAGCGAATTGCTGATGCGTCCTCCAAACAACGTTTTATCATAAATTAGAAAGGAGCATGAGCCAGCCGATCTTGGTGGAAGGTGTATTCGGAAACTCCGCACAGACTCGGCAGAGGGCCTAGATAATCTAATAAGAAAAGGATGCAGTTCGAGTTGAGATCAGCGACATACCGCTATACAACGTGGCCCCTTAGGTGGTTTCCAATTTAAAGCCTGAGGCTACTTGTTTGGTCTCTAAAGCCTGCCGAGGACTCATGAAATGGAGAACGTCATAGAATGCGGTGGATTCTGACGGTACTTAAACCTATTTAGGTAGGCTACACGTGAAGTTTAGTAGTAAAGAAGTACTGCATAAAGTTGATCTTAAAACAGAAGGGTTAGTTCAGGGGTAGGGAGGGTAAGGGGGGACGCGAGAGCACCTTGAGGCTTGGAATATGGTTTTTACATTTACTTTTTGTAACGTTGTGTGTTGTTGAAGATGTCAGTATTTGTGATATTGGTGACGATACTTAAATACCGTCAGAACCTTGAAGAGTACTATCACATTTCGGGGCCCCTAGTGGTACAAAGGGGACGCTAAATTTGAAAATGCTGCAGCAAGCTTGGGCGACCAACCCCTGTAGATGCTAGGTTTCGACTTGATCGATAAGGACCCGTGTCGGCGGTCTTGTATTGGTAGTAGCTCCAATTGAATGCATGCTCGTCCTCGCTTCAATTATGAAGCATTGAATGAAAAGACGATCACAGGACTGGAGCTTCGGGATAACTAAGGCTTCATGCTTGACTCGACAATCTCCATTCATGCCCACAATGGAGTTACAAGGCGTCCTGTAGCCTTGCTATCATCGCCCAAGTCTAGCGATAACTTTCTAGGAGGATGTCATTTCAGTTATTTCCACCCCATGTATCAAAAGATCACGAACTTATCACCGTCAACACACAGACCCCCTCCTCTGACGTATAACGAACTACCACCCTCTCGCCCTCTTGCTCCAACGGTCCAAGACTCCGTGGTTATTGATCTTGTCGATGCTCAGATTGTGGATCCACTTGCGTACCAAACCTACGGATACATAGCAGTCCTTCGCCTACACACGTCCTACATCTACCAGCCATCAGCCATTGCGACATCTCACTCTGAGGATGCCACGCATTAAATTTCCCAAGGAGCGGCAAGATGCCTTGCTGGTCTGGGCCAGGCGAATGATCGCAGACGGGAAGCAAAGGCCAGGCCCCGAGCGAACCGAGGACCTTTACGACGGCGCCGTCTTCTCCGACCTCCTCGAGATCCTCGACGATCAGTACAACCCCTCTGAGCTGCAAGCAAACCTCGCAAACACTCGGCCTGTCGAGAATAGGAGGCGGAACCTGCACGTTATTCATTTAGCCCTGAGAAGCCTGGTGCGGACCCATTGCGCCGACGTCGAGATGTTGATCAACGACATCAATTTCCAAGCCCTGGACAAAGAGCCCCAGAATGAGGGCATGTCACAGATCCTGGCCGCTTTCCTCGTAGCGAGCGTCAATTTGGCAGACAAGGACCTGTCTAGGAGCTTACTGCAACACATGCAGTCAGCACCCCAAGATGCTCAGACCATTCATCATTTGTGGTCAATCCTGAAAGAGGCCCAGGATAAGATTACACGTGCCAAAGATACACCGTCCGAGTCTAATCAAGCATCCAGCGGGCACGATGACGAGCTTGCCAGGGAGGCAGAGATCGTCCGGCTTCGTCGCGAATATGAACACGTCAAACGGCAGGGCGCCGACTACAAGACTCAGTATGACCGCCTGCTCGAAAACCATGCCGAGCTTGTTGAACGCCAGCGCATGCTGCAACAAGAGAAGGATGATCTAGCAACATTGGTGGAAAGTAGCATGCTTGGCTCCGAGCAACAAGCTGGTCTGAGAAAGGAGTTGAAGGAGAAGATCGACCTCATTGACCAACTCGAGGCACAACTGCACGACACCAACCTAGAACTGCATCGAGTCAAACAGGTGGCAGTAAAGCTCGAGGCCGAAGTAAATGAGCTCACCATACTCAAGGACGAGAACCAGGAATTGAGGATGCAGAACGATGTTCTGAGCAAGAAGGCAAACGCTGCCGCTCATCTCAAGCAAAAGCTGGAGAAACTCACCGGCCTGGAAAAAGAGATCGTTGATCTCCGAAAGGAGAAGAACGAGTTTTACGAGTCACAGATGCAGTTCATTAATGCAGAGAAGGTCATCGCGCAATACAGGGCCGAGAGTGACTCGTATGCGCAGAAAATACATGCCTACGAGGTTCAGGTACATGAGTACCGCGATCAGAAGACTGCCTGGACGCTGGAGAACCAGAGGTTGCAGAGGCAGATCGAATCCTTGGATGTGAGGGCCAAACACGACGAGGAGCTCATCAGAGAGCTACAGGAGAAGAACTTGCTGTCCGCGCCAGGTACGCCCTCGGCTCCTGCGCACCAGACTCTAAGTCTCGAGGACGAGCTCCGCGACACGAATGAGCCGTCCTTAAAAGATCTCGAGGTATCCCGCCTCCAAGCCGAGATCGCGCTTCTCAAGAGCAGTATCGGCACCGAGACGGAGAAGGGCCAACTCCTCCAAGAAATCGAGAACGAACGGGAGTCGCGCAGGGCTTTGCAGGACAAATTCAACGAGCTCTTCGAGAAGCACACAGTCGGGGAACATTCTTTGAGTGCACTCATTAACAACATGAGTGATGAAGGGTTGGTCAAATCTCTTCAAGCTCCTTTCCATGTCAATAGCGAGTCAAACGTACTGACAACACCGGCTTTTATCAGGAACGATGCCTACTCCAATATGCAGAAGCAGATGCTTACTGAGGAGAACCGCGCCAACCAGCTAGCACGTGAACTTGAAGCCGCCCAGGCTGAGATCAAGGACAAAGAGCGTGACGTGCTCGAAGCTCGTAGCGACCGTAAGATTTTGTACTCGAACTAAGCACTCCGTGAAGATGATGTTGACGTTGAGGACAGTCGAAGCTCTCACGAAAGGCGGACAAGACGTCCTTGCCGAGCTCAAACAGGCGGACGGCATGCTGGCTGTCTCGTTGCGCTCCGAGCTTGACGCACTGCGCCGTAGCTATAAGGACCTAAAGTCCAACTTCGACTCTAAGCTAGAGCAGTTGGTTACGGCCTTCATCGAAAAGGATAAGTTGCGTAAGGACAATGAGACAGCCACTGCGGAGCTGCAGAAGGCTGCAGATGGCCAGTACGTCGACCCGAATGTGGTCAAGACTACCGAGAAGATGGAGAAGCTGCGCGCTCGTTACAAGAAGCTGAGTGAGGTGAGTGGTTCCTTTATATCATTGAGTCCCACGAATATCATTGCGTCGCCATGCTCCTCAGGATCCCGGAACCCAAGACTGGCCGGTCTTATGCAATGGCGTCAGAATCTAAGCCGGCTAGGTCAACTGGTTTACGGCTAGGACATGATCCGCATCACGCTCTTCTAGCACTTCATTTTATATTTCGCCAGACCTATGTTTGGGAGTGGTTAACTAACTAACTTGAACCCGAACAGCAACTGGAAAAATCCGAACAGAGTCGCCACGAGCTCGACAAAATGCTCAAGGCCGTTCGTGACGGTACTGCCGGTGATGCACAGAAAGTATGTCATGTTTGTTCAACTTCTCGCTGTCTTGAGATCAACCGACCTTCGGTGCCCGAAAAGTTTTATTCTCACCCCAACAAGGCATGCCTTCTCCTAGATGCTCATATTATTTTCATGTTACATTAACATGCAGGATGAACACACGGATATGTGTGCTCACTCCTTTTGATGACTGGCCATTTTGGGCGCAATGACCTCGTACGAGAAGCTGACAACACCTCGAAAATAGATACATCAAGATCAAATCATCAAGAATCTCCAGCGCGAGAACGCGATGATCGCGAGTGCTTGGTATGATTTGTCAAACCGGCTGCAGAGCAACCACGTCGTGCTGCAGAGGCGGAACGATGCGCCTAAGAGCTGGCTCAACAAACAGAGGCAAATGGTCAACGGTGAGATCCACCCGCTCCTTTGGCAACACTGACCCAAAGTGGCTCCTTATCTTTGCTCATGTTGGGCGAAAAGTACTGACCGAGCATGAACTTGGTAGCTACGCCAAGAAGGTAGGAACTTCAGGCTTGACATCGGCGGGACTGCCCCACAACCTACTATCGAATCAACAACAAGGAACTGGTGTATCCGCAAGCGCGGGCAACTTGAATGAGAGACCTAGCGGGTGCGTAGTGGCGGGACCATCTTACCAGGTTTTCAGGTGGCTTTTTGCTTCTTGCACCATTCACGGTCTTACTGGCGCTTTATGCTTTAACTGTAGAGCGAACATCTTTATATACCCTACAAACCCAACACAATGACGTACGACATGACGTATTGAGGAGGATAAAGCCGGCTAACCAAATAGAGTGATTATGGAGCCTGGTATCAGGTGAGCATGGGAGGAGGCAAAGTTACTTGGGTGTCTTGACCAAGTTTAGTGGGAGAAGGACGCCCTTAGACTTATACCCCTTTCTGCTTGGGAGGTATTTTGTTTTCTGTATGCGATCAACAGTCCATAGTATAGGGCTGGCACCTATCTGCGCGTATGTCAACATTCGAGTGCTTTCTGTTGACACAATCTTGTGGTGTCCTTCCATGGCCAATCTCAGCAACATCTGGGTCAACTTGTATAATACCCACATCCAGACAATTTGTTGGACAACGCTGATGTAAATGTGATGAGTCAGCATACTTATTACGGAGGGACTGCTAACTGAATACCTATGGGTTATAGGGGCAATGCCACACTAAATTCAAACTTTTTGGAGGCCTAATTAGTGACATTGTAAATACAAGGGGCCTTGAACAATTTCGTATGATACAGATAGCTCATTGATTCATTCATCTAGGATTCATCCTTTTCCTCTAGGGCGCCCAGGCGGAATTCGCCAGACACCTGCCCTTCCAGAATCCGTATCAATCGCTGACCGATATCATACCGGTTGCCCGGAAGTAGTCCAAGACATATTTCCTGGAGTTGCTGTGGCGGGGATCATTGGCCAGTCAGTTTGCTCAAAATGCTGCTCTTCTTCTTGTCGCCATCGAAAATGTTCAACAGGCTCTTCCACACCTGGCCGGGCTCCTGGCTGGCATCGATACCCTTCCAGATGCCTGTATTCTTGTAGTATCCGACGACGGGACTGGTCTGGGCGTGGTAGGTGAGAAGGCGCTTCTTGAGAGCCTCGGCATTATCATCAGACCGCTGGATGAGCGGCTCGCCCGTCACATCGTCTTTCATGTAGTCCTTGGGGGGGTTGAAAGTGCTGTGGTAGCTGCGGCCGGACGCCGGGTGGATCAGGCGGCCAGTGATACGCGCAACGAGGAGGGCGTCGTCGATCTGCAACTCAACTGCGTGCTGCAGTTTCGAGTTCTTGGCCTCAAGCATCTTATCTAGGGCCTCGGCTTGAGGGATGGTGCGGGGGAAACCGTCGAGAATGAAGCTGTTGCCGTTTGATTAGCTTGGTTACAGGCCAAGACAAATAATGACATATGGCAAGCTCATAGACAGTGGCCCCTGTGTTTGGTGCCAGGTGGTTTGGTGGTGACACGTACCCGCCCTTGCACTCCTTGTTGTTTTCGAGCTCCTCCTTGATCATGCCAATAACAATGTCGTCGCTGACCAGGCCTCCAGCATCCATGATCTTCTTAGCTTCACGACCGAGGGTCGTCTTCTTGGCTATCTGAGATCGGAGCATGTCACCCGTCGCCTGTGCATCTAGTCAGTGAGTTTTCGTCGCAACGGTGCTTGCGCTTCGGACACATACCAAATGGCAGCATGAGAACTTGTCCTTGATCTTGGGCGCTTGTGTTCCCTTTCCTAGATTGGGCACTCCAAGTTAGCACACTGCTTCCTCTTGGTCGTGAACTGTTGGGATTGTCTGGACCAATTGATGCCCTGAAGCTGCCCCCCTGTACGTACCGGCACCGGGAGGCCCCATGAGGATCATGCGCACGCCTTCAGTGGGCTTGGTCTCGCCCGTTTGGCGCTGCTCGAGTTTCTCTATGCGGTGCTCCAGCCCGGACACGATGTCCTGTAGCCTTTGTACTTCGTGGTCAAGAACACCCATGGTGTGGATTTTTTGAGAGTTGGAAGACAACACCTGACCAAGGGAAGGATTTGGGGAGGGCGAAAGGGAGTAGGAGAGAAAATGGCGCGGGAAGAGAGGTAGAAATTCACAAGAGCAATTGAGAAACTTGGGAGCTCCGAAGTTTGGACTGGGAGTTCCGAAGTTTGGCGGAGGCCAGCGCGCAGTTGGATGCTTGTGCAGGGAACCGTCGAGTTACAGAGCAGCAGCTTGCACCTTCGTACCTTGTAACTTACGTTGGGAAAAAAAAGCCAAGCCCGGTCGGAGCTCGGCTAACAATTCAACGCTTATTCGAGCATTTATTGCTGGCTTGGTCAAGTACCTGGCTTATTTGGTTAGAGGTATTTGGAATGGAACGCGGCCGAATATGGTCTGTATTAAGTCCTGGAGATCTGAAGGATTACAAATTCTTGAGGTCGTAGTAATTCCCAATGTATTTCACAGAAATAAGGCCTGTAGGGAACGCTGAGATTATGGACTACGCACGTGAAGGTACTCTAGCTATCGCGTTTGCCGCTCTCCTCGAGCTCCGGCAATTGACCTGGCAGAGCCATCCGATCGAGTTGACAAGTCTTCCAAGTTGGCCACTCAAGTATCTTCAGTATTTATCTCGAAATAAGAGGTTCTCTAAGGTGTAGTGGTGAACAAGATAACCTAGAGCTGTAAGAATCGCATACTTGTATGTTCAATGTACACTGGCTATAAACTTCATTCTAGATGCTGAAATTCTCTCCCAGCCCAGGAAATTCGCATGAGTTAATGAGAGAGTACGACGCTTTTAAGGAACCTCTCAGGTTTAATCAAGTGACCTGGCCTCTTGCTAACACAAACAAAGTATTTAATAATGTTCGCAAGTGTGAATTGTCAAGCAGTGAACAATCAAAATTGCATGTCCGTTCAAGACCCTTGGAGCCTCAATGCCCGTGCTTCCAAGCCAAGCTAGACCAATCAGGCACTAAAGATGTGTAGACCCCTGTCGATTTCGCAGAAGGCAGCCTCACCTACGACAGTTGCAACGGCGCTGGATTCCAAGGTTGACAATCAGCCTTCCCGTCTCTCACCCACCTTAAACGTACCATCGCCAACTCCGTTCCTTCCTTTCGTTGTCAAGCTACCACCATACAATATACCCACAGCTCATATTGACATTGCGACGAAGGACGATAACACGATGCCTGCCACGACCGCCGAAACCTTGTCTTTCGTCTCGAGAAATGTCACCGTCGCACCCCTCGTCCTCCTCTCTGTCGTAGACCACTACAACCGCGCCGCAAAGGGCACAAGGAAGCGCGTTGTCGGTGTACTTCTGGGCCAGAATGATGGCAACAACGTGCGGGTATCCAACAGCTTTGCGGTGCCGTTTGAGGAGGACAACGATGACCCGTCCGTCTGGTTCCTCGACCACAACTACGTCGAGAACATGAACGACATGTTCAAGAAGGTCAACGCCCGCGAGAAGTTAATAGGCTGGTATCACTCCGGCCCCAAGTTGCGCGCCTCCGATCTCGAGATCAACGAGCTATTCAAGCGCTACACCCCGAATCCTCTGCTAGTCATTATTGATGTGCAGCCCAAGGAGTCGGGTGTGCCCACCGACGCTTACTTCGCAGTAGAGGAGATCAAGGATGTGAGTGGGCTGCGTCATGGCAATCAGCATAACGCATTACTAACCATGCTACTTCATAGGACGGCACCACAACATCCAAGACCTTCGTACATACCCCGTCCACGATTGAGGCAGAGGAGGCCGAAGAGATCGGAGTCGAGCACCTACTTCGCGACATCCGCGACGTCGCCATCGGTACTCTATCCACTCGTATTACAAACCAGCTCCAGTCTCTACAAGGCCTACACTTACGTTTGCGTGAAATCCAAACCTACCTCCAGAAGGTCCAAGATGGCCAACTACCTGTCAACCACGCCGTGCTCGGTAACCTCCAAGACATCTTCAACCTACTCCCCAACCTCTCAACGCCCAAACCTGGAAGCGACGGCAAGGCCGGCAACACAGGCGAGCTGTCATATGCCATGAGCGTGAAGACCAACGACCAGCTGCTGGCCATCTACCTCAGCAGTCTGATCCGTGCCATCACAGCATTCCACGACCTGATCGAGAACAAGATCCAGAACCGGCAACAACAAGAGGAGAAGGAGGCCAAGAAAGAGGAAGCGGCGGCGGCGGCAGCAGCAGATAAGGAAAAGGACAAGAAGGAGACCAGCGTCAATGGGGTTAATGGCGAGCCGTCTGAGAAGGGTGGCGACAAGGAAAAGAAGAAATAGTAGTTATCATGATGGGCGGAGGCGCGGCGTTTGGACCCGAGTTGGCGTCTAATGACATTGTACAATATCCTGATACCACATTACGGGTCAGGCAGGGCATCGCGCTAAAACTTGATAGACGTTGGCCGTTCTTAAGCTACGAGCTTCGTTTTGAGCGTCGATTTATGACTGCGTGCTTTATTTGTTCGTGATCCTCCCAAGTCTTGTTCTCTTGTTGACCCGATTACTACAACTAGCTCACTATGCGGCTTTACGAGACATTGACATGCGCATCAGGATGATTTCCAGCTCCTTTTTCCATTTGTTGGTAGTGCAATAGCGTCACTATTATGCCACATCTGCTCCTGGCAACGCAGTATACCTGCTCACACACCGGCACGTCTATGGCAACCAACGTGGTAGCGGAGGAGAATGTTGATTGTGCGCTCTACCTCCCATCCTTCGAACGTCAAAATAAGCATAAACGGTATCTGAGGCGGCGCAGCATCACCATAACCTGTTGCGGGTCAGTTTGTGTTTCCTAGAGTATCTGCCTGCAAATTGTATCGTGAAGATAGAAACAGGTATGTACGAGTATCGATTCTGATGAAATAGTCGATGATCGAGAGTCCACTCTCATGCTCATAAGACCACCTGGTATTGAAGTGCGCTGCGTTTCCAGTACTCGCTGATCAAACACCTGCAATAAATCCGCCACCCTCTTCTTTACTAACGTGCCTTTCGTCGACATGCTGCCCGAGGACACCCCATCGCTCCGCTAGGACACAAGCCAGCAGATGCTTACAGCAAGGCACCCCGGCGCTGCCCTTCCCGCCTTGCAGTTTTTCATTTTGTCCGTCAGAACTCAAACCTCCAAACTCCCATCCCGTCTCACACAGCCCTGTGCCGGATATGACGTCGTCTTTGCCCTGGATCACGTAACCCCCATGGTTCGACTCAGAGGTGAATGCAGAGAATGCAAAGGCTGCGCATGAACAGTTCCAAGCCACGGTTCGGACCACGTAGGTTGGACCTGCTATTTCCTCGCGGTTACTGTCGCGGCCACGCCGCCGTTGTCGTGCTGAGCGCACGAGATGGAAAGTAGCTGCGGAGGCATCCAGTTGGGCCTGCGCTGCTTCATCCGACGCGGAGGGAGGGTCGAGCACGAGAACCCGCGTCACCAGGTGACGATCCAAGAGGTCGAGGGCGGGTAGAATGAGACTGGGATAAATAACATGAAGAGTTGACAGAACGGGTCTGGCTGAAGGCGGCAGGAGTTTGAGGGAGCTTGTTGGGGGGGTTGTGGATGCCGGTGTGGGAATCATGACAGATTGTGACAAGATGCTGAGAAGACTAGTCAGGAGTTCTCTTGACGTTAGAAGAGGGTCTGCCATTGGGGTTATGCTGCCTTCAGATGTTTCAAGTTCTGGAACCCTAGAGTGTTGGATGTCGCGTGGTTGTTTGGTAGGCTGTCTTCGCATGGATGAGGATAGTTCATAAAAGTGTGAATTCGTGTGACCACACTGTAGCCGGATGAGGAAACTGTCACAGTCCTCGCCAGGCTCTCGGATCGAACACATTCACGCCCCATTGGTAGATGGTAGAGAGCCAGAAGCCCACAAGACCGACCGACAGTAGAATGCTTTTGGTGGGCTGCTCGACATCCGGATTCCAGGCACTGGTCAATCTGTCAGTCGCAATCGATGAGTTACTCATGTCAAAGTGCTGGAGAATCAACATTTTGGCCAGTGAATAGACAAATACTGCCACCCAGAGACGACCCGTGAGGGTTCGTCGATCTATTTTAAGCCAGGCTAGAATGATCATAGTAAATGGGAATACAAGGCTTGTTTGGTCAAGGTCTACATGGGTGTAACAAAAGTCGTGTGGGGACCGCAGAATATCGATTGGCATGTTCGAGTTGACTGATGCAACGAAGAGTTCTGAAGCTCTTTTCGCGTCGAGCCAAAATCTTTGGTCGCCGTTATAGGAAATTACGTCTTTCCCCGACGTACGTTACAGGCAACTATGTGCCATTTCCTGCGGCAGTTATGATTACTGACTCCCTGTTTTGCAGACTGCATGTTGTTGCTAAAGGTAGTTCTTTCCATTCTGACACTTGCTCCGATGTTCAAGTTGATTTTCAGCAAGACCGTGAATGTAAGGGATTGACGTTGATATAATGATTTGTAAGTTTTCTTTTCCAATCCATACGCTATTCTTTTTCTTCTTTCGTTTTACACGTTACGCTACACGGCATTCCGTTTTTACACCCATTCCTTGGGGTTCTGTAGAACTTCGACAAGTCTCTGTTCTCGACTCTTGGGGTCGGCTTCATGCATATATCTCCATTGAGCCGTAAGAGGCAAGCTAATAAGGATGCTCTCGACTCTCGACCCCGGCACATTGAGCCCAAAAGCTGTGCCTCTGTCGTGGACCAAGTTGAACTCAACATACCGGCCTCTCCTTATTTGCTGCCACTCCTTCTCCGTAGGTGTGAATGGCATATCCTTACGCTTCTCGATGATGGGCAGGTAAGAGGGCAAGAAGCTGTTCAAGACTTCTTTGATAAAGGCAAATCCATTTTCAGCATCTACCACCGTCTCATCCAGGTCGTCGAAGAAGATCCCGCCGATGCCTCGAGCCTCGCCCCGGTGTTTGTTGCAGAAATATTCGTCGCACCACTTTTTAAATCTGGGGTAATAGTCCTTGTCATGCTTGTCGCAGGCGTCCTTCAATGTTTTGTGGAAGTGTATTGCATCCTCGTCAAACAGGTAGCTTGGGGTTAAGTCACTGCCGCCGCCAAACCACCACGCCTGCGATGTGCCATCTGGCTTCATGGTCTCAAAGTATCGGCAGTTCAAGTGCACGGTGGGCGCCATGGGGTTATGCGGGTGCAGCACCATACTCAAGCCTAGGGCGTAGAAGTCCAATTGCTCCTCGTCAGGCAGGTTCTTGTGGTTGACGCGCATTTTGTCGATTGCAGCCTTGGGCAACGTGCCGTAGACAACACTGATATTGACGCCCGCCTTCTCAAAGACGCTACCGTCTTGCAAGACGCACGACAGCCCGCCACCGCCGTTGGGCCGTTGCCACTCATCCAAGCGGAAGGCTTTGCCGTCGATCTGCTCTAGCGCAAAAACGATTTCCTTTTGTTTCTCGCGAATGAACTCTTCCATGCGCAGACGCATTGGCGATTCTTCGGTGACGCCGTCTTCGCGCTTCGTGCGTTCGTCCTTATCGGCGAGGGAGCGGGAGTCGAGCTTTAGGGGCTTCTGGTTTGCCTGTGACCAGAGTGAGCAATCGAGTTTCTTGGTTTCAGAAGCTATGCAGCAGATTACACACCACAGCACATGTCAGAACCGACACTGTAGCAGCTCCAGCAGCCGCCAAGAGAACCCCATTCGTAAGACGCGCGCTGCTGCTTCTTGCAGCGGATGTGAAGGGCCTCGCCTGGCATCGCGGGGCAGCTGGCAGCCGAGACCGCAGCGTCAATAATTGGGATACACGCCTTTTAGACATTCTTCTGAGTAATTGGCACGACGGGATCAAAGGAGGTAACAGCGGCCTAAATAAAGTGTTTAAGGCGGCTACCTTTACTCGGCTGACTCGCACATCTGAGCATCAGATGTTGCTTGAATGGTTCCACGAACAAACGGCTCTGCTGGAGCTCAGCTTCCCAACAGCGGCACTAGCCGATATTGTACAAGTACTCGAGCCCCACTGCCGGCACCATCGGCCCCTCGTGTTACTGTCAACCACAGCACTGTGAAGCTGGCTACAAGCAGGGAGCTGGTAGTTGTTACCCCCCAAAAGTAGATATGTCAGGTTATTATGAGGAACGACAACGTCGCGTATCAATGTGACTGAAATGTCTTGAAATTGCTTATTCGGCTTGAAAAAATTCTATGCATGGTGTGTATAGGACTATTCGTTTTGTGCGTGTGTATGTGTTTGTGGAGGGGGTTGATTGAGGTGTCTAATAGTACAGACTCATTACGTGAATGCCAGTATATATGTTGATGTTACACGGACAATGTAAGGCCCTCATCTTTTTCTCCGTGTATTATAACAGAGTATTGTCTCACATTGCAGCATGTCAACTGACATCATGTAAAGTATATCTAACGCATGTGCCATATAAGTCAACCAACCCCATCTGCGGCCACTCCCTTCAACGGCCCACTCCATGGCCCACTCCATGACGCGACGCGACTATATGCATCTCCACTGCTATTTTCTGTATAACCGCATAACCACACGTCCAATTATTAAGAAAACTTACCCATCTATTCTTGAACTTCAGGCCTACATACCATTATAGGCGTCTCAGCTAAATTACGCATACGGGATACCGTTATCAACGTACTTAATAGCAGGTTCAGGTATAGCCCTTATGTTGAATACTGACACTCTTCTGTTGCCCAATTAAATAATACCAGCCCTCGAGGCAATCCAACTAACCTCACCACCCCCTTCCGTTGGGTTGACAATCTGATTAGTAAGCAAAATAACCGTTGGGTTGACTGGTTGCTAAGGTGGTTGCTATAACTAGCCGGAAATGAGAGTATCGCTAACCTCAGCGGCGCTATACCCTACTAGTATGCCGGCGGCTTCCGTAGCGGCCTCCCCTGTAGGCTTATCCGGTTCACTGTTACGAACCGTTGGCCCTGAACCAACATTACAGGCCCGTCGGCAGGCTAGGTGGATACAGACGCTAGGATCACGGGACCCCACATCGGAGGAAGGAAAGGACCGATAGGTCACGTGATCTACAGGGGTGGATATGTTGGATATGTTGGATATGTGGGACAGCCAACATATCCAAATGATCTAGAAGAAATAACAGGGGTGTATATGTTGGACAACCAACATATCCAAGTGGGGATCAGTGAAGGAGAGATGGGCATATAAGGGACAGGACTCCCAGGCATTTCATAGATAGACAGTCTCTACTTCAGTGATCAATCTAAGCATCAATCTAACCCATTGGTGAGGCAAACTGCCTTGACGACTCTATTCCCAGTTACCCTACTCGAATACTTCAGTTACCCAGAGCCCGATACTCCATACGTCAGACCCCGATATTATTGCTAAAGGACTCCGCAGCAGGACTTACTTACTAGCACAAACCCCTACAGACTCTTTAGTGGTTTACGCAGCTAGACTATTAGAGGTTTCGTTACATTCACTTAGCTAGTATGTTTTTGTATCCGTCTTAGCCGCTATAGTCCCTAAAAGAGGGTCCACTAAGCTTACTAAGCCGGCCCTATACTAACTTCGTAGTATCTAGCATATACCTACGAGGTTAGCGTTAAGGCTAGACCGCTTTGAAGTTATTATCCTACCTATAGATAAAAATAATCGCTCGTATTCGGCTAATATAGCCTATATTATAAGGAAGTCAAGTGTTACGAGCCGTTGGCCCTAGACCAACATTACAGGCCCGTTGGCAGGCCAGGTGGATACAAGCATTATGATCACGGGACCCCGCATCGGAGAAAGGAAAGAACCGACCGGGTCACGCGACTTACAAGGGCGGATATGTGGATCGCTACATATCCAACATATCCAACCAACAGGATATGTTGGCACAGAACATATCCAAGTGGGGATCAGTGAAGGAGAGATGGGTATATAAGGGACAGGACTCCCAGGCATTTCATAGATAGACAGTCTCTACTTCAGTGATCAATCTAAGCATCAATCTAACCTAACGTCACCCACAGGTCATTGCCCCACACGGGTCTTTGCCCAACTTTTCAAGAAATCTTGACTTTCCATCTTTACTTATACAATTCTTCCCTTCCACAACATGGCACGCAAATCTAGTGAAGCTAATCTTCAATTAGCCATCCAAACTAAACGACGCGATCCTCACCTAAGTTGGAACAAGCTTGGTAAAATCTTCAAAGTCGACCATAAGACATTGAAGCGCCGTTACGAAGGCGTACAACCATTACACATTACTAACATGTCCAAACGGAAAATGACCGAAACCGAAGAGAATACGATTACCCGACGCGTAATTGAGCTATATTCGCGAACTTTTCCTCCCCGGCTTCGATACGTTGAAGAAATGGCGAATATCCTCCGACGCGACCGCGACGCGTCACCCGTCGGCAAGAACTGGGCCTCGAGCTTCGTACGGCGACAACCAGACCTCCGGACGCGTTTAAATCGTCGAATCGATTACCAGCGGGCATTCTGCGAAGATCCTGTCGCGTATCGCGGTTATTTTAAGCGTGTTGCGGACACAATAGCGAAGCACGGCATCCAGCCGGAGGATATCTACAACTTTGACGAGACGGGCTTTTTAATGGGCATGATCTCAACCGGCATGGTCGTTACGAGTACCGAAAGACGTGGAAGGCCTAGGCAAGCCCAGCAAGGCAATAGGGAATGGGTTACTGTCATTCAGGCGGCCAATTCCCAAGGCTGGGCGGTGCCGCCGTACATCATCTTCGCGGCCAAAGTTCACCTCGCTTCGTGGTATCGCGACACCACATTACCGGGCAATTGGGTCGTTGATCTATCCCACAACGGATGGACAACGAATGATATCGGTCTCAGCTGGGCAGCTCACTTCGATCTGCACACACGCGATCGTACGAAGGGTGTCAAACGCCTCCTGATCCTTGACGGCCACGAAAGCCATCACTCGATGGATTTCGAACAATACTGCAAGGACCATGGCATCATTACCCTTCCTATGCCTGCCCACTCGTCCCATAAGCTCCAGCCTCTCGACTTGGTGCCTTTTAGTGTTTTGAAACGGGCGTACGGTGTGTTTGTTGAGGGTTTGATGCGACGGCATCATACCCACGTTGCGAAGGAGGATTTCCTTGCCGGTTTTTTGGAGGCGTTTGGCGCTGCTTTTACTGAACAAAACATCAGATCTGGTTTCGAAGCAGCTGGAATTGTCCCTTTTGACCCCGACAGGGTTATATCTGCCCTGGATGTCGCAGAAGTCGCGCGTACACCCTCTACCGACCCAGAACTCCTACCCCCTATTTGGACTTCTAAGACACCTACTACCACCCTTGAAGCCGAATCGCAGTCAACGTTGATTAAGAATAGCGTTCAGAGGCATCAAGACAGCTCTCCGACGCATATTATTCATTCAATTGACTCGATTGCAAAGGCTACGCATGCAATGATGCAAGAGAATGTTATCTTGCGTCGCGAGAACGAAGAGCTTCGTGAGACTAACCATGTGCTAAGCAAACGTCGCAGAACCCAAAACAAGCAAATCCAGTATGGTGGGCCACTTAATATAGAAGATGCACAAGTTCTACGGGCTATTAGGGATGATACGGGTTTGGAAAGTGAGGAAGAGGGTGAAAGTAGTCGTCCTACAAGGAGGAGGGCAACGGGTGCTAGGCGCTGTGGCATTTGCGGAGGAACTGGACATAATGCGCGAACTTGTCAGGCAGATGTAGAAACAGATAATGAAAATAATTCTGATTAATTTCTTGGATGAATAGGGGTTGTTGTTGATCTATCTAAGATTAAAGGTTGGGAGGTCGTGAAAAGTCGGGCAAAGACCCGTGTGGGGCATTGACCTGTGGGTGACGTTATTGGTGAGGCAAACTGCCTTAACGACTCAATACCCCGTTCCCCTACTTGAATACTTCAGTTACCCAGAGCACTATAATCTATACGTCGTTCCCCGATATTATTGCTAAAGGACTCCGCAGCAGGACTTACTTACTAGCACAAACCCTTACAGACTCTTTAGTGGTTTACGCAGCTAGACTATTAGAGGTTTCGTTACATCAAGTACTATTAATAAGAGCCGTGGGTACTTGAAACTGCGATTATACTAATAGTTAATAGGGTTAAAGTAGTCTAGCCCTCGCTTATAGTTACTAGTATACCAAATAGCGTATTTATCGCCGTCGACTCTATAGTAGGGTCCTGTAGTAGGGGAGGAAGTCGATCGGCTATTAGTATTAAAGGGGTTGCGATATTTTAGCTTCTTCGTCGACGGTGAAGTAGCTTTTCACTTAGTGACAGAACTGAGGCTTGTCACGACCTGGGTTGCATCGCATTGGTATAGACCTCGATTAGGTGCTATCGACGAAGATTCTACTCTAAGGAGCGAAGGAAAGAAGATCACAACTTAGGTTTGAGGGAGCGCGACTAAGTCATCCACGCTTGGCGGGGCTCCTACAAGGGTTATGATTGGCTTCCCATCTGACACTGCCACGGCAGGTGTTCCAGCTGTAAGTCACCTGGTTGTAGTGAGTCTGCGAGGGTTGACCTTCACAAGGCTTAACCCTGCTTATAGCTCTCTATTCCCTTACAGCTTCTAACTATTCGATCTTTTATTATTTTTTCTGTCGGCTGGTGTAGTTGGTCACTTCGCTGGTAGATAAGTCCCGATTTGAGCCTCGCCCACTTGGGTCGGTGACGAGTCGCGGGTTCGAATCCCGCAGCTGACACACAAGGGGGTTTAGTCAACCCTTACGGCGCGCTGCCCACCTTGTTGACTTCGCCTACCTAGCGATAATAGGGAGATTGGTGCAGTTTAGGATTACGAGCATCCTAGCCAGTCGACCGTCAAGCACTACGTCGGCGGAATATAACTCGACAGCCGGTCCAGAATTCGAATCGTTAATCCGACCCCTTATCGGACCTCGCCTTTCCGATAACGCTCGTCGGCGAACCCGTCCCCTCACGATAGAAGGCGCGCAGCACGCCCTCTCGCCGCGATTCTTGCGAGCGTCTGACCACGTTACGGTCTATCCACTTGAGCGTATGGTTGAGATGTATACGCTCGACGAGAACCCCAATTAGCAGATACTACGACTTGTCGCGACAAAAAAATAGTCGAGCATCTTCTGCACATCAGCAGCATCCCACCCCTGAGGACGAATTTAAGTGCCACATTACCACACTTATCGGTAGTTCAGGCAGGGGTTGTAGCACAGACTTAGGGAGGGACAGGAGGTTTAGTAGTCATTTGGCTACAAGTTTACCTGTATAACCGCCCGACGCGGCTTAAGGGCCCGCTATATCATCTATAGCCCCTTAAGGGAGTACTTGTAGAGGTACCGAGGGTTAACACCTACGGCGTATTTAATATTATATTATTTATTATTTTTTCTTCCTTAGTCCTTCTTCCGCTATTAGACGGTTAAGTTCTTCTAACTCGAGCTCCTCTAATAGGTAACGGCTTAGCTACCTGATTGTCGCCGTGGTAGTCGTATCGTCGATAGTGCTACTACTTATTTACGTCGCTATCGTCGGTACTATTATTATTATAGTATTCAGTATGTTTCCTCCGAAGTTATCTAGTATCCCTACGGCTATAGTTTAGCTTCGGATTAGGGCTCTTCGTATCGCTATTTTCTCGCTAACGGTCCGTACGTCCGGAAACGGGTAGAGAGATCAACGTGTCAGGGTACGGCTTAGCCGGAGTCGATAGTACAGAGTGATAGGGAGTAATAGGCTTTCCTCCTGCTGAGCACCGGGCGGTCACTAGTGTAACGAAACCTCTAATAGTCTAGCTGCGTAAACCACTAAAGAGTCTGTAGGGGTTTGTGCTAGTAAGTAAGTCCTGCTGCGGAGTCCTTTAGCAATAATATCGGGGTCTGACGTATGGAGTATCGGGCTCTGGGTAACTGAAGTATTCGAGTAGGGTAACTGGGAATAGAGTCGTCAAGGCAGTTTGCCTCACCAATGGGTTAGATTGATGCTTAGATTGATCACTGAAGTAGAGACTGTCTATCTATGAAATGCCTGGGAGTCCTGTCCCTTATATGCCCATCTCTCCTTCACTGATCCCCACTTGGATATGTTGGTTGTCCAACATATCCAACATATCCATTCCTTCTTATCCTTCTTGGATCACTTGGATATGTTGGCTGTCCAACATATCCATTCCCTCTTATTTCTTCTGGATCATTTGGATATGTTGGTTGTCCAACATATCCACCCCTGTAGGTCACGTGACCTATCGGTCCTTTCCTTCCTCCGATGCGGGGTCCCGTGATCCTAGCGTCTGTATCCACCTGGCCTGCCGACGGGCCTGTAATGTTGGTTCAGGGCCAACGGTTCGTAACAACTAGCGGTCTCAGGTAGGGGTGCCCGGAATAGTTCATTGATCTCTACCGTCCTTCTATCCTACTTCACGATATACATTATATAGATAGCTAGAATACCGCTTCAAACCGGCGTGAGTACCGGTCCGGCGATGCCGAGTGCCCAGTTCCTCGGCATCCCGATACTTCAATAGATTAGAATACTGACTCGTGAACCCTCTACCAGAGCCCCACCGGTGACCTGCATTCAGTGCTCTGACAAGTATTAGGGAAGTAACTTCAGCGCTAGGGGACCGCTGAGATAATAGCGAGGATTTCTACAGGGCTAGTAGGGGCCTCTAGCACGTGCAAATTACTAAAAAATAGTGAGCCCTTAGCAACCACTTAGCAACTAAGTCACTTACTAAGTCTCTAAATTGACACAGCTTGGTAACTAAAATCTGGAGAATTGGTGGGTTGGGTTAGCTGGTTGAGGCCAACCCTTGGCAACCAGGTTGAAGTGGTTGCGTTATCTCGAGGGTTGAATAATACAGAAGGGCAATAACAGCCTATGTTGAAGTGTATTGTACCCCCGACTATGATTCTAAAGCCGGCCTCATCATGCTTTCCTTGGACGACTTAGTCTACTGGATAGACTTTCTTGACGCTGAAGTTGCGAGTGCAAAACGCACATGAAAATACAGAGGCCCTGCCCCAAGCAATCAACAGGAAGACTTACAGAAGCTGGAAATAGTTCCACCTGCTTCAGGCAAGATCTATAGTGACCACATATCACTGATCTTCCCTGGGGTTTAACCATGACTAGTGACCTATATAATAAAAAATGCTTGACTATTAGGTGAGTCAACATATGCAGTCTTGATCAACAAATTACCACTGGTCTGTCAAAGTTGCTGGGACAAAGAACATGCGCCACGCGGTGGCTGAATGCACTTGTGGCTGCCACAGCTACAAGCAGCAACTTGGACGTTTCGACGTCAAAGCTTCATTGTTCGGTGTGAATGCCAAAAAAATCAAAATCTACCTTGTCAAAGACCGTATAAAAATCCAGCACATCTATCTTTACTTTGTCAGCTGTACTGATCGCAATGGAAGCGATCACGGCTGATTCTCACGTCCCCTTTCGGTTCCAAAGCATCTTAGGCTTCTTCGAAAATCATTCTTGTCTTGACGTCGATGCAGACTACCGTGCGGTAAGCACTTTCTCAAATAGCTTCGCCGGAGATGGCAAGGTGTATTCCTCATGATAACCTCAACAGATGACGCATTGTGAATTGGGCCTGGTAACAGATTCCATCCCGATCAAGGATAGCAGTCTGCGACCTTGGCAAAGGCTTGAGGCACACATTCGGAATCTGAATGCTTCGGTGGGTGAGACCTACAAGGTGCTCTTCGTCACACGTCATGGCCAAGGGTTCCATAACATTATGGAAGCGAAAGTTGGGACTCTGGCTTGGGAGGTAAATCGGTTTCCCCCTTCATGTGGAATCCATACTTATACATGACACAGACCAAATGGGCGCTGTTGGATGGCGATTGTACAAGCACCTGGGCCGACGCCAACCTTACAGATGAGGGTGTTCAGCAAGCTGTCGACACCCGCACCATGTGGAGCAGACTAATCATCGAAGGGAAGATGCCATGGCCTCAACTATATACCAGCCCTCTGCAGCGCTGTCTTAGGACGACACGCTTAGTATTTGCAGACATTGCATCCAAAGAGGGGCAGAGCTTTCGGCCAGTCGTGAAGGAGCTACTCCGCGAACGGACCGGGCGGCACACTTGTGACCGTCGAAACACAAAAAGCTGGATCGAAATAAACTATCCAGATTATCAAATCGAGTCGGGATTCTCGGAGAAGGACGAGTTGTTTGACCCTAATTCCCGAGAGACCGAGGATCACGTCATGAAGAGGATGCGGATATTGCTTGAGGATATCTTCACCAACGAGCCAAGCTCGTTCGTTTCTTTCACGATGCACTCCTTAGCATCCCGAGCTCTCATGCAAGTCATTGGCCATGAGCCATTCCGGATGGCGCCGGGAGCAACCGTGGCCTTCTTAGTGAAGGCACAGTTGCCCTCCACATATTCGACAACTTCGGTGTGACCGTGTTGTCAATATTGACTGCAGATATCTCCTCGACTTGATCAGGGGTGCGGTTTTCGCACTAAAAGTGATGATTCCTATCTCACCATTGACTAGGACATGTTCCACTAAGGGAACTGAAAGCCAGTGGCCAAACGCACGCAAGATAACGCAACTAACGGCTTTGGCAGAGACCAATTGACAATAGAGTTATCATTTACGACGGAACTGGAACAAGAACTACCGTGATTTTTGAATCTCGCTTCGCATTGTATTATTCATATCGGGGGAAAGAGGAAGGTTCTTTTGGAGTACGATCAGTGTAACGAAGGCGGATTGTGACGGGGCCGCAATGATGCCCTCTATTTTCCCGAGTATAATTCTTCATCCATGAACCTCCCAACATTTTTATTCATCCATGCGACGGCTTCCAAATCCATACCACCACCGGCGACGTGGCCCCAGACACTGGGAATAGGGGCGAAAGTCCCCCTAGCCAGATGCTTGCACTCAGTCTCCCCATCCTCGGGTGGGAAGTACTGATCAGTCTGACACGGCATGACGAGAACACGGGCCTTGATGCTAGTCAGAGCCTCGTGGTAGCCGCCGTCATCCCCCTGCTTGCCACCTCGTTGGCTCAGTACCTCTTGTCCCGGAATTACCGTACTAACATCTCCCATCTGCCACATACTCGCCAAAGCCAGCATGTCATCCGCATCCCAGTCCAAATATGCCGTCTCCCTATCCTGCATCCAGGCCTCAATAGACTCAAATCCCTGGCCCCCGTCTCTTGTCCCCCACCAGCGCTCACGGAACCAGTGGCTGCTCGTCAACCATGCCGCATATGCCCTGGCAAATGCCTTCTTCCCGCTCGCCGGCTGGACCTGTCGCAAATCTGCCAGCTTGATCTCTCCCATCACCACTTTAATCTTAGTTGCCCGGTATACCAAGTAGTCAGCACTACTCGTCAGGGCTGCCATGGGTCCCTCGAGAAAGGCATAGTTATGCGGACTCGTACGCGCACTCGAACAAATAGGCACAATACGTCGCGCAAAATCGGGAAACATGACGGCCCAATGGTACGCCTGTTGCCCGCCCATAGAAAATCCGATGATGGCCTCGAGTTGCTGCACGCCGAGGTGCTTGGTCAGTAGTCGGTATTGCGCATTTACTACGTCCTGGTACCGCAGCTCGCCGGATTCTGGGAATCCGGGCGTATTGGACGGGCTGGCTGACTCGCCGTTGCCCAACATAGCGGTCACTATGACGCGGTAGGCCTTGAGGCAATCGTTTGGTGCCGTGGTGAAGTTCAGCGTCGTGTTGATGAGGCCCCCATAGCACGTTGGGATAAGTACAGTGCCGCGGGCAGCGGAGTGGTTGATGATACGGTACGCAATACGTACATCTTGTAGTGTTGTTCCACAGGCAAAAGCGAAATTTGGGATGCTGTAGTAGTCCAAACCCAGGTTTTTATAGTAGGCAGCGTAAGCCATGGTGAAGAAAAGCCGATAGGAATAGTTCTTACAAGCAGGTCCAAACGCACCACTTAGGAATGGTGATAGAACGAGGTACTATCTAAGCTAAATGGCGAATAACAAAGTTTATCAAACATCCTCGTTCAACAGTCTCAACTATGCCATGCTTGAGGTCATGGAAGACACTTTTGGACCCCGCCTGTTGAAGCCGGATGTCGGGCGTCCCGACACTCTATCTTAATTCCAGATTTAGCCTATATCGTGAATACGGTAGACCAATACCGCGCTATCTCGCAGCCCTCTCAATCATGCTTAGAATTTCCGACTAAGTCTGATTTAGTGTAACAAGGGATGACGCATGGTTTACACTTTGGCAGAGCCAGGGTCATGGTTCATGTGCTTAGCTGAAATGTCATGTTCACGACCACACATACATATATAGTGCTTAGGCTGGTATGGCTACTTTTGAGGCTCCCGATACACCTAATCTGACCCGAGGTGATATAGTTCTTGCAAGACCGTTGGCGACTTGGAGGATAGGCGCTTTTACGTAGGCGCGACGACACGACTTAGCCAACCCCTTTACGAGATATTGCAAATATCAGCTTGAATGAAATAAGAATGCATATACGCAGCGAAAACATGCCTTATTGACCCATCTAAGCCCTCCACACTGTACCATTGTGGCGTTCCGTATTTGTTGTATTGGTCCAAGATTGGCTTGCCACCTTCGCAGATGAGGACGATACATAATGCGCGACATACGCAACCTCCATCATGCTACCGTAGCCATCAAGCGTCGCGCTATTAGGGTTACCTGGCCCTATCTACTAGTTAGTTTCCTCGAAGCAAGCCTCAGCAAAATGTGAATACTCACAACTTCCGCCCACGGCCATATTGAGAATGAAGTACATGGGGCTATGTGCCAAGCTGTCCCAAACGGCTTGGTTGTTGATGCGGTCTCCGGTAATGGACTGGAAAGCAATACCGTCTATATACCAGATAATAGTCTCGCTTTGCCAGTTCCCAGGCCTGCGGTTCCACTCTAGTGTCCAGGTATGCCATCCTTGATCTGCAATCCGTGTGGATGCACCGATGCCAGTGCCTTCATTGCAGATCCCCCCGGGGAATACATCACAGTGTATTGTGCCATAGCCCGTCAGAGCGCCGTTCACCGTCTCCATAACATCGAGCTCGCCGCATGCTGGCCAGGGGGTCCCATTCCGGATTGAGTTTCCCAACATCCAGAAGGCAGGCCACAAACCGGCTTTGTTCGAAACGGAATTTCCTCCGAATCGGATCAGGGCCTCGGCACGAGTAACTGTTCCAGCCGCGGGCGTGACTGTGTACTTGCTTTCGATGCGGCCGGAAGACCAACCGCCAGCTACTGACGAGTCTCGCCACGGCACGATCTGCAACGTAGAACCCCCTGAGCGCTGCAGATTTGCCGCGGATGAGGTATACGTCTCCAGTTCATTGTTGACGCCCAGGTGACCTGTGATGATATTCCAGTTCGAAATGTCAGGGGCGGAGCCACTCGCACCTTCAAACCCGGAGTACCACTCCAGAATGTAGCCGCTGTAGCTTGGCGGTGCCCAAGCGGCTACTAATGGAGTGAAAGGAAGGAACGATAAAGTGAATGAAGGCCGCATTGTAAAGTATGGTATAAGTAGTGTGATTGCCAGCAGGAATGTGAAAATACTGCGTTGATGTTATTAATGGTCTCTAAAAGCACTGTATTCTTCGGGATCATGTCGTGGTGTTTTAGTATACATAGGGACCACTCGGACTTACTGTACGTATGATTAATAGACGACAACAAACAAATGGGTAAAGCTTAGTATAACAAGAGCATATCAAAGAATAGACTAGAAGAGTAATATGGGAGTAGCATAAGGCCTAAAAGGGGTTGCGGTTTGGAATTCCTTCGAACAGGGGTTTTCAGATTGACTTATACCACTTGGAGAAGATCGGCGAGAGTGCTTCACTATATAAGTAGGAGAGAAGACGGCCTCGCATACTCCTGCCCTGCATAGAGTAACATTGTCTAACATCTCAAGAAGCACAGGTAAAGAACTGGTTGAACGGCGCACATGAGCGTCCACAATGACTTGGGCAAGAGACACATTTCCTAACACCACTGCTTGTGTTGCAGTTGTATCGTGACTAGCGAGCCTGCACTGCGATTCGGCCGTTCCGCGGATATTGAGCCTCTTAATACATTGGAGTGAAAAGCCTCGAAGCATGCGACAAGGCTTTTCATGGCCCGGATTGAAACGTGAAAACCTCATGGACACAGCACGCGCGGGAAACACCCCCGAAGTCGGTCCAAGCCATGACCAAGAAATTCCATGCCCTATTGGCCGACATTGTCATTTGATGGCCGCAGGTTTAATGACCTGCGGTGACCGCCGTCATTGGTCAACGCTTAAACTTGCTTCAGAAATGATTATCCTGGGGAGTACTCGATTAGCGTACCACTGGCTGGAGAAGGTTGACATCCCCCAGGTCAGTCAGTCGCCTTGTCTTGATGCACATGGAGTGTAAAACCCGGCTTGTGGGAGTGATTCAGGTTTCAGTGGGAAGCGATACATTAAATTGGACCAGTACAAGCATATAATACAGATCAAATGTGATATTAGAGATGCTGCTTGCGTTCCCCTTAAGTGGCTAGATATGGAAGGTAGATCGACGCTAGATAGCTGGTCTAGACTCCTGGGGTAGTATGGGGTCTTCCGGGGTATTTCTTTTGCATGCCTACCCACGGCTTTTACTACCTAAATCAACTCGTTCATCTGGTCGATTGTCTAATGGTAGGATCTCAGCAAGGTTCCATTTTGCAAGCCAATCTGCCACGTCCTCACTACGAGACCAACCAACCCACGAGGGACATGGTATTTTGAAAGTCTAGCAGACTTTGTGAAAATTGGGGTGGCACAGTAGTTGATGGTTAGCTTGCATGACCATTGTCTCACTCCCCACGTTTGCTTTTGACACCCGACGCAGGCACATGCCGAAGATAGCAGTTTGGTGATTCGTCACACTCTCCACATATACGGAAAACGCATTCAGTTTAAAGCCACGTGATTTATTTTTTATCATGATGCAAGTTGTTCTGTGGCTATCGTATATTTGCTTGCTCCTTAACCAATACATGAGCATTCTCCTTCACGCGTCAGATATGCTGCATATACACTGCCATGTGTATTATGAACTAGTCAGCGATTCCCCGCTCATTATTGATGCTGTTTTCCATGCGTCGTTGGAGAATCAATATTTGCTAAGAAACCCCAGCTGTTTCAAGAGACGATCCAAATGTGATAAGACTTGGCTTGTCCTATGGTCTCTTAATAAGAACCCTAGCACTGTGGTTGGAATTTCGTTGTGATGTGCCGCTGCAAGGTTTTTTTCATTAAAAAAAAGATCTTCCCGGGTCACTTGCAAGACATACGCCTGGCAAAACTCGATACCATGACTATGCTACTATAAATACCTTCCATGTTTCGCATGGTACATTGACCAATTCCGGAAAAGTGATGATAGATATGCGCAGCTGGCCGAAGTTCGCATCTCTTCCACCTGATCTTTTAGGCCTTACACTCACAGGATTACTTTGGTGAAGAAATCTGTGGTTAGTCTCCCAGTGAGTTTCTGCATGGAGGATGTGATCAGAGCCCGCAACACATCAGCATGAACTTTAAATATTTTATCGCGCAACTTAATTTCACTGGTGACATACCAAGACTTAGATTTTAAGTGCTGTTATATATGAATTTCTTTGAGATGTGGTATCTCCTCCACTCCCATGACTGACTGCGCCTTCTGCTAAATATACCGAGCTCTCACAAGTCTTGGTTTTTCCCTGGCTCACAATGCAGATTTAATAGACAGGAACCGCCTGGGGATCCGTGTTCAACAGCCCGGCGGGATCATACTCCTTCTTCACCTCGAGCAACTTGTCCCAGTTGCTTCCATACAAGTACTCTGCCGTCTCGTTGATGTTCCAGTTCGCGTCCCGATAGTTCGGGAAGCCTCCCGGCACACCCCCAGCTGCTTTGTAAGTTTCAACAAACTCGTAAAAGCTGCCACGAACCGTGTCTAGGGTTTCGGTCGAGAAGGCCGTGTCGAAGCTAGATGTACGTATATCCCAGCGCACTAGAAGCAGGTTGCCATCGTGCTTCCAGGCTGAGTCGGCGGCTTGCACGGCGTTGGTGTAGTCACCGCCCCAGATATCGACGAAGCCCGAGACGGAGGCATCGGTAGGCTTGGTTTGGTAAACGGTCTTGTTGAAGAGCTCGATGGCGAGCTCCTGAGTCAGGGGCTTCGAGCTGGGGATGGTGACGGATGTAATGTAGAAGTAGCGGCGTGCAGTGATGGTTTGCGCTATTATACCAGGGGTTGTGATGTCCTCCGAATCCCAAAAGTTGAATTGGTTGGATTTCACCGTCATGTTGGGCAGGTAGCTCAGCAGCGATTCAGCCACAGCTTGGAAATTGGATTGATCGCCGTAGTAGAAACCGGCCAGCGTCGAACTTGTACGGAGGGCAAAGCGGATGGACAAGTCATCGTCGTTATCGACACTCTGGGCCCAATTCTGAGCGCCGAACAAGGCAGCGGCATTCTGTTCGATGGTAGGCGTTATCCCAGATGGGAAGGAAATAGTGTAGTTGGTGACTGTGGTTGCCGGGGATAGAGTTTGGATGCTCATGGTGAGAACAACTCCCAGCGAGTTTCCTGCTCCTCGCAGTCCCCAGAAGAGGTCCGTATTCTCTGTCAGACTGGTGTCAACGATAGTCCCGTTTGCCAGTGCCACCCTCATAGCCACGATGTTATCTAGCACGGTCCCAGACTTGCGCGAGAGCGTGCCGAAGCCTCCGCCCATACCAACTCCTGTCATACCAACATCAGGGCAGCGTCCGTGAGGCAGTGCACGGGAATAGCTGTTCCAAAGAAACCCTGCTGCCTCGGAGATCATGACGGGACCGCCGAGTGTGACCTGTTGGGTGTTGGTGTCGAAAGACAGAACCTTCATGTTGCGCAGGTTGATGATCAAGGCGCCATCGTTGCGGCCGAATCCCATACTGGCAAAGGATCGGTTGCCTCCCAGCGTGGTAACTTTGACGTTGGCGTCGCTCGCGCATTTGAGGATGGTTGTCACCTCGGCCTCGCTCTTTGGAAACACGACCGCAGCAGGAACTGGACTGAGTCGAGAATTCCAGGCCAGCGTGTCGTTGACCCAGTCAGCACTGGAAGGGAGAGAAGTTTCTATCCCCGCAGCGCCGAGGCATCCTTCCAGTGTAGAGTTTTGCCGTCTCAGCAAAGCCGTACTGTCGAACTCGTGGTGAGGGGCGAAGGCCAACGAACATGATGCAAAAAGAAGGGCGAACGCCGCCACAAGAAGCGGGAAGTTACGATCTGAAGACCAAGGGACCGTCATGGTGTGAAGCGAAAGTTGTGTAAAGAACGTGTAGGCCTCTGAGCAAAACAACAACCGATATTCAGATGGGCATCGTTCTCTTTTAACATTAATGATTGTAGCCTTGCCAGTGGACACCAGGGCCAGATTCGGGAGATGCGGAGATGCTAGAAATAGCGTTTGGATGCAGTCCAAGGCTTCATGCACCGGTATGAGCCGGAGTTGATTAATAACTAGACTCACTTAATGTAAACGCCAAGGGGTTTTTTCCACGCCTGCGCCTCTGACCCGATAGTGTGGAATGCCCCTTGATGACTGCTTGTTGCTTGAAATAAATTGGACCGCCAAGTAATTGGTTTATGGAGCACGGGTTGCGAAAGTATAATAGATGCGCTATGTCGCACGTACGGCCAGACCCGAGTCATGACCACACCGCGAATCTCGGCCGTTTGGTTTTGGTCTTTGGTTGGACTCTCAAATAACGACGTACCGAATAATTCCTTGAAGGGGAATTTTGCCTCGACCTGCTTCATGCTGGAATCCTTGAAATGGTGGGTTTGTGTGTACCTTGCGAGCCGTCCAATGTCTATTATAGTATTATGTAGGTAGTCTAGGCGGGGCCTGTTTTATGGGGTATGCCTAACGGGTTAACCATAATATATGATGGGTCTTCTTTAATTAGGTTTCCATGGACTGTGCACATTTGATTCGTCTGCCTTGGCAACAGTCCTGCGTATATCATCCAAGTAGAGCATATTAAGGGGTTTGTGTCACGGGGTTCCGTTGCGAAATCATGCGTGGAATTAGATGCCGAAGTTTCATTAAACCAGAAAACTGTATAGTCCGCTCGCTGTCAGGCACAGGTTCCAACACATGGACATACCATACGCCACCACATTGATGTTGTTGAATGTTAGGACCAAGATGAAAGCAAGAAACAAGAGATACAGTGGTTTGGCATTATCGCCGTCGCAACTGCGTTGTCATCTTGTTGGAAAAGCTCCAAACCGTGTAAGCCTGATCATCGACATAAACCAAAAAGTCATCATCACCCAGCAGCCTCTGAACTCCATGTGGCTGTGGTGAGATACTCTGCCTTTGGCTTGCGTATCTTCGGCTGGCGTCCAACTCGAAGTCTACAGTGCTCAGTAGTTTCCTTGTCTGCAGGCTACAGGTCGTGGATGTGAGTTCACGGTCGATATTCCGATGGCGTCGAGTTATGATATGATGATCACCATGCCTCGTTGTAGTTGTGTAACGCGGAGGTATGCGATCAGGCGTGGGATGATGCCGACTATCTACACAATCGTTCACCGAAACGATGGTCCTGGAAACCCCGTTCACGTAGCTCGTGGCCAACCGACCGTTCCACACATGGTATGCTGCGATTGCTCCGATATTGTCCTGCCGATGGTGACAGAGAATGTTGAAGGACTTGGTGTAGATGTTGAAACAGACAGACAAGTGGGCCGTGGGGGGCATCGTGTCGGTTTCGGAGAACTCGGTCCTGTCCAAAGACCCGTCGGAGTCGAGCGGATCCCCAACTGGCCAGCTTCGGCAAGTCCCGTAGGCTGCAAGCAACGAGTATCCACCAAAGGAGTCGCACTTCTCCCAGCGCAAGTGGTCACGATTCCCGAGTGTTCTGCCAGATAACACATGATTTCCTAAATCGGCACTTTTCCCTAGGCTGTAAGATGCTATCACTCGGTCGTGGGCATATTCATGGACAACCAATTGCGCTTCGCGTACCGTGAAATGTCCGTCACTGTGGTAGATGATTTGTTGCTTGCGATAGGTGACAACGAAGAAGACGTCGGGGGCAGTCGGGTGGATGAAGAAGTCGAGGAGCAACCCGCTCTCTTCCAGACGTAAAGCAACGCGGTGCGCGCCGACGTGATTGGTGCTGGGCGGGAATTGTGGCACGTCAGCAATGATGACTGGCCCCGGGATGTAACACGGGAAGTCGTGCATGTCGACGTGGCGCAATGGATGACCGAATCTCCAGAGGTATATATTCGCATAGATGGAAACGAGCAAGACGTTGTCCCCTTCGACGACACATCGCTTAAACGTCTCTGGTATCTCGACAGACTGCAACCTGTCCTGTTCAAAGTGCCATGCATGCAAAAGTCTGTCTCGACCCATGAGCAGCAGCTTGTCGCTCATGGCCGTCTTGTATCCCAGCTTCTCGCCCTGGTTGTCAGGAAACACATAGGCCCGTCGTTCTCTGGTGCGCAGATTGTCCACAACAGCAAAATATGGCAGACCATAGGCTTCAGGCCACCATGCAATTCGCTCATGGTTGTACATCATGAAACGGGGAAAGCCCTCGTCTGGTCCCAGATCCAACGGGCCCTGGTACGAATGAATGCCGCCCTGGACAGCGGGGACGCCTTTGCTCAGTTCGAAGAATCGGTCATCTTGAAGCAACATGCCGTGATGAAGCGCCGAGGCGAACCTGCCGGCCACTCTCCAGCAATAATTGTGCAGATGACGCCGAAAATGTTCACCCATGCCTTTCCCACCGCTTGTCGTTCGAATATGATCTGACAGACCAGGAAACCAGCGACTGGCAAGTCCGGGCCATATCTGATCGCTGAGCCAGATATGGCGCCAGCTATGACAGACGTTGAGGCCAGCTGTCACATCATCAGGCTCAAGATACTCTAGGAGCATCATGTGCAGCTCTAGCGGCAGATGGCTGACCATATCGGCCGCTAAAGAAGTTGCCCAACCTGTGGCTACCTTTGTCGAGGTGGGTGGTCGAGTAGATGTCGGTCGACGCAAATGCTTGAAAAATGATTTTAACATGGCTGGCTTGGTCGTCTTTTTTGTAAAGTTATCCATGAACTTAAATAGGACGGTAAGATTCTTGGATCCTGGGTGAATCATGTACCCCGCGACGGCACAGCATATCCCTGGCTCCCCGCATGCCTTGGGCGATGCCCAACTAACCAATATTGACTTAGGTGGGCTAGTTCAGACCAGATGGGGTAGGTATCCTAGCTTTAATACTAAGCATACTTTTGGGGTGTATGCCACCCCGGATATATTTTCCGGGATCTTCGTAGATCAAAACCGATACGGATTCAGGTTTAGTACATCTTCTATGCTAAGGTCATCATAAGATAAAGGACAATTTTCCAGATCTGATCATTTGTACATATACGATCATTTCCACTAAACAACCTATTCGCTGCTACTTCGTCACAAATTCCATTTCCTTGGTAGCAGCCTGGGCTGTATATGAACAGTGTTAGCCTGGAATTACAGATAACAAAAAGTTCCTCTCGAAAACAGGAGAAAGCACTTCATTATGAATGCGGGAATAAACAATGCCTTTATTCTGTTGAGAGTCTAAGAAACAAAAGTAAGAATATTTGGTTTAAATAGAAAACCCATATTACTAATTAAGGAATCTAGCTAAGAAAGGTTGAAGACAATTCCGGCTTGAGAACCAACACAAAGGTACCATAAGAGGGCACAGCAGCTCCTGGCCAGGGCTGCGTAAATCGCGGACCCCAGTTGCATTGGGCGAAGATCATGGGAGAGTTTCCGGAAATGGAAACAGAGTACAGATACTGGCTCGACATGTAGAGAAAAGCATTGCTCGCAGACCACGCACTGGTCAGAATACCAGCATTAACAATGTAGGGAAAAGTATGGATGCCAGCGTTGCGGATCGCAATGATCTAAGGAGATGCATCGGCATTCCACGCGCCAGATACAAGACCTGCGGATGTGAAAATGCATGTTGCTCCCATGGCCGAGATTCCAATAATGTTATTATGTGGCTTTTGCATGTTGCCTCAGCTATGTCTCGCCTTTGGCTTAAATCCCATTTGCAACTTGTTCAGAGATGAGTTGACAGAACGCCAATTAACACGTGAAGTACAAACACCCCTATTGTATCCCAGCATCTCAAGTCCTGTTGCGTGCCCCAGGCACTCCGCCTGTGTGCTGGGTGCAGCGCTTGGGATAATTGTCCACGATAGCCCTTCCGTAGCTATGTTGATCATATCTGAATATTTGGCTATAATCTATCGAGTCATTTTCTATTTGACCCTGGCTATGCAGCAGCCACTGAAACCTTTCCAGGGTACCGTCCGAGTTAAGTCGGTTATAATGTAGAGCCATGTCGATTGCTGTTAATATTAGTATTTTTGTGTATACTTGACAGAATCAGGTGCTTTCTTTATTACAGGCAGCACCCGTTACGAATAATACGTCTTTCCCTAGCAAGAATATAATAACGTTTGTCACCTCAATGGGCCACGCTCTCTACTTTTGCGCAGTTACCTATAGACTACGTTTGATATCCTCCAGGTCTTCGCATTTAACCGCATTGACCACCTTTTTGCATGCACCCCCATTTTGCAGGGTCTAACTGAATCAACCTAAATACTTCGTCCATATTATTTATATACGCCGGCAGGATAGGCCGGCGAAGAGGAAGCAGGCGTCGCAGCTACTCCGACCGGCAGGGTACACTATGGAGAAGGAGGCCCGGGGCTCCGAGTGGATGAGTGAGGAAAAGGAGGTCCCGGCTGCCCTCCTCGGCCACTGGAGGAAGAGATGGCTCACCGGAGCAGAGCATCACGATCGCCAGCGACGCGCCATCGCTGAGGAACCGGAGGGCCCTTCGACGCAGATACCGAAAGGGGGCAAGTATTTCGGCCTGAACCGACTGGAAGCGTCTACGCTGTGCCAGATCAGGACGGAAAAAATAGGACTAGCAGCCTTCTTATTCAAGACAGGGGGTTTTGGCGTGTACTCGCCGCTATGCCGCTGTGGCGACGCCCCTGAGACGGCAGAGCACGTAATCCTCTTTTGCGGGCTGTTGGAAGGACCGAGGGAACGATTACGGGCCGCCATCGCACCACGGCCACTATACTCTCGCAGAGACCTCGCAACGGCAACAGGAGAACCAGTAGTTAGTGGGACTATTGTAAGGTGGCTGCTAGGGACGGGTCGGACAGCTTCAAGGCCCAGATAGCATCGATCTTCTCAGGGGGGACTTTGTTGGTAGGTTGAGAACCAACGTAGTATGGTAGTGGACGTAACGCAGTCGCCAATAGGGCGAACCGACGACGCAGCGTATGTATTTAGTCCAGCCATTAGGGCACGGTTTGACATACGGGAGTACTAGTAGAGGTACCGGGGGCTTCGAGCCTACGGCGTATTTAATAATAATAATAATAATATTTTCCGTAGTAAAGGCTCTCTCCGAGGCACGTAGATATGCTTCTAGCATACGTTGCTTGTAAATTGGGGCTGTAGCCTTGTAGGAAGCGTAAGCCCTGAGCTCTTGGCGGTAGTAGGTCTTCAAAGGTGAGAACGGCCCGACATCGCACGGCTGGAGATCGTCACTGCAGTCTGAGGGTAAATACAGCACGGCGACTCTATTAGAGTAGGCTTTCCACATAAATTCGGCATGAATATGTGTCTGGTGGCCGTCGAGGATAAGGAGTCGCCATTCGGTACCCCTAGGCTTCGTCTCGGGGAGAAAAACCTGATCTAACCACCTATTTGCGATAACTTTATTACTCCAGCCCTTACTCGTCGCGGTGTATTCCCACTCAGGGATATTTTGGTCTGGGAACCACTGTGCTTGGACTCTCTTGCCGGAAAATACGCAGACAGGTGTACCCCGTTGGGTATGCGAAATGTACTCTAACCAGGGGCACCACGACGAAGCGTCCGACTTTGATACGCGTACCCGGCGTGAATTAGACGTCCCAATAACCGTACCATGCCCAGATTCCCCCTCTTGGACACCTGTCTCATCCATATTATACTCGTTGTCGGGTTTGATACGATACTTCGTACGTAAGCGTTCGAGGAGGGTGTAGAAGTCTCGGATCTTGTTCGAATCGGACGCTCTAACTCGGCTAGCATCTACGACGCGCCCAATTTTGGTACGTATCTGTGGATGGCGGCTAACGAAGTGATCCACCCAGTGTTGGCCGAGTGTATTGTTATCCCTTTGAGCAAGGAGGATTTCGGCAGCGAAGTCGGCCACATAACGCTTGCTAGGAGCCCGTCCACACACTTCTTCGTGTAGGATCCAGTTCACGATAACCTCCTCTTGCTCTGGAGTCAACTTTTGTTGCCTGGAGGCCGCGTCGCGATGCGAATTACCGTGACGAATACGGTAGGACAGTGTAGTCCCCTTGATACCGTACCGATGAGCTTCTACGGCCTGGGAAGAGCCCTGACGGACAAGCTCTTTAGCGCGTTCGATTCGCTGCTCAAAATTGTCCAGACTATTCTCCACTGGATTAGCCATTTTGTACGTAGATAGGGAGCAATTGCGAGGTAAATTGAGAGCCGTCGTGTTGTTGAGGCGTAGAAATTCCCTGCAAAATGGGGGTGCATGCAAAAAGGTGGTCAATGCGGTTAGCTCTTGAGGGTATGATGGTATTAGTGGCATAATAGCTCACTCTACATGAGGGTCATTATGAACCTCTACCGGGGCATCTCATGGTAGTGTGGAACTGCATCGTAAAGCGCGGCTGCCTTGCTTTGCTTTCGCACTGAACAGGTTTGTTTGCATCGTGTAATATAAAGTAACAGTGTGCGGGGTTTGGAAAACGGCCTGAAGATCATAAGGTCAGCCGTGGTCCAGCACCCCGTCTCTACTTGAGTTATTCTGAAAGTAATAAGGCGATGATGAAGAAGAGTGCATGTTCACATGGTACAGTTTTTCGGGAGGGTAGGGGGTGCCTAGGCCCAATTCGTATCTAGGTTCAGTTGATAGTGCAAATACGCAAACTAGTTTCACAATAGAGTCTTGGGACGATATTTCAAACACTATTATTAGCAACTCATCAGATCCTCTGCCAATATTCAAGCCATTTTGCATAAGCTCAAGATAGCAAAACCGATGATTGCTTCTTATGGCAACTATGACGACGAGTTTCATATGAAGAACATCTCAGGTTACATCTTTTACCGAGGCCATCCCTCTTGCGGGTTGTATATAAATTAGCATGAGGTTTCGGTGGATATCACGCTTGTCATTATTGTGAAGAACATCCAATAGCCCTGTCTTTCACCAAATCACACGTATCAGGCTGTCAATTGTCATTATGTCCGTTAGCTACCCTCCAAGCTACCACAGTGTATACAGCGAAGAAGTAGACCAGAGTGCGAGCACCAACTATAGCACCGCAAGCTACGACCACCAATCATCCGGCTCTTTGTCTCAGACTACCGGCATCACGGACAGCTTTGAGAAGACTGATCATGAGCACGATATGTCTGGACCTGCCAAGCCCCCAAATGACAGACCTGTGGCTGGTCGCCCGAGAGTGTGCTACAGGGCGGAGGGTTCGCAGCGCGGCAATCCACACCAGAAAACCACCAACATCGGGACCAGTACAGAGACTGCTGGTGAATATGAACTTGAGGACTTGGGTGATGTCAATAAGAACACCGCATCGTCACCTAGAGTTAGAGTCGCTAACACTGCGGGCAATGTTGTCCAGACGGTTGGGGACGCGATAGGTGTCATATCACGGGGTGTCGAAGAAACCATCTCAAGCGCAGCTGGTTACCATGGCCCTGGAAAACGTGCCGGGCGGATCATTGGAATGGTTGGTGCACATATAGAGACTGGACTGGGGCTGATTGCGAACGATATACGCGAAAAGTGAACATCTTCTAGGATAGCGTCATTTGTTGGGCACTTGGGGTCACGAAGATAGGATGGTGAGCATTATATCCTGATACGATGAGTAGGGGCTTTCACAATCCACTATGCACAATCCCCAGAGAACCTCATAACTTAAGCTGAAATTGGTGACTGATCCCATTCCTCGATATGCGGTCTGACGTATGTAACTTGGTAGCGGTTGTGTTTGCCTGACCCCTAGAGGTAGCCCCTTATTATGAGCTGCCCATTCCTTGCTCGATAACAGGTGGCGAGACTTTTACCGCGAGAAACGGTGAAGCCAACTGTTTTCTCACTAAAGGCAGTGCTGTGGCACTTGTGGCTACTCTCTCGCCTCTGAGCACCCTTCGACCTCACCCACCACGTATATTCAACTCTTCATCTAATGTCTCAGAGTTCAAGGCAACAAATAGCCCTTCATGATTCATTCAAATGGGTCAAGGGCCTTCAAGGGACACCGGAACGGTCAAAAAAGAAGAGTAGAGGATCCAGGCAACGTTGAAGCTCCGAAGAGACGGACTTCTCCTGGTTACTTACGGTCAAATGGGAGGCAACTGCGATCTGCCAGCGGCTCGCACGCTATCAGACTATCTACGCTATGAGCGATGCTGGCGGGTAGTAACCTGGAACGAACGAGGCCCCAAGCGATTTGACATTGGTGCCTGAATAGGCGATACAGAAGTCAACGATTACAATTTGCAAATCACTTCTCGGGAAAGTGCAATTCCTTCTCTATCAGAACGTAGAGCTGACTATTGGCAATATAGCCCACCATCGGAGAGGCCATGGCTCAGTTTGTGGAAGAATTTCCCAGTGCTCAGCAAGCACAGCTCTTTTATCTGCAAGTCGATAATCTGTTGCCAGTCACTCCAAGCAAAACTTCAATCCGTGACCTGACTACACACAAACCCAGAGATACTCTCGTCCACCTCCGAGCTTTCACCAATTCTCTCTAGCGCATTATTTACTGTTGTCCTACCACGTGTAGCTCAATCCCTTGATCGGAGTCTTCAGAGCAGGCTCGTACTTCCACTGGATTGAGGCACGCAGGGACACGACTGGGAATGGCCTCCGTAGTGAATTCAACGGGAAAAAACCTGAAGTTGCAGGTGCGCTTACGATTGCGGCTGGTCTGGACGCATTTTCATTGACGGAGTTTGGGCGGGCATCCTAGGTGGTAAGAATACTGAAATGTGCTGAAGCAGTTTATGGTTGACGGCGTTGGACACGATTGGGGTGCGAGGTGCTGTATGACCTCGAAAGTCGACAAGTGGCTATGCCATCACTACGTATTTTAAAGCCATATCCTGCCGGGGCGATGAGCTTGTCCCTCAAATAGGAGTTGACTTGACCATTCTTTGAGGCAGATCGACTACATAAAAAGGTTGACTGATCTTGAAAACCTCGAGAACTCTCATGAAAAGCTGTTGTGGGGGGTCCTAGTATCAAATATCATTAAATGTAGTGTAAATGCCAGGTATCATCTCGCATGTCTCTTGTTCACATTACCGCCGGGTGTAAAATACAGCTAGGCCGCCCCATGACGTCTCGCTTCCTATGTCTCGTAGAAGCATCCGAAAGGTTCCATTATGTCCCTCTCCTCCTCTTAAGTACTCCCGATCCCGCTCTATGCACCCGCCCTGGATCTCTGTGAGAATCCATGTCTATCCCTGTAGACCCAAGCGTCATGGAAAATACACACGATGGTGTGAGGTATAAAGGTAAGTCACTGCGTCCGCGTAAAGAAGGTGCGGCATCCCATTCACTGGCGCGTAGAGTTGTACCCACGGCGGTCGCTCCAACCCCAGCCATATGGAAGACAAGCAAAGATATCCTAGATCCTGCCTCCTTCTAAAACCTCTCTACCCAAGATCTCAATTTCGCCTGATTCTGCCGTACGACGACGCTCCATAACCCAACGTGTTTCCCCGCTGTCCTCTTCTTTAGTGTACGAGACACTGTCTGCACTGCCCTTGTGTCGATGCCCCATACCCGGTCGCTTTTGCGAGGGTACTCCGACGACGGGACTCATGGGATCAGACGAAGATGAGTACTTGGTCCACATGTCCGAATTGGACATACTCGTGCTCATCTCTACCGTATCCGACTCCTCGTCTTCAATGACAGGTGGGAAGGAAGCAGCTGAAGGTGGCGGTGGCGAGAAGAGCGGTGCGGGGACCGGCGATGTTCCGGAATTGGAAGTTGAGCTCGATGACGCGTTCAGTGGTGGAAGAATGGCATTATTGGGGATTGCCGCCGTCGACATGGTCAGTGTCGGACTTCCAGAGCCGCTGCCGGCCCCAGAGTCTTGGCTCCATAAGGAGAAGGCCGAGTTCTTCCGGCCATGATTGGGGGGCCCCGCGACACCGAGCAATTCCCTAGACTCCTGACCACATGCGAGTGGGCTAGCCGCTCCATTTTTATCACTTGGTGAACCCTCGCGCGAGCTCGCAAGCGACACCTGAGAACCACCCCAGGCTTTGGATCGCAGTCGTATTAAGGCGGACAGAGACATGTTGTCGTCATCAGCCATCATTGCGAGTTGAGCTAGCCCTGGACTCTGAAGCGATGCATCCCGGTTGCCGCCATTTGGCAACGTAAAACTCATGATGGAGTTGCGGTTGGAATACTCAGAGCGCTCGGTGATAGGAGTAAGATTAGGCTCTCTAGACACGAGATGTCCAGATTTGGTTCGAGCGACGCCGCTAGGGCCGAAGTAGCCACCGTTTGAGTAATGGAAAAGATTCTGCTCACTGAGAGGTTCCGGCCCATGATGTGGTTGATGTTGCGGCGCCGGTGCCGAATAGAAGCCAAACTCTTGGCCGTACCAGCCGTCTGAGTCATTGGCGAGGGCGCTGGCATTGGCTTCGGCAATGATAGCGTCGTCATCCAATTCATAATCATCCAGTCCCGTGGAAAAGCCACCGTCGAACTCATAATCATCGGCCGAGTCGATATTGTTCTGGGACATATCGGAACCACTGGTTGTAGGTGATGTGATAGTCACATCCGCTGGAGGCTGCAGATCTGAGTCTCTTCGAAACTTGCCAGTTGCGGCGGCTTTGTGAGCGGCAGCGGCCAAAGCCGCCTGATAAGCCGCCATGTTATCCTCTTCGGGGGCAGGAAATGCAGGGACCGGCGGTACTGGTTCCTTGGGCGAAGCCAAGTCTTTCTGAGTTTTCCCCAGACTCAGCAGTGATGTACGGGCCGTAGACTGAGAAAAGCCGGATTGAGCGGACAATCTTGAAGTGACATCGTCCGAGTTGCGTTTCTCCAGCTCCTGGGCAGCCATCCTTTGCGCCAAGGCATTGGCAAACATGCCAGGAATCGGTCTGCCGTACTGATCCGTATCGTCAAGATCGAATAACGACTCGTCAAAGGCCGTACCGTCTCCTTCGCCCTCGAACTCGTGATTTCCAAAGTACAGCTCGTCGTCCTTAGTTGGCAGGGTGGGAGCGATCTCATCGCCCTTATTCGGCAAGCCAGAACCAGTCTCTTCCTGTCCATTAGTGGGCGACAGTTGGCTCGGGTTCTCTATGGTCTCATCAAGCCCTTGAATCCCGAGACCAGTTGGACTATCTTGCGCTGGGGACCACGTAGGTGATTTCGCTAGAGAGGTTAATCCCGGCAAATCTAGGGAATCGATTTCGGGACCGCGGGCATCGGCTGCCTCACCAGTGGTAGCACGGCCGATGACATCGCCGGCGGCGTCTTGTGGAATAGGCTGCACCGCAGAAGAGGGCTGAGCAGACATCGACTCGGATCTTTGGAAAACGAAGCCCGCAAAGTTCTCTTGGTCATTATCGGGATCCAGTTCTGTCTCAAAATCTTCTTCGTCGTCGTAGTCAGCGTTTACTCCTGGTATTCTTTCCTCCAAGCCATCATCGTAGTCCATCGCATCGTAGTCGAACGCATCTTCATCAAAGTCATCAAAGCGAGAGTCCCGCTGGACAAAGGAATTTGGCCTCTTGTCTTGTTGTTTTCGGCGATAGCTTTCCTCAAGCAGCTTCTCCGCCTTGGCTGCTCCTATCATATCAAAGCTGAATCTGGAAGAAGTGCTCTTCATGTGCTTGGGAAGAGATGAGAAAGCATCCCTGCCTGACATTGTCGAACTCTTTCTCGACAACGAGGATATTGACGCCGGAATCGAGCTCTTCCTCCGATTGACGTCCTTGTCGCGTCTAGAGCTTTTACCAGACAGGCCATCAGAAGCGGCCTGTGAGGTTTCATCAAAGGGCTTCGTGAATGATGTCGAATCTGCTGAGGCGGCAGTGGACAAGGATGACTGTATGGATGGTGCCAAGGGAGCGGGTTCGTCCTTGGGAGGCACTGGTGGCGCTGGAGGTTCGGGTACTTCTGCAACAGGCGACGAGAATGTCTTCACCAGTGCCTTCCCTGTTCCTTTGTTGCTCACTTCGATGCTTGACACAATTCTTCTTGGACGCGGCGCACTGAAGTCATGGACACGTGTGCCTCGAATAGGTTCATATGAAGGCTCCTTACGTAACTCTAGCGACAGATCCGGGACGTTTTGACTTGTCTTCCTCCTCATAAGTAAAGTTGACATGGGATTCTTGAGGAAGGGAAGACTCTTCCGGCCCCTGGAGGGTTCCTGTGCCATGCTGTGAACAGGCATTCCTTGCAATTCCGTATGGATACCAGCGCCAGGCTGTCGCTTTCCTGCTGAGCCAACTCGGAGATCGGTCGGAGCAACAAAGGACTTGTTGGGCCACATAGGTGGTCGACTTGCAGGACTCGTCACAGAGGAATCTGGCTTGTACGACTGGCCGTCCTGGTAATCCGTCGGGCCCGGCCTCATAGCATCTTGCCCGTTGCGATAGTTCTGCAGGGCAAGTCCCCCTAGGAAGCCCAAGTCGTCATTGTGATGTGTCCTAGCCTGTGGCCGTGACTCAGACGCTTTCAGATCGATGGCGGACTCGTCATCGGCTGAGCTGACTCGTCTAATTGGAGGTAAGGTCGGAGCGAGTTGAGACTGCCGTTGCTGCTGCTGCTGTTGTTGCGACTGTGGCTTCCCGTGGCCGGTGAGAGGTACGCCTATCGAGACTCTCGGTTCGATGTCTGGAGACGGCACGCCTTCATCGGGAATCAACTGTGGCGGTTGAATCGCCGACGAATCCCACAGACCGTTCTCTGGGATTGGAGAAGTGGGGGTAGACGGCGCGCGTCGGTGGAAGCGGAGGTGTGAAAGCATTCCTGCGTACGGCTCGGGGCCTCGGGCTGGAATGTTCGATGTCTGAAGTCGCGCGTGTGTCGCGAGTCAGCACCGTATACGCTGCGCCGTAGCGTCGGGGATCCCGTTGCGCGCAACGCTTGGTGCCGTCTTGTGGCCGTCTTGTGGAAAAATTCGCGCCGTCATTCGAGGAATCGCGGGAACATCTCGCAATCCTTCGCAAGTAGTCTTTCTAGGCTCCAGACGATATACATGGGTGCTTGGGAAGCATATCGAGACGGGCGTCGTCGCTGGGTGATGAACCTAGTGTGAACGTGGGATTGGCTGAGGGGGAACTGCAACGAAAGTAAGCGGGTGCCTGTCCAGTGCGCAAGAAACTGCCAACTCGTGTCGTCGGAGGTTCTGAGAAGGATACGAAGGCTGATACGAATTCGTCGCCAAGCCCGAGTCTCGAAAAGTCCTGTGACAATTCAATTGTTGTTGCCCTTACCTATTTTAGGTGTCCGTTGGCAGTTACAAGCCTTGGATAAGTCTAGAAGGTGCCTAAGGTTCCAAGGCTGCACCACTCTCAGGCTGTGAGCAGCATGTGGACCCGCGACTACGTTGTTACCCGTCATTTGGAGCACTCTAAAATAACTAAAGCAGTTCGTCTCGAGCTCGGCAATTATATGGATCTTGGCCCGTGCAGTCCCCCAGCGCCAGATGTTCGCAATCATGGAGCCCTTGCTTGAGCTTTGAACTGCAACTTGGTATCCCCTCCCAATTTCTATTGTAGCCACGTGCGTCTTTCATTGCGGCAAACTCGGCCAATTGTTCGACCCTCCATGCAGACTTTCATAATGTCAAAATCAATCAATTGTCAAGCGTAGCCGCGCTAGTTAGAGTTCTCATGTTCCAAGCTCGTCACGACTTGAACCAATGCGAGTACGAGTGCGAGTGCGAAGGGCGCCATATCTCTCATGCCAAGAGCATATTCTCGAGCTTCCAGGATATGGGCATGAGCACGTTATCGTTGTGAGCTACTTCGAGCAGCGAGCAGCGCTAACCTCTCATACTGCCCGGATCGCAAGCCAGTCTGTCGTCTTCCATCCAAGTCTTCTTACATCTGTCCTAAGCATATGTCAGCTCTCCGAACGACAGGATGCTGTGCGTTATCCACTTGGCAGGGCTTTTACTCCTTGTCTTTGTGTCTCTTAACGTACGTACAGTGATATAATAAGAACTACGAACACAGGGTTGGGTTGGTGCAATGCAGTGTCGGACTTTGCGGTCGAGTGGTGTTATGACAGCGTTCTAGTCCTCAGCCTCATCCTTTCCATTCTCTCTTCAGGCGGTGTGGAAGATCAACGAGCTTCCAATCACGAGTTTCTTGGGTTTGTCTCGCTGTGCCCTGTTCTTTCATGTCATCTATCTCAAGTGGATAGCAACCATGGCTCAAACGAGGTTTCTCGATGGACAGCTGGCTTGAACCCCATCTTTCACCTTGACGACCGTCTTTTTAACCGAGCAGTTCGACTGCCAGTGTATTGTGGCAAACTACGTGCCTCAGCTTCAGGCGGTGCCTTCAGTTACTCAGAGCTTCAGTTGACGTTCAGTTCGTGGTCAGTGAAAATAGAATAACCCAACGCTAGCGGCCGGCCTCACTGGTACAACGACCCTTCACGTCACATTCAAATGGCCTGTCGGCCAAGCACTGCTTATTCCAGGAGCATGATTCGTCTTAAGGGGGACTGGGCTGTTGCTTAGTCGCTTTTCAGAATTTCTCTCATATCATTCCGCAATGTTTCAAACTCGGCTCTCTCTCCTTGGTATTGCAAAGGCTCGCATATCTCTAACAGCGGCAGCACTGTCTTGCCAGGCATAAAACGATTTTATTTTCGCTGACCAAATTGTTCATCTTGGGTTTCTAGAGACACAGTCAGTTGTCCAAAAAGAGATCTTGGCCAAAGGCACCTCCTTCACCAATCTCTATGCCACGGTCGCACAGTGTCGTCCAAGCAGAGCGTCGCTGTTCGGAGGACAAGCAGTACATTAAGTCAACATCATCAACGTGAGACACCCAGGAGGTAACTAAGAGAAATGACTTATTGCTGCGGAAAACGATGATTACCTCTCATACTGGTTAGTTAAGGCTGGGTACGATGCTGAATAGATTGGCAAATTCATGAATGGATGGTAACTGGAATCCTGAGAGCAATGAGCACAGGGGCAAAAGGCAGCTTGATAAACCACCTTCGTTACATGGATGATATTATGATCGGTTTCGCGGATAGACAATTGACAGCTCGGATCCAAGCACTTCAGGCCGTTGACGACATAGTCGAAGACGTTGTCAACCTCCTTGGGGGAAATGGGGTATAAGAAAACACCTACATCCTCTACGCAACCTATAACGGGTACTACACTGGCAGCCATTGTGCGCCGGCGAGAAAATCTTTTCTATAACGCGATAACACCAATCTGCCTTTCGTCGTGCGTGGACTTTGTCTCTGAGCCAATGTCGTATCGAATCCTACGGGCTTGCCCAAAGATGAATACTCGCGAACAGAACACAGCCGCACGAGCCTGGTCGCCGTGGGTGGCGCTGATCTGGAAGGCGTCGTAGTAGAGTCTAGGGCCAAGGCGGTGGCGGTGCTGGGATATTCCTCTTCTAGAAGCTGAACAAGAGAGTGGTAATCAGCTAGACTGGCAGCAGGGTTGTTCACCATGCCGGATGGATTGCCGGCCGCCTCGTCAAGACTCTGTATCTTGGTGCGTCGGGTGTCGCTGGCCTGTCTAGCGGAAGCGTCAAGTGAAAATGTGTCGCAGGCGCATTCGAATCCGAATGCGTAATTCAGCTTTGTTTGTCGTGTGGTAAATGGGCCACCCTCAGTATAGTCAATGGTGATCTCCTCCCCGGCGAGGATGGCCCGATAGCGTGACTTGTTTCAGTCGCGCTGTCTCCGTTCCAGTTTGTGGGAACTGGGAAGACAACTGTGATTGACGCGGCAGATGTTTGGGTAGACCCCCCCTGGTAGTCGAACCAGAGCCGCAGGTTAGCGCATTGATCTTGGTGATCCCGGAGAACGGGTTCTTTCCGGGGTAGTTGTTGTGGAGAGAAACTGATACTGCTTTTCCTCAGGAAGACCCTTGAGCTTTGAAGCCAAGCCTTTTTCGAGAAGCTCTGCTGCCATATTCTAGACTGTGAAAAGGGGCTTCTTGCAAAAAATCCGTATGCCCTTTTAAATATTGACATGAGCCACGACACCAGTCCCTTTACCCCAAATGGACACCAATTCGAACGTGTTTATTTCCATGTTGTTGGTTGAATCAATGCGAGCTTCTGGAAGCGCAGTCAGGATATCTCCTGATGCCTCAAGCTAAAAGTATTATACAACAGGTCAGTCAACTAATCACATGGAATTGGCCAAAAGAACAAACTTTTTTGCAGCGGTGTTGTTTGGAGGATCAAAAAGGACAGAGATTCTGTGTAGAATCAGAATCAAGAAGATAATGGGGGTTATGTGTGTTTTAGATATGTGTAGGGCCTGAAATGCCCTGTGTTGAAGAGTGTTGTTTGCAAGTTGGGCATCGTTTCTTTCAACAGGGCCGTGATGTAGTAGCCACAGATAGAGGCGTTGGCTGGGCGCTGAACATTTACGGTGCTCACGACCGTAGCCACGATTGTTTGGGAGAAACGCATGTTTAGTATATTGGCAATAGAATGTTTGGAATGTTGATTTATCTTTAAAAACGAACAATTCACACATGAGAAAATTGCAATCCAAGTTCTGACGGGTGTGCATCACCTCTCGGCTGTGGATGTTTCTTATGCAGATTGAGCCATAGCCGGCTACCGGCAGATATATCCCAATTACTCGAGGAACCCAGTGTAACTCCTGGTGGTCTCTCAAGTACAATGTCAGAACTCTATTCGATAATATTAGGTCTGATCCCTACTATATCTCGCTACAACACTAGGCGCTTCACGAGCTCCTATGCTACTGGGTCAACGCAATTACCTCAATGGGAAAACAAACATAAATTATATTTGTCACTTCGACCTCACTAAATCCTTGGCGATATATAGTCTGAATGGCATTGAGGCAGTGGCGCGGAACGCGTTGCTAGATGCCCGATGCATTTGTAACCGAGACACCTAGCCCCGGATTGGGGCTGCGGCGCATTTTGACAACTCATTCCATGTACTGCTGATCCCATCCATATTCTGGCGCATGCGCCAAACATATACCATCCGCACAATGCTTTAGGCAACCTCACCAACCTCACCATCCCTTCCGTTGGGTTGGAGATCAGATTAGTAAGCAAGATGGTCGTTGGATTGACCCACCGGCCATCTACAGTGAATTGGGTTGGTGACTTTATTGGTTGGCGTGTATAGGGGCCCACAGCTATAGCAACCATAGTTCAACCAACGTCACCAACCAAGTCTCCAAATTGCTATGGCTCGGCAACCAGGATCCGGAAGATTTATATATGAAGGCCAAAAAAAGATATTTTTTTCTTTCTCTATGATGGTTACTTCTGGTTTGAGGCGGGGTTTTGTAGCCCTGTACTTGGCCGTACCTTCCCACCTCCGGAGATTTGGTGGGCTGTGGTTTTTTCGCCAACCAGGTTGACTTGGTGAGGTTGCCTTGGGCTTTCATCCACATTTTGTACTAGGACTACATAGTATACAGACGTCAGATCTTCTGGGGTGAAGGGGCACTTTGAAGCAACACTTCCCAACACTTGCTGGTGGCTCTGGATCAAACTCAAGCACTGAAAAGGCTCATCTGTAACCTTTTTTGCGGCCTGCAACGGGGATCTTTTTATGCAGGTCTCAATTTCCCATGTTCAATAGTATGTCGTGTGCTCGATGATATTATACTAAACGTTCTCATCGCCCATTTTGCTTCTGACTTCTTGCAAGTAAAAAGGTCCTGTGGGGGAATCCAGATTACGACGAAACATAGCTTTCACAGAGACTACCAATTGTTCATTGGAAGCGTGTCATCATTTCAACTTTTATCTACTGCAATAAGGTAGTATTCCGACCCCATTTCAGCAGCCGAGGCCCCATCAGCCCCAGATCTCGGGAGCGCTAAACGTAATCGTAGCATTGTCCAACTTGATACCCAGATTAAACCGCAGAAGACCAGGCCAGAAGTTTTCGTAGTACTCATCACCCACAGCGTTCACATCATCAGCCACTGCATCGCCTGCTCCCTGGTCCATGTCAAACACTCCCAACGTCGCGTGATCCGTTGCCTGACCCGGCACTGTTGCCGCCCAGTGGTTGGTCCCCGGTAGTTCGCCATAGCTTCCGTTTCCGGCCGGCAAAGGTGGCTGGGCGAGAGTAGCATTGATGCCGATCCACTTGTACAGCTCCGTGCTAAACGGGATATTGTCGAGGAGCTGCGCCTTCCAGGTGGTCTGGAAGAAAGGCAGCTCGGCTGGATAAGCCTCTTCGGAGTTGCCAGTCGTGTCATAAGGATAGACCTTGACTGTGGTCTTCCCGTCCTTCTCGGTCCAGTCGAATTTGGCAAGATGCTTTGGGATATTCCAGTCTGAAGGCACTCGTTAGTTATGACTAGACCCCTGGCCTAGATGAGCGGACGGTCTTGATACGTACTCATTCTGCCATTCCAGCATGTATACTTCTGGCTCACGTAGATCCGTGACACGCGTACTTTCGTTTCCTCGTCGAGAATGCCGCCATCTCGCTCACGAGGGTATGAGAAGTATCCAGGCACGATGAGCAGTTCGTCGTAGGGGCCGACCGGGCTGTCAGTGTAGCGGATGATTTGGATCATGCCCAAAAGGCCCAGGTAGTCTCCTGCCGTGGCATTTACGTCGGCTCGCTCAAGCGGGGAGTAGGCCTTGGTCGGCAGGTCGGTTGGAGGGAGGACTAATGTGATGGAGTAGACGGTGCCATGAAGAGTCCAAGGTGCTTCCTCGTGGACAACTGGCTCTGTTGAGTTGTTGATGTACTCCTGGCTTGCGGCATAGCCAACCAAGGCCGCCAGAGAAGCTAAACCGTATACTTTCATGATGACTTTGCGCGTGTAGGTATCTAGAGGAGAAGACTGGACGCGACTCAACTCAAAAGAACGCAGACATCCGCCGGCAGCGATGGAGGTAGGGCTGGATTGTGCTTATAGCCTGATAGAACAATCTGCAATCTGCAATCGATGTCGCAGCATTCGATCAACAATACCCTTTCAGTGGATCCAAATATCTGGTACGGCGTCTTTAGATGAGCGCCCCCCGAACAATGCAGATTTTAAGAACCGTCTAGGCCTTGAAAGAGCCGTCAGAAGGATCCATGATTCTCTAAGAGGAGGCATTTCCGCTGCAAAATGCCCCTTTTGGTAACTGGGGCCGCTGTTGTTGGTTGCTTACCAGGTTCTACTGCCGATCTCCATACCATATTGCGGGTCTAGGGCTTAAGTGGAGGTGGGTTAAGCATTCTGACAGCGGTAGATGATGAAACTTTCGAGGAACCCGGGGGATTTGCAGGCATGGAGCGGAAATTCGTTCCCGATAAAAAGTCTGATGGTAATTATCTACCCACACCAATAGCGCGATACATAGCGTCGCTGTAATATTAACGGATTGCTACAGGACGCCCAGCAACGTGTGTAGCTCAATTCGGAAATATAGCATTACCGAGATGCTTATCCATAATATACTCACACATAGATAGATATCTGCATGATTACTAGAGACATGACGAGCAGCCATTATCACGTATGACCTGCACACACCTTAGGGGGTCCAATCGTGGAGTAGCCCCTCTGAGAGTAGCGAAGAGGAAGTCAAAATTACTGAACAGGTCATAACCTTCCGGACCCCGCATTAATTATCCCAACTAAGTCATCACTTCAGTTGTTATCAATGTTATGGTTATGGGGCGAAACCCTTGCAATCAGCTTCAAAAGGCCTCAAGTTGGGTTCTTGGAAGTGACCTATTAGCCGGTCTGTATGATCTCGACATAATTTGGCCCTCTCTATTTAACCATAGACCGTCCCCGTCATAGAATGAATACACCAAGCGGTTATTCATTCTTTCATGTCTAACATTTATGAGCTATAAATTTAAAGACCAAAATATGATATTCGGATACAATTAACAGAATTAACCAAGTTTCTCAAATCTTTATATTTGGGAGGCCTTTTTTAGCTGTCAGCAACGGCTAGGCCGTAAGGCAATGGTACAGAGTAAAGGAGAGTAATAGGCGTCCCCACTTGTTACGAACCGTTGGTTCTAACCTGGCCAAAACCAACCCGACAGGCCCTACAATAGGCCATGACGGAACCCCGCAGTGTCAGAGAACAGAATGCCATAGGCACCAGTGGGTGTCAGGACACTGAACGCAAGACACCGGTGGGGCGCCGGAGGGGTGTTTCGGACAAAAGACTCCCGAGTCATGATTACAATCTATGTGAAGCTTTGGGATGACGAGAGTCAAGATCCTTGGCATCGCCGACCCTGCTGTTATGCCGGGTCCAAGCGGCGGCCTAGCTATCTATATAAGGACCATCTCGAAGTAGGATAGGGAAGGAGCAGAGATCAATGCATCACCGTGGGCACCCCTACCTGAGACCGCCAGTGACCACCCGGTGCTACGTAGGAGGGACGCCCGTTACTCCCCATCACTCTGTACTATTGCCTTCGGCCTAGCCGTACCCTGACACGCAGGAACAAGGCCCCATAAGGATGGAAAGGAACAACTAGGCCCCCGACTAAAAGAAAAGGTCACGTGATAGGGATCACCAGGAGCGACGTGATCCAAGTGATCCAACGAGATCAGTGAAGGAGAGATGGATATATAAGGGACAGGACTCCCAGGAGTTTCATAGATAGACAGTCTCTACTTCAGTGATCAATCTAAGCATCAATCTAACCCATTGGTGAAGCAAACTGCCTTGCCGACTCTATTCCCGACTACCCTACTTGAATACTTCAGTTACCCAAAGCACTATACTCCATACGTCAGACCCCGATATTATTGCTTGAGGACTCCGCAGCAGGACTTACTTACTAGCACAAACCCTTACAGACTCTTTAGTGGTTTACGCAGCTAGACTATTAGAGGTTTCGTTACACGCGGCCCCTTAAATAGTACTTTAAGTACTAAGGAAATTTAGAGGGGCAAGTTTCCTTCTTTATATCTAACTACTATGTCACAGCGCTGGCGATTACAGAGCCACATAGTGCTGTATATAGCAGTTAGTGGGACCAAATGTCAGTAACACTGACATTTCTAGATCTTTTGGTCTATTGGCCTAGGGGCTTGGTCCTCCTCTTGTGACACTTTAGTACCTGACAGGGTAGCAAATTTATTGCCACCCACCGTATAGATAAGATAAGATAAGAGCTATAAAATAGCTCTGCCAGGCCAGAACAGCTGACCTGGCCATCCTTTCCTAATACAACAATTCACACCCCATATACACTCGCGTCAAACATTTAAGATATTTTGGTCTATTAGCCTAGGAGCTTGGTCCTCCCTTGCGACAACTAAGATACTAACTGTGGTGTTAGACTAACTGTTGGGTAGACTAGCTTTGGCTTCACTTTCGGATTATCGACAGCGTTCTACATAGGGTGTTTCTCACTTTAGGGATAACATTGGTATATTTCTTAACCCTTCGTATGTAGTGAACGGATCGGCTATAGCCTATCATTTGTTTTTTGAAGTTTTGTTTATTATACTGCCTTATAGAAGTCTACCGTTTATAAAGGCAGTGAAGTAGACTAGCTACTATATCTGGAAAAAAAAACAGTAGAGGCCTATGCCCCTTATGATCTCTCCTAGTGCAACGAGGATACCACACGCCTCACGATAATAGTCAGGTAATGTAAAAAGCGACTGATGATGTGCTAATAATACGGGTGTATATTGCAAGGCTGATTCTTGCGGAATCTAAGTTAAGTGGGAACATCCGAGACCTCCTCTTTGGCTGGACACTACTGTACTTCAGCGAAATACGTCTTTGTCTTTAAAGTCGTTTCCAAAACGACAATGCTCCCTATACAAAGTCAGGGAGGCAGGGCCCTCCAATTGTACAGTTCTTTTTTCCTCATCAACCAGCGAATACTACCTGCCATTTTACTGGTGGCTTGTTGACGTAGTTCATCTTACCTGGCTCTGTGACGTACCTTACACCATGGCCGTCCCAGAACATCTGGCGCTGCCGCACTTCAACGGCAACTTCTCGCTGGTCGATTTTTTTCTTGCACCCGAATCTCGACGCCACAAACAGCAAAGGAGCAATCACCTGACATAAGTTTGAATAAAAGAACAGCGCAGAGTCACTCCCAAGAACGAATCCAAGGTCTTGTAAGGAAAACAACCTCTAGTAACCACAAACTTCCCTACCTTCCTAACCTTGCTTTTCTTAATATCATACATGGGACAAACGAGGTGGAGAAAACCGAGCCCGTCATCGGCAAGTCGAAAAGCCACATATGGCTGTGTCTGCTTGAAGAGATACTCAACGGCGTCAAGGGCGGCAGCAGCACTACCACAAACGACGGTGAAGGCATCGTCCAGACTGACGATTTCCTTAAGCAGGGCTGGGAGGGCTACGATGCCGGAAAGACGTACGTAGTCCGCTTGAGCATGTGGAGCGTGAATCCTGATGAGTCGGAGCCCTGGCGCAACGAGCAGGTTTGGGGTATCCAACATGGACGATGGACGGGTGGTGTTGCGTTTACTAAGGGGGCTATTAGAGAAACCGCACGGCTTGTATACGATTACGAATCGTAGAGTTTAGGAGCGGAAAGCAATATATTTGGGATTTGATGCACGGACGGCCATAGCAGAATCGATACTTATTAACGTACCTACTTATAGGCAGTGTCTTATCCAGGCATACCAAAAGGTTGCAGCCTCATTAGTCCATAAATTTTCGCGCGTCACGTGCTGAGGCCTTCCGTTGTTCCCGGAGGATGGAGGCATCCCGGGCCAGTAAGCAATGATGTATTTGTCTACTACCAGTATCTGAATCTGTGAATGTGAAGTTAAGATCAGCAAATCCCCGCCCAATAGTCTCGCTCCAAAACTATCTCATCTATTTTCCTTCAGTCTACAATGGCTGCCGCAAGAACCACCACGCCAGACTTGGTCGCCGAGGCAGGATTGGCACCAGCACCAGATACGTCAGCGACAGCCCCCGCACCCGCACCAACAAAGCAAGAACTAGAGTCTCGCGCCAGAGAATATATCGCACAAGAAAAATTCAATCGCAGATTCACGCTTCCTGCGACAGACGCTCATGATGAGCTAACCGTGACCTATGCCGTCGGCGGCGTGGACAGCGACACTGCGCCGACTGTGCTGTTTATTGGTGGCATGTACGGTGGGAGATTGCTTGTCAGCATGACCGACCATGTAGGGCAGAGTCTTGGGATGAGAATTGTTGTGATCGATAGGTAAGAGCGGGACCCAGAAGCAACTTTTCAAGAGGGAACCGGTTCTCTAACTATCACGGCTTGCGTAGGCCGGGAATGGGTGGTTCGACAATAGTCGATGTAGGGCTCCGCTTGTCGGTTTGGCTCGAAACAGTGCCCCTTCTTATGCGCACCATCAATGCACAGCACGTGTCCATTGCTGCTCACAGCTGTGGTGTCATCTATGCGCTCAACACCATATACGAGTTGCCATGGATCTTGCCCCCGTCCAATCGTAAGCTGTATCTCTTCTCACCTTGGGTCAGCCTAGAGCACTCGGGCATGACGATGTTGTCCATCTCTTCGTATCTGCCCTCACCTCTCATCAACCAGTTCGACAACATCGTCCGCTTCGTCAACTCCACCATGATGCCTGCTGTGCATTTCTCGGGTATAGTATCTAGCGCGCTGCCGGTGTCTTCCACGGCCGACCAGGAGGGTGGTGGCTCGGGAGACAGTGGCAGGACAAAGCCCCTGCCGAGACATGAGCGCGATGAGACCTGCCGCGAGTATTGTGGAGTTTCGGCTGCAGAATACTCGGCTAGGTCCAAAGAACTTATGCACGCAATGTTTGAAGAGAGCACACGCGCTGCTAATCACGAAGCCCTACTCTCACTACGGAAAGGGGTCGCCGGAGAATGGGGTGTGTGCGATGATTATGAGACGTACCCTAACGCTCTGGAAGCCAAGATGCGAGAATTCTCCCGGGAAATAGGGGGAGGTACGAGCCGGGAGACGGGCCAAAGTAACTTGGCACTAACTAACAATCCCTTCGTGATCAAAGCATTCTGGGCGGAGAAGGACCAGATGATTGAGAAAAAAGGCGAAAAATACTTCAATAAATGCTTTGAGCGTTTTTCCGAGACCAATGTGGGATCTAGCGGCGACGGAAACGAGCATAGTTATCTGCTCTACGAGAGCGAGGTGGTACCAGAGACAACCCACGACACAGTTGTCCTACCCCAGTATGAGGCTTTGCCAAGGGCATTGAGAGATATGCTAGGGCGACAGGAGTAGTACGAGCATTGACGATAGCCTTTCTTTGGACGATATTTGTTCAGACGTGATACGTGACGATTGGGGGACCTCACACATCATGTAGATCAACTTATCTAATATACATGATAAGGGCTATAAATAAGCTCTGCCAGGCCAGAATAGCTGACCTGGCTAACTCTTCCCAATTTATAGAACCTTTCCCAATACAGCAATTCACGCCCCATATGCACTCGCATCAAGACGCTAACTTTATCGAGATACAATACCAATGACTATGCTGTTGTGATCCCGATCTTAAGACAGTTTCTGTTCCTGATTTTTGAAGCTTTATTTGGTAAATGCGCTATCCTTTTTCTTGGCATATATTACTTCACGGCCTTTAATGCCGGCGAAGTCAAATAGACTGCTAAGGACAGCTGTCATCAGCTCCCGGCAGCTAGAGCCGCCACAAAGGATTATCTGCTTCTATCCTGAATCACGTACACGAAAAGGGTACGCGCAATACCGCGCAGATGCATGGATTAGCAACGAGTAGTGATGACAATTCTCGATATCGCGATGGAGGACGTTTGTATACGACAACAGGAACAGGGTTGAACAACGCCAGTTACCGTAGTTAAACGGGACGAGTGGCCCGATGCATGTAACACTTGTGAACCACATGGACACTCAGCTAGCATGCCTATGATGATGCAATGATGCGAGGAAGTGAGAGCTCATGCGTGGTATTATCACAAATCGGCTAGACTGGTCGTTACGCCCGGTTGGTGGTGGTAGGGGCGCCGCCGATAGCTTCTTGCTAGACTTCGCGTAGCAGAATGCTAAGGCGGGGGTAGGAATGGACATCGTAGGCGAGTTTATGTAACTAACCCACGATTTGTTATTGAAACCTATTTATTTAACGGGATAGATGCCTAATATAGACTGATAGGCCCTTTCTTCGCCTATGCTACCTATTCTACTTCAGTAATCGCGTAGGCGCTAGTGTATTCGACTTCTTCAAGGAACGCCGGACAGGTCGGGGGTATGCCGTTCGAAGCGGGCGGCATTGCACTGTAGCGGGTAAATGCGTCTAACTGCAAATTTGATATGTTATAGAGCTTTTAACAGCTTCCAAACGGTGGTAAACCCGTCCGATTTAGGCTTGATTTCGCCGATTTCTGTATAGGAGGGTAAAAACAAAGGAGAAGAAGTTTCCTATTATTATTTAGGCCACCGAGGTAGCAGACTTATTTATAGAAGACGGCTAGTCACATGAAGAATTCGATAAATACGGCCTAGACCCGTTAAGCCAACTTCACAAAAGGTTTTCTTAACCTATCAGCTATCCGAATAGCCCAGGGTAAACGAAATAAGAAAATACAGTTAGAAATTGGATTTTTTCTTCGAAAGACGGGCCCTCCTAAAAGAGGGCTTGAAAGAACGTGTGTAAGCCTTTGAATCCTTAAACTATGTGTGTTTTTTATATAATAATTGAGAATGAAGTACCACTGGCAGTTCCGTAGAACCCTGGAAAACAGGGCAGCATACAAAAAGGTGGTCAATGTGGTTGGTATATCCGTATAAGTAGGCATAGCCGAGGTGTTGTGGAGGCGCACGTTGAATGCTTTATGCAGGACACATATTGAAACGGGGTCAGGCGGTCAGTAGGATATACCCACCACCTAACACACTGATAAGACGGCTCCAGCAGAAACGAATTCCATCTGAGGTCTGATCAGACGAAGCTCGTAGTGCTGGTTGTAATAGCGAAGCTCCTACAGGTCTTGTGCGCAAGTTGGTCGAATGTGTCTCTGTAATTTGCGACAGGACAATTCTCAGAATAGGACGCCTGCCTCTGAGAGTCGAATTGAAGCTGTCACTGGCACTGGATTGGTCTGATCAGGGCAAGATGAAGCCTCCTGTAGTTTTCAAGGCTAAGATAAAGGCAAAAAAATGGATTCTTGAAAGCTATGTCTGAATGCACATACAGGTGAACTGAATAAACTAAAAACTGACTAACTGACTAGAAACGAAGGTGAAGAAGAAGATGGTAGAATTGAAGATGGTGAAGAAATCATCAAGATGATCCGTCCCTGCGTACTTCTTAAAGTGAAGAAAAGAAACGTCCTCCCTGCCCCTAACTACAATATATGAGCCAGAGGTAAATTTTTAGTGGTCTGGCCACCTCATATGTGGCAGTCCTGTTGCTTGGACATGGCTAGGGCAGAGCCTAACCGTGCTTTGCTGTTATTTTGAGGCATCTTGTTTTTTTCCACCTTGGCACCTTGGTGTCGTGAAACCAAGCCTTCCCCAATAGTGTAAAGCAGATCATAGAGATGTAATGTGTGAGAACGCGGACCTGATATGTGGGAATCGATACTCGTCCTCTACCTAGCTAACGCTATACTGTGTTGTGTATTTGCATCCTCGTTGGTTCCTTGCCATAATTGAGATCCACCCAGGAAAGAGACGTGTTCTCTACAGGTCTAAGCTCGACGGGAGCCGAGGCCTTGAATGTCGTGTTGTGCACCGTCCACTCCGTCTCAGCTGGGGCTTGCCTACTCCGGTTGCCTGTCGGTTCGATACGACTGAAATGGTGATGAGATGAGGCGCTGTTACTATATAAGTGCGTGGAGGCATTGTTCGTTGTGCCAAGAAGCGAGGGCACAAGTTTGCTAAACAGGGCGCGCACCGCTGGCAGGCAACTACAAACAATACCCGCCGCTGCTTCCATGATACTCAACAAGCCTGGCTCAACGTAGTCGTACGTCGCATTAGTCGTGTTGGCGAAGACAACTAGACTCTTCAAGCGGATTATACTGATAATCGTGATGCTGGTGGTATTGAGCTCAAGTCAGTAAGATGCGATCTAAAACTGGGTTGCACACGACCATTGGTTGACTCACAAGAATCCTAGAGAGAACATTCCCATTATCTGTATCTTTTTCCGTAAAGAGATGGATAGTTTTGCCAGTTCAGGCAAAGGCAACACAATGACTGCTATATCAAGGAAGATGTTGATACCAGCGGATGCCCAGCTCTGGGCATGAATGTTGCCGCAGTACGCATCGTAGGAGCCATCCCAATTTCGCCATGCACCATCAATGGGGAAGCACTGGAATATGGTTGCGAATTCAAAGGCGATAAAGTATGCGAAATTCGATAAGATGAGAGCGTGACTGCCCACGATGATCAGACCCGATGGGAAAACCTTTAAATAAAATAAGAGGATTGAAATTTTCGTCCACGGAAGAATGGCAGCATAGAAGAGCTCGTCCCACCAATATAGCTTTCGAGGTCAGCTCGTGATTCTGACTATGGTTGGGGCTCGACGTTTACATTCAGAATTGATGGTATGTTGTCGTAGGGGATGTTCCACAAGTCCTTGCCAAGTCCATCTTCGGCGAGTTGAAATGCAGTCCAAAGAAATGGAACAGTGCAAAGCTGCAAGGGTTAGCGGAATTGTTACCTGGAGGACGAACAGCACGACAACTCACCACGCATCCTCCCATAATTATATCGCCGAGATCGATACCTTTGGTCCTCACCACAAGCCTAGATGCTATACTCAAGGCATAGAAGATGGTGCTCAGAATAACGGCGACGAGGGGAACTAGCCACACGACCAAAGATTTGTCATGAGGAGCTATTCCGCAACTGTCCTTGGACCACTTCCCCGAAACTTAAGGAGCATATCAGCCTCAAGTAGTCGGGGTCTATGGATGCAGGCGGGTCTTACTCAAAGCATCTCGAACGGAACATCCGTCACGCAGACATGCTTCAACGTCAGCCGCTATGGTCGTGTTGGCGCAGACGCAGTCGAAGTCGAGACCACATTGCGACGCTAGAATCACTTCGGAGAGGCACGCGAGCTGCTATAAGGTTAGTCACGATACCTACCAATAAAAGAAATATAGAGGCAGCATGAGAACGTACACCGCAGTCGGGAAGCGCCGTTAAGTTGAGGCTCGAAACATCAATGGCAGCAAGGACTCCCATTCCCAGGGCTCCAAACGTCCAAGCGGATAACGACAAGACTAACATTTCCAATGGTCAAGATAGGCGCCGAATAAAGGATCAGGAAGGGGCACGTTGGCCCGAGGACCAGACCTTGAAATGTAGTTGTGCGACGATGGTAGGACAAAGGCGAGGGTCGCTCGCATCGTATCGTATTCACAGATTATAACCGGAATTTAAAATGAAAGTGTGTTCAGTATTAAGCCATTGTCTAACAGGGTGATCTGCATGCCGCAATTCCTGACAACACTCGTACACGAATGGCTGCTAACCGAGGCAGAAATGGCTTGATAGCCCCAGAGATATCTTTTTCCGGATCGACATGGTGTTCCGCGCTGCGGGCTTGGGCGATGAATTCTACTTAAGTGAGCCAAGTCTTCTCCAGAGACGGCAAGAACCACTGGAGGAACCAGGCGGGAACCATTGACTTGGCTTCCAAGGTTTTCTTTCCAGGATTCACTACCATCGAACGGTTCCAACGATGGGATCAAGACAGCAAATGATCGCGAGAGCCGCTGCAAGCAGAAGGTAGTGTCTGAATAATGGATCATCATGAGCGGGGAGACAGGGGACCTTGGCGAGAGCCGGCAGTGGCCAAGCATACGAAGTGGCCAAGCATACGAAGTAGCCAATGCATTAGTATGACTTGTCAAACGCGGCTCGGGATGCAGCAAGTCCGATAGCGTATGTGATTAATGCAGGTACTGAATTTTCATTGTGATCAGCAAACAGGTCAATGGAACCTAAGTGTGCCTGGCAGTTGTGTACTTACATATAGATACACGGGTGCTGAGTCTAAGTCTGCGCAGGTTCGTCACAGCGTGTAAGTTAATACCGAGAGCCGTGTGGTCTCGAGCACGTCAGCATGTCTGCCCTGGCTGGTTCTCGATAACCTCCAGATGGCTCGAATTTCGGTTCATACATCATCTGTCAAGTTCTTGGGGATTCTGGGGTTCGATACTTAGGAAGAATGCTGTGGGTATTCGTTGGTTCTTAGGTAGAGCGAATCAGCAATCTCAGGTCTTCAGACCGCGACCCACCTGCCCCGAGTGTAGAGGGGCTCCCGAAGCATGAGCCAGGAGTCGAAAAAAACGGCTCGGTGGATATTAATTGGCCCAGGATTCAGCAGTGTCGGTCCTGGGTAGCATGCGGAAATGTAGTTACGCTGTTCCTGCACATGTCGATTTTCAACAGGAAGTGATCTGCAAGCCAACATGAAGCCAAACGCAAATTACTGTCCAAATAGGCGGTGCTTGACCCAGAATCATCAGTTGGAGGGAAAGATCGCGGAGAAGAAAGAAGGATACCGACGATGAAACTACAAATTTGGCAAGCTCTTGTGGGCAAGTTGAGTAATGGACCTGCGACGATCAAGTGGAACGCTCGGCGCTCGCTCTACAGTGCATCCTCTCAGTTGCTAGATTGACGAGCAGAAGATAACCGAGACATTTTTCCGTCACTCTTTGCTATTTTCGAAAGATGCGACTGCCCACGCATTCTGCTCTTCTACAGCTCCTGCTGCTGCGATCCACTTTCGCGGCGCCATCCTTTGTGCCATCTCTTCTTGACCCCATTACGGATAGCATTTGGACGACTCTCGACGGACTGGTTGAAGTCGCACTTGGCGCAGTCGAGGGGACTCTCGGCGTGGAGAAGTCGTACGACTACGTTGTTGTTGGCGGCGGAACTGCTGGCAACACAATTGCCTACCGATTGGTAGAGGCAGGTTTTTCAGTAGCAGTCATTGAGGCAGGGCTCTCATATGAACTCGGGAAGCCGATCGTGGGCGCAGCGCCGCTTGGAGACATCATTGGGGTCGGATCTAACCCGCTTGATTCCATAATAACCGTCGACTATGGCTTCAAGACGACGGCACAGCCTGGCGCAGGAGGGCGTGAGATGCATTATGCGCAGGGGAAGTGTCTGGGTGGTACGTCGGGTCTCAACTTCTTAATCCACCACCGACCCAACCGAGGCGCCCTGGATGCGTGGGCTGAAGCTGTCGGCGATGACAGCTACACTTTCGACTCGATGCTTCCTTACTTCAAGAAGAGCTACACATTCACACCACCCAACAATGAGACACGGCTTGCCAACGCTACCACCTTGTACCAACATAGTGACTTCGCGGCCGAAGGCGAGGGAGGGCCAATCCAGGTCACTTATCCTAATTGGACACCGGTTTGGTCCACGTGGGCCGTTAAGGGCTTGGAGGCGCTCGGAATTGTCGCTACATCAGAGTACAATGAAGGGGTTTTGAACGGATGGCACTATGCGCAGACGACCATGCACCCCGACTCGCAAGTGCGCTTCACCTCTGCCGACTTCATCTACAAGGCGCGTGATGAGGAGGAGTTGAGCGATAGGCTCACCGTCTATCTGCAAACCCGGGCCAACAAGATCGTTTTTGACGAAAACAAGAAGGCAACCGCTGTTGAAGTGGCAGGCCTCGACCTGCTCACCTACAAAATCAACGCAACAAAGGAGGTCATCGTATCCGCTGGCGCGCTGCACTCGCCGCAGCTGCTCATGTTGTCAGGTGTCGGACCTGCTGACCAACTCAGCCAGTTCGGCATCGATGTGATCGCAGACCGGCCCGGCGTTGGGCAGAACCTGACAGACCATGTGCTCTTCGGTCCTACGTACGAGGTCACCTTCGACACCCTGGATGCAGTACTTGGAAACCCCCTGATTCTAGCTGAGAGCGTGGCCGAGTACGCCGCCACGCAGACGGGACCCTTGACCAACCAAGTCGCCGATCTCCTCGCCTGGGAGCGTCTTCCCGCATCGACCAATTTATCACAGTCGACATGGGATGCCCTCGCCAAGTACCCTGAAGACTGGCCGCAGATCGAATATTTCCCAGCGGCAGGCTACATTGGCGAATTCAACATACCCTGGCTTGACCAACCCAAAGATGGAAAGCAGTATGCCTCCATCATCGCCGCCATTGCCATGCCTCTCTCGCGCGGAAACGTCTCTCTTGCCAGTGCTAGCGCCGCAGTCAAGCCCCTATTCAACCCCAACTGGCTCTCCGACCAAGGCGACGTTGAGGTGGCCATCTCTATCTACCGTCGCGTACGTGACATTTTCAACACTGAAGCAGTCAAGAGTGTTCGCGTCGACCCCAGCGCCACGGGCGAATTCTGGCCCGGCGCGGACGTTGAGACGGACGAGGAGGTTATCGCTAACTTGCGGACATCAGTCATGGCTGTCATGCACGCATCCTGCACGTGCAGGATGGGTCGCAAAGATGAGGACACTGCCGTGATCGACAACTTGGCCCGTGTTATTGGCGTGGATGGACTACGTGTTGTCGATGCCAGTGCCCTGGCCCTTCTGCCTCCAGGGCACCCGCAGGCGCTGATTTATGCCCTAGCTGAGAAGATTGCGGATTCCATTATTCAAGGATTGGAGTGAAGCATCATCTAGGACAGCTGTTACTACATCTAATGCATGAATATAATTGCTAACTCACTCAACGTCAGTTTCATCTTGAACTGGGAATCATCTTTTATTGTGGGTAGCCGTTAACGGCGGATAAGGTTTGACATTGCCACCGTAACATTCTTCTTGGTTCCATGCTCGTCTATATTCAGATCATTATACCTGATGGATATGCCATGGGGACATTTAGTACGTCTGGGCTGTGCATTCATTCATGTATGGACAAGTTCAGATCAAAAAGTCCGGTGGAGCAGTAGAACGGGGAGCTATTTTGGCACTATTGTGTTCTCAGCCCTTATTTTGAAAATGGCCCCTTCATCAAGTATTTATTATGCTAATGTCGGCTGGTGTAGTTGGTTATTTCGCTGGTAGATAAGCCCTGATTTGAGTCTTGCCCACTTGGGTCGGTAATGAGTCGTGGGTCCGAATCCCGCAGCTGATACATAAGGGGGTTTAGTTAACCTGTTGTTTACCTTGTTGACTTTGCCTACCTAGCGATAATAGGGAGATTGGTGCAGTTTAGGATTACGAGCATCCTAGCCAGTCGACCGTCAAGCACTACGTCGGCGGAATATAACTCGACAGCCGGTCCAGAATTCGAATCGTTAATCCGACCCCTTATCGGACCTCGCCTATCCGATAACGCTCGTCGGCGAACCCGTCCCCTCACGATAGAAGGCGCGCAGCACGCCCTCTCGCCGCGATTCTTGCGAGCGTCTGACCACGTTACGGTCTATCCACTTGAGCGTATGGTTGAGATGTATACGCTCGACGAGAACCCCAATTAGCAGATACTACGACTTGTCGCGACAAAAAAATAGTCGAGCATCTTCTGCACATCAGCAGCATCCCACCCCTGAGGACGAATTTAAGTGCCACATTACCACATTTATCGGTAGTTCAGGCAGGGGTTGTAGCACAGACTTAGGGAGGGACAGGAGGTTTAGTAGTCGTTTGGCTACAAGTTTACCTGTATAACCGCCCTACGCGGCTTAAGGGCCCGCTATATCATATATAGCCCCTTAAGGGAGTACTTGTAGAGGTACCGAGGGTTAACACCTACGGCGTATTTAATATTATTTTTATTATTTTATTATTATGCTAAATCCTTCATACCCAGGAGTTTGAGTGCCTCTGATGACGTAGGCAATCAAGTCTTTGACACATCGAGCCATCCATCGCTGGACATCACGGATTTTCTTTGAAGAACAGCTCCAATCCGATGGTCCCAAAAGGCCATATCTACAGGGGTATAGCTCTCGATCAGATTCCACTGCCCAGTCGCATGGTATCGTCCTTTCCGGTCGCGTGCAGTTCATTTTTGAGCCAATGATGACTTATCATTATGAGTTGAGTACGACGGCCCAGCCAGGAACCTGCAGATTTTCATCTCACAATCTTGGCCTATGGAACCCGAGCGGCCCACTTTACCCCTGATATGTCGATTGTATTAGGCCAAGCGCAAAGTCGAGCTGACACGACTGCCAAACTGTGGACAAGACAAACGGCTTGCCCCTGCTAAACTCTGTAGCAGCTAGGTAACAACGAACGTGATAAATATGATGTCTAGCCCGCAAACTGAGTTGCTTAAGAGTAATGATTGCATCAATCATCAAGTGTAGATAGTAGAGCTATCCTGTATTTCTAGAATTATGAATTTGTCAGTTGTGCTGGAATTGTCCTGACATAAGATGGTGAGCCGGTTTTTCAGTCTACTGGTTGACGGCGGCCACGACACAGCAGATAGCAGATCAATTCAAATCAAATGAAGCAACCTGGGGCTGAGTCCTGCTGGCCCAGAATATTGGCAAGCTTGAACCTGGTAAGGTATGGGGTGACAACTTCCCTTTCGGGATTTAGAGAGGAAAACTTGATTAAACGACGCCAATACGGAGCTTCTGGCCAAAACTTTTCAGACTGGCAAGGGCCCCTGCCACCGTATTAATAGAGTCTCAGCCCTGAATCATAACAGTGCTTCCGGTAGGCTGTGACGTCTTGGCAAGCTCTAACTACCTATTGCCGATTTAGCTTAGTTCTAGTGTGTTTTTAGTGTAATATTTAAGATCGACACTAACTTTATAGCTCCATAAGAAAGATACCGTAGACTAGGAAAGCGAATCGGAATATAGTGTAGAGAACGCTAATACTATAGTTAGCAGCCTAATCGATCTTAATTTTAATAATACTAACGTGATCTATAAGTTATTTTCGTATATAAGTCACTTTCGCACTTTTTCAAATATTTTAACCTTTTAACTTAGCTTATATTTTTCTTCCTTCCTATAATATATCTCGTAAATCTAAAGAAGCCGATCTTTAGCTAGTTATCTAAGCTAAAAAGCGTAACCCTGAAATTTTATAGCGTAACGTAATCTTTAAGTTATTTTTATATATAAGTTACTTTCGCACTTTTTCAAATATTTTAAGCTTTTAATTTAGCTTAGTTAAGTAATTTAAAGGATAAAATACGGGTTATATATAGGATATTACTAAATTACTTAAAGGTACTAAGAAAAGTACGAAAGTAACTTATATACGAAAATAACTTATAGTTCACGTTAGTACTAACCCGCTTAGGCGCGCTAATAGTACTACGTAGAGAGCCGGCCTTCTAGGTTAAAGGAATCTTTACTAAAAATAATGTAACGAGCGAGTACTCGGCCTAAATAATTACTACGAATGTAATAGCTTAATGCCTAGTAAGAAAATATCGAGACGGTCAGTACTACATTATAATAAAAGAGAAGAATTCATAGTGTAAAGCCGCTTAAAGCTACCTAGAAAGTAGTTAGGTACGCCTTTGCCTTACCGGTTATATTCTAGATACTAGCTTAGTAGAAATATATCGTTTAAAGGGAAAAACCTTCATAATACTAGATAAGATAGCTATATTAAAGTAGACTACTTAGGACAACTCCTCCTAGAAATAGCTATAACGCTACGTTAAGCGAATCCATAATCATGTTAAATTATTAAGCCAAACGGCGATAACGAATGTAAGGAACCTAGCTACCTTATAGTAGCCGGAAATGATCTAAAGAATACATTGAAGCCCTCTTTAAGAAAGCGGCCGAAGAATATATTATCAATAGGTGTGGGTACCGCTAAGAGCCGAACTTCCACCCATATAATCAGAAGGTACTGTGGGAAGGGCCCCTGCCAGTCCAAAAACTTTGGCCAGAAGCTCCGTATCTAGCGCCTCTTGCGTAGCGAAAAGAGTCTTCTCGAGCTGCCTGTTTCGGAACGTGACGGTGGAAGTGTGGCTCGCAATTTTCAGCTCGACGCTGGGTGTGGAGGGGATAAGCATCCCATTATTCAATGCAAGATCGAATCGACCTAACTTGTGGCCTCGGCAGATGTGTATGCTCCGACCTCATGATGAGAAATTGTGGATGTGAACGACATACGACCTGGAACTCATTGACACGACAGTCGGGCAGGCGGATATCGTATGTAAGGCGGAGAGGAATGGCTTTAACTCTCCTAATCTCTGAGTCACTGGTATTTGACATACATGTTAGAAGCGCAGTCTCGTGAGGTGATCTCCCGGCTTTCTGGACGTGTCAAGGTCTCTCGGTATACTACTCCGTACATGGTAGTTGATATCTTAACAAGATGTTCTAGGCTTCTAGGTTTTTTATTTTCATTTTCTTTCACTGTTGTATTTGCTCGTCGAGCATTATAAAATATGAGAAATATGACTGATAACTGTTGTCAACTTGTCGGGTAGTGCTCTGGTGAAGATCCACCACTCCCATCACATCTCTCCCAAGCATCCAAGTTGCTTCTAGTGTACACTACTAAGTATGTGGCGATTCTCTATGATCTGACGATCCAATGGAAAACTGCAACAATGCACCGGCCGAGAAATTGGCAAGCCAATCTCGAAAAGGTCTCAAACACTGCTCATCTCTCCAGGTGGGGATATTAATCCACTCGTGCCCGGCTGGCATTGGTCCGTTTATGCATCGGACCCAGCCAACACGATTGGATTCCCTGTTCGACACGATGCGACCCTGGTGGCTCATCGGCTGACTAGCCTATACTGGGAATGGCCGTGATCCGCGTGGAGCAGTGATAACTTGGCTAACGGACGGATTTGACGAGATTCAAACGTTGTTGTTACCACCTCGGTCTTTCCGTGGTTGAGTTCCATCGGCTGGCTTCACGAAGCTCATCAACTTCAAGTCGTTGCGTGATGCGGTCCTTCTACGCCTTGACATTGGCTCTGTTCGCCGACGTAACTTTGTGTCTGTAAGTAACGTGCAGCCAGTGATTGTCGATTGATGACTTTCGGTTCCCGTTTCTGACTGTTCTTACAGCACCCACGGCCATACTCGTCGGCACGATCCCTTCATCCGCAACTTGAAGCGTGCCGACAATGGGACGGCCGAGTATGAGTACATCGTAGTTGGCTCTGGTCCTGGCGGTGGCCCTCTGGCGGCGAACCTCGCCATGGCCGGCTTCAAGGTCCTGCTGATTGACGCTGGCAGTGATCATGGCACGGGTAAGGCCCTTTCATCCGTAAAGTAAGTAGCCAGACTTCAACATGCTGACATGTGGCATAGCTACCGAAGAAGCCGTTCCTGCGCTACACTTCCTTTCTTCGGAATTCGAGGAGACGTCATGGAGCTACTTCACGAACCATTACAGTAGCTTCGACCAGCAGAAGAAGGATAGCAAGATGATCTATCGAACTTCCAATGGCTCACAGTACATCGGTCTCGACCCCCCCGCGAACGCAGAGCCCCTCGGCATCTTGTACCCCCGTGCAGGGGCTTTGGGAGGATGTTCACGGCATAATGCCCTCTTCACCATCTACCCACACGACAGCGACTGGAACTACATCGCGGAGCTGACGGGCGACGACTCGTGGGAGGCCAGTAAAATGCGCCGCTACTTCGAGAAGCTCGAGAGCAACAACTATGTCCCTAACAGCATCGTTGGTCACGGTTTCAACGGTTGGCTCACCACTTCGGTCACGTACCTCGGTCTTGTGCTGAAGGATTTGAAGTTCCTTGCTTTGGTCCTCTCGGGCATCTCGGCCGTGGGCGACAATGTTTTCACCAGCGTCGTCACCACCATAGCCGGCTTGGCTCAAGCTCTCGCGCTCGACATTAATGCGCCCGGTGTCGCGTCTATCCCCGGCGCATACCAGGTCCCTATTGCCATGAAGGATGGTGTTCGTGCGTCGCCGCGAGAATTTATTCTGGACGTCGCGCATGCACTCAACCCAGACGGCTCACGCAAGTACCACCTGGATGTCAAGCTGAACACGCTGGTATGCCATCGATAACTTTTTCAATCTTCATTAATTATTGACTGAGTCTTTTGCAGGTCTCCAAGGTCGTCTTTGATCAGTCCGCATCCACTCCCCGCGCCGTCGGTGTTGAGTATTTGGAGGGCGCCGACCTTTACCGTGCCCATAGCCGTTCGGGTTCTGCGACCGTCACTGGATCCGGCGCTGTCAATGCCTCTCGTGAAGTCATCGTGTCAGCTGGCGCTTTCAACACACCTCAGCTTCTGAAGCTCAGTGGTGTCGGACCCTCTGCAGAGCTTGAAGCCTTGGGCATTCCTGTCGTCCTTGACCTCCCTGGCGTTGTTCGTAGTCTTGTCCCAACAGCAGGTCCATGTTCCGTTGCTGACAGTTCTACAGGGCACCAACATGCAAGATCGCTATGAGAACGCCATAGTCACCGCTACTGACGAGGACTACGCCTTGACCAAGGAATGCACCTTTGCCCTCTCGTCCCCTGACCCCTGTCTGGAGGAGTGGGAGGCCGGTGAGACCCAAATCGAGCGTGGCGTCTACGCTACCAATGGCGGTGCCGTCATGACCACCATCAAGACCTCCGTATCGACCGGCGAGCCCGACATGGTTATGATCGGCGCACCGGGCCCATTCAAGGGGTACTTCCCCGGGTATGGCACCTACGCCTTCAGCGACAAGAGGCACTGGTCATGGATTCTACTGAAAGCCCACACCCGTAACACCAAGGGCACTGTGACCCTTACGTCGACTGACCCCCGCGACACGCCCAACATCACCTTCAACTCGTTTGCCGAGGGTGGCGACGATGATGTCCAGGCCATGTACGAGGGGTTCAAACTTGCCCGCAAAGCACTAAATGACTATATTCCCGTTTACGGTGAATTCAACGAGACCTGGCCTGGACCGGATATGACCGACGAGGAGGAGCTCAAGCAATTTATCCGCGACGAAACTTGGGGTCACCATGCCTCGTGTACATGCCCAATAGGCCCCGATGGCGATGAGATGGCCGTCTTAGACTCAGACTTCAAGGTCCGCGGCGTGAATGGTCTCCGTGTGGTTGATGCGTCATCTTTTCCTAAGATACCCGGGTTCTATATCGCCCTTCCATTGTATATGATGAGTACCAAGGCGAGCGAAGTCATCATTGCTGCTGCCAATGGGACTTGTGGCCAGTACTGCTGATGATTTAGAGTAATTAATCAAGGCATGTATAAATAGGGATATGATCATGTAACCTATCAGTATCAATAGTAATGACTAATTGTGTATCCGTCAACATGCTTTTATTACCTTACCGCCGAGAACAGCTTCCCCGATGGACGTGCTAGCATAAACTGCAGTGACTCAAATAGGGATATTGATGAAAAAAGTGGCGGTGAGTTTGACAACATGCTGCGCACACAATTCATCTTCGACAACTATGTATGTGTATATCCAAATCTAACTCTATGTTCGATACGAAATGCCGACATTACAGGTCATCTAGAATACCGGTACTGCGTATGCAGTCAGTCAGTGACGTGACTTCTCTCAACTGCCATCCCATCAGACTCGCTAAATATCAGATGCGACTTATCAATTTGCAGCTCGAACGTGAGATTGTAAATCGAGGTATCATCTTTCGCCATGCTAGTCACTGCCAACTTTTTTCGCGAGAGGGGGAAGGGGGCTGGAGCAACCTGAGGGGCATGTTGTACTTAAGCGGATGATGCGACTGAAGGAGTAGTTAGAATCAGGCGGAAGTTTTCACGACAGTGAAATGTCACGAGTATGAATAGGAGGATGAGCATCAAGGAGGTCGCTGTTGTCCGACCCGCAAATTGATGCTTTAACATATTGATTGAGCACTGTCAAGTCAAGCTTGGAACCTGGGTAGAGGATATGCTGGAACAGAACAACGAAGGTTGGCTATGACTTTGTTGAAGGGAGTGGCCGTAACTTTGTATGACAATTAAGATTCGTCGTTTGACTGCTCGTGGTAGGCCTTGAGCACTTTTGTTGAACCGCGCCTTTTTCTGGTATGCATTTATCATGGGATGTTGACTGCGATGAGAAGGATCAGAGGCTAAGCTGATCAAACCGGAGAGGCGACGAGTTTTGGATAAGTATTGAGTGCTGCATTCTCCCTTGGTAGCCTGCAGCGCAAGTTACAACATCCAAAAATCTCGCTCTGGATGAGACAGGTGCTGACACGTTGGAAGAATCACACGTCCTCCTGTTGAAAAGAGATCCTTGTTCGGGAACCCTCGGAGAAGGGGCAACTCAATCTGTGCTCCAAGCAGGACACTGTGTTGTAAATCTGCATGGCTGAAAACTCGGTCCCCTTCCATAAATTTCAGTGCTGAATCAACTTTAAGGTAAATTGTTAGACTCGGAGTAACCGTCCCTGTCACCAGTTCCACTGTAAAGGATGGTGTTGCGTTAAAAATGAGGAATTACCATTTACCCCCTTTCTTTGAACCGATTAGCTTACAATTTCCATCCAAGAGTACCGCCACAGATAACTATTATGTAGTCAGCCTTCGACTTGCGAACCTGATAACGCTGTGTCATGCACTGACCTCGCTTGACAAGGTGCGCTTTGACAGAAGCCAGCCTCGACTTTGTTCGCTTCGCTGCGAGATTGAGTATAAGGGCCTCTTTGCTGTTACTGCATCATTTTCCTCTTCTTCTCTCCCATTGACCAGTGCAGCAACATCGCGCAGTTTGACAGCCTCGAGCAGTTTGACCACATCGAGAACGTCCACGTCGACCGCAATGGCGTCCGTAGAAACCCCAGCAGCATTAGGCACCGCTCGTCAACATCCGCATCCGAATCAAGCCCAGGAATGTATATCGGTACTATAACTGGCGCCGTTGTTGGAGAAGTCGCGCTTCATTTGCTGTGTCATACTATTTTCTTCGGTGGAGATGGATGATGAAATACGGAAATAACAACGGTAGTTCTGATTATCTTTGTGCGAGAGCATGTCCATGATCAATCGTTGAGTGGGTCAAGGATTAATAAATAACGCTCAAACTCCTCTGGCACGCCTCATAAACGAGTGGTCGACTCAAGTCTTTACAGAGCTTCCTGGTCACGGTTGTGTAATCCCACGGGAACTGGATGTAGTCGGGCATGGAAGGAGTTAATGCAACCTGAGAAGACACACAAGCGGTCTTCAGGACACGGAATGCATAGAAATAGTTTCGGCATGGGAGGTGATATACTTATGCGAACGGTGGAAATGACTGGCTGTGCTGTGCATTGGGGGAATACAATCGTTCATGGCTTCTGTGCATGGAGAGTTTGGAGTTACCGAAGCACACTGTCAAGTGTGTGCGTTGTATGTAATATTGGTAAAATGCAAGTATTCTTGAGCATAAATTCAACATGGGATTATAACCAAACTAAACTATACTTACAAATAGTGAATAAAATCTACTACACACTCTCAGACGGACCATGTTACGAGTATATTCCAGGTGCTTAGTATTGTAGAGCGTGAGCAATACTTACCTGGTTATCGCACGTAAATGCGCTTTAACTAAGGTCTAAAATCAAGGGAAATCCGTGTAAGTGAGCTTGATATATATATTTTCGGAATTGTCGGCACCTGTCGTAGTTTTGTAATCATTACCTACTATATACAGCTTAAATGCAGGAATTTCTATCCCTTATTATCTCAGAAGTATCTTATAAAATTGCCACGTAATGTTTAGCCTGTTGAAGACTACACAGGCCAAAATAACTAGTACTGGGATATTTTTATTTCGTACCACCCTCCTTAAGACCCATGCAATTCCTAGATCTAATGCAAATGCTTCTTGAAGCGTAGTGTTACCGCTCGTGCAAAATTCTGTTCTGTGAAGATGGGGTTTGTGTCTCAAGTAGAAGCTACCTACTCAAGAAACCCACGTATTCCCAGCACACACCAAGGTCCCTTCCGATAACGATGTTGCAATTTCCCATCAAGGTCTGGCACTAACACAGCTGTCCACGCCATGTACAGCCTTGGGCATGTTTTTTGGTTCCAGAGAAGACAAGTGTCATACGTGAGCATAAAGGTGTGATGCCCGACCCTTTCCATCATTACGAGGGCCATATACTCGAACACCTGTATAACACCATCCAATGCTCTGGACTCAGTCATTCAATCTCCTATTCTTATACAATGACCGCCTCCATCAAGCTTTGTCAACACCCGGCAGGCTCTCTTCGCCCCAAATATCCCGACTCTCCTGCTCAACCGCCTTCATGGCAACTGCAACTGCTTCCAGTTTGTTGACAACATCGCGAACGCCTTGGTCGACTCTTGAGAAGTATCGATCGTTGTTCTGGCGTCTTCTCCGCGCCAACAGGATATCGCGTTCGGTTTCCTCTTCCAGCGTACCACCTAGTTTTTCGCCACCACGCCCACTGCTCGGAGGCCTTGCGCTCCCCGAGCCCACAGTACTTTTCCCGGGCTCGGTGCTGTCGCCGATGACTTTGCCTGCCACACCCGGCCCAGTGCCAGTTGCACCAGCCAGACCCATATGGCCTAGGGTGCCCTTGAGATCTCGTACTTCTTCCGTACCCGTTCCCTCCATCATCTCCATAGAGTCATCTGCCTCGCTGCGCGCCCATGCCTGGGCTAGTGCAATCTGAGCGGCGCGGAGTTCTGTGAGCTTCCGGTCGTGCTCTGGGCCAAAGACATGTGTTCCTCCCGATGCCGAGAGCTCAACCTCCTCCAATGTAGCCTGCATCTCAGCCCACAGCGCATCGGTCCTATCGACGGTACGGGACGAATCGCCAGTCTGCAACCTCAGAACTGGACCGGATACAACGTTTCGGCCCCGGGGATTCAGTAGAGAATTCTGTCGCGCCAGAGATGGAGGCACGGCTGTTTGTGCCGATGCAGTAGCTAGGGTGTGCACGTTCGAGGTCGAGTTCGAGACGGGAGCTGAAGGAACCGCCGCGCCGCCGGCCAGCATGCCCGGAAGGGAGACATGTGAGGCGCCTGGTGAGGGATGTAAGAAAAGCGATGGCGGAGGGTCGCGCGTCTTGGAGGCGGCGCTTGGCTTGGATTTCAGCTGAGACATTGCTCCTACTGGCGCGCCCTACTACATATTGACGCGACGTCAACGGGCTAACAGCTAGTGGTGGGGACGACTGGAATCTGGTGCTGGCTGAACCTTGAGCTTGACTGCTTCAATTTGAAAGCGATTGTATGTACAAGCTCACCTAGGTGTAACTTATCCTCAATGTGTGATTGGTGTATATAATAAGTGGCTTAAGCAGTCCCCGAGGCTGTCAAGATGTGGCTTAGCTCAAATTCAGAGACCGAAACCCCTCCACCCCCTTCCCCCCGCACGAGCCACGGAACACACGAAAAGTCGCTAAAGGGTTTTCGAGCCCACGGCCGCTTTTTTCCCAAACCCCGAGTCAAATCAACTTCACTTTCACGAAGACATTCCACCCAACCTCAACACAGCCATTTTGAAGCGGTACAACTGTCAAATCGGTAGGTTCTCTCTTGTCCAAGAATAGACTGTGAAGCACTTGCCCGATTCGAAAATCTCTCGAATCTCTCGACCGACCCCACCGCAAATTTCGCTCGAACAATCACCTTCGATTTCACCCACGACTGTCACGAATCGCAAACCGCTAACAACGTTCTTCATAGCGCAAGATGGGTAAGGGCAAGCCGAGAGGATTGAACGCGGCGCGCAAGCTGCGCATGAACCGCAAGGACCAGAAGTGGGCCGATCTCTCCTACAAGAAGCGCGCTCTTGGAACCGCCTTCAAGTCTTCTCCATTCGGTGGCTCTTCGCACGCCAAGGGCATTGTGCTCGAGAAGGTTGGTGTCGAAGCCAAGCAGCCCAACTCGGCCATCCGAAAGTGCGTGAGAGTCCAACTCATCAAGAACGGCAAGAAGGTCACAGCTTTCGGTATGTTCATCAACATTCTTGCTTGTTTGTCGAATTGGAAGGTGCATGATGGCGCATAGGCATGGCATGTTCGTGCAATGGGGAGCTCGTACGATTGGGAGCTCGGTCGCAGATGGAAGGAGGAACGGTCTTATCACAAACCCAAGGAAGCACGTGCTAACACCAATGCCACGCAGTTCCCAATGACGGTTGCTTGAACTTCGTGGACGAGAACGACGAAGTCCTCCTCGCTGGTTTCGGTCGTAAGGGCAAGGCAAAGGGTGATATCCCTGGTGTGCGATTCAAGGTCGTCAAGGTTTCGGGTGTCGGTCTGTTGGCTCTGTGGAAGGAGAAGAAGGAGAAGCCCCGCTCTTAAAGGGCTAATCGCATTTGGGGACGACGATACGAAAATGGACTGAAAATCATTAGGGCAATCTGGAGTCGATATGGCTTGCTTGTGTTTTCCCATCGGCATCAAAGGGTCGGGCCATGATACACACCCATAGGTGGATGAGATCCGAAAATAGAGATCCCACTTCGCTACACTACACAAATTGCCCTGGGTTATTGTTGACAGGTGATGGTGCATGGATATGTGACACTGTTGTTGGTATCCAAATGCCTACTTCGGTATTTTACAGGATAGTTTGACTCATCTATTAACATATTGAAGGGCGGTTTTGTGCATATTCCCCTGTTGTACATTCCCGGTTGTCATTTCGTCTCGTCGACCTCGGTCTCGCGCTGGCGGTCTTCAAGATCTCTGACCAGATAATCAGCTCCAAGTCCCAAACTGATGGTACCACCTGTAATCCAACAGCCATTGACGAACCACCACCAGCAATCCTTCACGCTTTTCAAGTTGACCCTCTTAATCATCCATCCCAAAGTCACCGCAGCTCCTCCACAGCTTCCAATAAAGAAAGCTGGCCCAGCACCAGCAGCCCATCCTGTGGCACCCAGCAACCCAATTTTCACGATTGCCAGCCCGCTAAGGACTTTCTTTGTCTCGTTGTCATACTTGAGCGCGATGCTCTTGATTCCCGCCTTCGCGTCGTCCCGGATGTCCATATGCGCGTATATCATGTCGTACAACATTGTCCATGCCACGTTGCTTGCGTACAGAAATCCAGCGGCTGCCAATGCTGAACTGTTCGACAACAGATCCACGCCCAGAGCAGGGAACCCCATCATGGCGCCCCAAGAGAATGTCAAGCCCAGTACGAACTGCGGATAATACGTCACACGTTTGGCCAGTGGATACATAGCTACTAGGAGTAGTGACGGCACGCCGTAGAATAGGCAACTGAATGGAAATTGAAGTAATATGCCAAGCCCAGCTAACAGTTGGACTCCCGTATATGCCAGGGCATTGAATGGTGTGATGGCTCCACGCGCAATAGGCCGCAGCCGAGTTCGCGATACCTTCGGGTCGAGGTTCCGGTCCCAGAGATCATTGATGGAGCATCCGGCGCCGCGCATGATGAGAGCTCCGGAGAAGAAAAGCGCGCTAGTGCCGATGACGGTGAGAGGGGACGCAATCGGTTCCGCCAGGGGGGCCGCGAGGAGAGTGCTGAAGAGACACGGGAAGAAGAGGTAGTACGTTCCGGCGGGCTTGTCGAGCCGGACGAGCTCGGCATAGGGAACCCATGATGGTGGAAGGCGGGAGAGTAGCCCTGTGGTCGGCGGTGAGTAGATTTGGGGGGCTGCTGGTGATGAAGGTGATGAAGGTGATTCGATGGTCGTTGTACGATGTTGTGACGAAAAATGGAAGGGCCGGGGTGATAGAGCGGCGAACTTTGACGTGCTACCCAATTGTGAAGTCGAGTTGCCTTGAATGGCCCTCACGAAATTATGCAACTGCATTGAGGAATTCCGAGATCTCTGTGTGATGACCCTACGGCCGGGCCATCTTGTAACCGCCAACATTGTGGCCGATGAGTGAGATAATGCTTGGTTTGAGTTAGCAAATTGTGGCTCTGGGGCATATGCGTCGTCATGCGTGAATTAAAAGCGATCGGGTTTTCCTAGTATCAGACTAGCACCTTTCTCTGCAATCCAACCCAGTGGACATGTTGGTTCAAGAAAAGTTCAGGATCTTGTTCAGATATAAACTCACTTGAGCCTCACTGTCGCATTGGTGCTTCTCATCCAGGACGCTTCTTCAAGATCAGTGAGATGACCAAAAACAACCCACCTTTAGACCCCTTTACACACATCTGCTTGAGCTATCCCTCCAAGCTTAGTCTACCACTTCACAAAAAAGAATTCAAAACAACTCCAAGCCGCTCCTCTATTTTCTTTCCGTTTACCTAGGCGTACATAGTACAACACTGAATATCGCAGCCATCAAAATTGGCACGTCCAATGCAAGTGCCAGGAAGAGGGCTACTTAGAGTTTCATGTGGTCAGTGCACCAACGCTCAATGCGCCGCGATCACACCTTCCCCAAATTCTATGAGCTTGGCAACCCTGCGTCACATCGTCACAGCTCGACGATCGGACAGTTATCTTCCTCTTACCCTCTTCCACTTCAACGTCTCTCAGGAGAGGGAAGCTACGAACGCGGATATTTATGCCTTTTTCGATCGGCCTACTGCAAGCCTGTCCAACATGTGACCTGGTTCTCGGCCCTATCAAGAGGCTTGTACTCCGTGATTGAGGCAGTCGTCACGACCCGCCGCATAACAAGCGCGTCTCATCCGGCCCTCACGAGCAACCACCACGGCCGTTCGGTCCGCCTAATTTCTTGGGCTATCGTTACTTCGCTTGCACAGCGTTGACTTTCCCACAACCGTCAACATGCCGACTGCAATGCACCCCCAGGCTAAATTTGATCCAATCCCCCCGGACTTGGATCTACACGGTCTCGTCGACCGAAGTTCCAATTTCGACTGGGTCGTTCGAATCTCTACAGCTCAGATCCGGCGACTCGGCCCATCCGGCTTCGAAAAGCTCGTACAGCTCCATGTCATTGAAAGCGGCAAGCCTTTAGTTATTGAAGGTTGGAATAAGGTTCTGCCTGAATCTCTGTTCAGCGCCAAATGGCTGGAGAAGACACATGACAAGACACGTGAATGCTCATACATCAAAGGCTGTACCTAGCTGTTTCGCGCTATATGTACTGACGCGCGATGCAGAGGAAAACGTTCGCGACATCAACCACCAGACGGACATTCCCATGACGATGGGCCATTATCTTCGATCAATGCGACAACTGACAAACCAGTGGACCCCAAACAACTTCCGAGATGAGCGACGCCAAAGACTGTACTTGAAGGATATCGACTGCCCCACGGAATGGTATGAACATTTGAAGAAGGTGATTCCTCCAAACGTCTTCTACATGAACGAGAACGTAAGCGAGAACCCGGCCGAGAGTTTGCGTAACGACGATATTTTTGGCGCCGCAGAACCAACAGCTGCCGTCGCTGGTGATTTGATGAGTTGTTTGGCCGAGGACATGCGTGCTCAGAATCTTATGTGTTACATCGGTCACGAAGGAACGTATACGCCAGCCCACAAGGAAATGTGCGCTAGTTTGGGGCAGAACATTATGGTTAACGCCTCGGGAGATGAGAAAGGAGAAAAACCCGGTAGCTCCATTTGGTTTATGACTGAAACCAAAGACCGGGAGGTAGTGCGCGAGTACTTCCTTTCCATGCTTGGCCACGACATCGAGATTGAGAAGCACTTTGCACAGATTAATGCTTGGAAGAAGGCAAATTTCCCCGTTTATATCGTCGAGCAAAAGGTCGGAGATTTCATTCTCATTCCCCCGTTGGCACCTCATCAGGTATGGAATCGAGGAACACGGACAGTGAAAGTGGCTTGGAATCGGACGACTGTTGAGACATTAGATCTGGCTCTTCACGAAGCTCTGCCTAGAGCGCGACTTGTCTGCAGAGATGAACAGTACAAGAATAAGGCTATCATTTACTTTGCGCTTGAAAAGTACTACAACAAGCTAGAAGGTGCTGAGAAGAACGTTGAAGTCGGCCTCCTGGGTCTCGGCCAAGAGTTGACGCAAAATTCGCCCCGCCTGAGGCAAATGGCCAACGATTTCCGGCGGCTATTCGGCCTCTTCACCGAGATTTTGGTGGATGAGATGTTTGGCCCCAAACACACTGATGTTGAGCTCATCAAATTCGACTCCAACATCACGTGCTCATATTGCAGATCCAATATCTTCAACCGATTCTTGACCTGCAAATGCTGTGTACGTCAGCTTATCAATGGAGATGAGGACACTTATGACATCTGCTTGGAATGCTACGTGATGGGCCGCTCCTGCGTCTGTATATCGGGGCTGCAGTGGTGCGAGCAATGGCGTTGGTCCGATCTCGTTGAAAAACACGAACAATGGCGCGCCATGGTCATCAAACAAGATGGCTTTGTGGATATCGAGCACTCCCCTCAACCGCTTGAGCTTGCGCGCAAGAAGTCTGGGAAGAAGTCTGTAGCGCAGATTTGTCAGGAACAGCTTCGAAGACGTCCGTGGAACGACATCACCAAGGCAGCCGAGCAAGCTCCTCCGGAGGGGTCAGAACCAGAACCCGAAGTTGACGATGAAGGTCGTGTCAAAAAGAAGCTCAAATATAAGCGCAAGACAAAGCAGGGCGAGATTCATCGTTGTCACGTTTGTTGCCACAAGGACTATACGTTCAAGCTCAACTACTGCACCACATGCCAAGAGGCATACTGCTATGGTGTGCTCTGGAGAGCATTCGACACTATGCCGCAATCTGCTATGGAACAGGAAAACTGGCAATGTCCGAGGTGTCTCGGCATCTGCAATTGTGGTGCCTGTCGGAGAACGGGAAAAATGAATCCCTATGTACCCAAAAATACTCTCCTCGGTCATGACACGCGGCACATCGCCGATGACCGCAGTGTTGAGTCTATCGTCGACTTCCGTGTTCATAACCTTAACTGGCTGAAGGGTGCTGGTGAAGAGACGCGAAGTAAGGACACCAAACGCATGCAGAGACTACGTGAACAGGCAGATGCTGAGAAAGCCAAGGATCCTCTGGCTTCGTTGTCTGCGCAAGACGCTTCGCACGAGATGGACTCAGCTATGCACGACACTTCCACAAACGGTTATGGAGATCAAAGTCAAGCCTTGGGTCTCGGTGGTATGCCGATATATAATGGCGAGTCCTCGAATGCGCATCGCGATCCCACAACGGAAGAGGGCGGAAGCCGTGTTGAAGTGGCCGACATGTCTGGCATGCCGAACGAGGAGAGCAATTCGATATATCCCGAGCCGTCTTCGTACCCTGACCCCACAATGGGTACTCGTATGATGGGCATGGGCTTCTATGAGCAGGATGATAGCGCCGATAAGATTCTTTTCGATGCTTTTCAAATACCTTCCACGGATGCACTCAACAACGAGCCGGAGATGTCGGAGTTCGTCAAGAAGACGCTACGGCTTGCCAAGCGGAAAGCAAGACTTGAGAATGACGATGATCCGGACTTCCAAGGTCCGAAAATTCACCATCGCAAGAAGCCAAAGACAGGCAACATTGATCAACTAGTCAATCTAGATCCGGCTTTGCTTGGTTCTCTGGGTCAAGATAGCAGTACAAGCACACCCATTCGACCGGATGCCCAAGATGGGTCTAGAGAAGCAACTGCTACTGAAAACGGTCAACAGAGTGAGTTTGTCACGCCTCTACCTCGGCTGAAGCCGGCTCGACCTCCTCTTCCGGTAGAACCTCTGAATCCGACACTGCGCCATGCCAGGCCGGTGCAATCGTATGCAGAAGCCGAAGAGCCAGCAGATGACCCTGATGACATTATCCCGGCTTTCACTATGCCCTCGAGAGAAAATAAAGAGAAGGAGGACGGAAATTCGAGCAAGAATCCAATTGATCTGGCTGCAGATGCCGTCCGTGCGCTCTCCCAAATGGATGGTGACGGTGGCCAAAATGACACACCCCAGCAAGGGCCCAAGAGACGAGGTAGACCCCCGAAATCAGGGAGCTCATTGCCTGAGAGTGGCAAGAAAAGGGCAGGTCGCCCACCCGGGTCTCGCAATAAACCTCGTCCGTCCAGCTTGAGTAACGTCGACAGGAATGAGAACCCTGCAATGCTGGATGGCAGCGATGTCGAACAGAACAATCAAGTTACAGTGGAAGATCTCCAGGTTGGGATTAAGGCTGAGCTGGCCCGCCCGGCCCGCCCACCCAAGACGGACAAGAACCAGGACAAGACAGACACCAATTCTCCAGCTAGTGCTCCCATCAAAAGAGGACGAGGTCGACCACCAAAGGGGTCCCTGGGACTGGCAGCGCCGCGGTCAGCACCTGAACCGGCTCCTGTTTCAGAATCAGAATCAGAATTCGAGCTCAAACTCGTCCGACCTCCTAAGGGTGAAATGATGTCCATGGCGGAACGCATGGCAGCCCGTGGGAAGAAGATAAAGATTCGCGCCAAATCCAGAAACGGCGAGAGTAATTTCCCAACTAATCAGCCTAACGCCCATGCGTCCGTCCATGGCCCAGTCCCGCCAACGGAGTCAGAGGACACACCTGTGGCAGATGCTGATGAGGTTCCGTCCGAATCGGCCACTAAGCGTGGCCTTGGCCGTAGCGAATCGGTGGATAATGACTTGAAGGCACCGGAGCCCGAGGCCGGGTCTTCGGAGGCGAGTTCGACGCCAGAAAAGCAGCCTGTATTTGCTGTGCGGCCCGTGCAAAAATCAGGTCCCACGATTGTGAGATTAGACTATTCGGATGACAATAGTACTTCGAACAGCGACAGTGTCAGTGATTCTGATGACTCAGATGAAATTCCAGCACAACGGCACTTTGCCGTTCGTGGGGGCGGCAGGGGTCGGGGACGAGGGCGAGGTCGCGGCAGAGGGCGGGGTAACACGTCGGGGGTTGCGTGACAGTTGGATGCACTTAGATACAAGGCTAATCTGTGTATGAATGGTAGTATTCTACGCCGCAGTTCGAGATATTCACGATGGATACCCAAGGATATGTATGCCCCTGCCACAGGAAGGCCAATAGGGGCCAGGCTCTTAGAGTGAACTCTATCAATATTGGCATGACGGACACATCGCAATCGCTCTGCAGTACTGCTCAAGTACCAACTGATCTAAAAGCCTAACATTGCAGAAACAAGGGCATGGAAACCTGGGATGGCATACACTCGGAGTGCTCCAGAGCTCGGGGACAAACGATGCGAATGTGCACTGTGGCAAGAATTATAGCGGGTCCAAAATAGAAGTCCCATGCCCGAGACGACCCACTCAAAATACAGGATTTGAAAGCGTCAGGGTCATAAAAGCCTCAAGTGTCCCCTAGGCGAAGCTTGTAATGAGTCTTTTGGAAAGAGCCCGCCTACAGAGTTCCTTGTAGAGAATCTAGTTGGTAACGAAGCTCGCATGGAAATTTGATCATCTCTGGTACTTGCGGTAGGCTTCGGCACGTGTTACGCCTCCGTGCCAGTGTCGCGATGAAGTTTAATATCGGTATAGGGCTATAGATTCTTTTAGTAGGACGCCTAACGTAGTCCACAAGCGAACGGGTCACCCAACCGAATGGGTCACGCCCATAGCAAAAAATAGAACTAAACTTCCTAACTTTACCACGCAACTAATTCTCGATGGATTCTGCTCAAAAAGAATCTCAATTACTCCTTGCAACTCAGGCTATCAGAAATGACTCAACACTTAGTATCCGACGTGCTGCAACAATCTACAAAGTCTCGAATACTACTCTCCAGGCGCGTCTTCAAAAACGTCAATCACGTCGCAATATCGAAGCCAACGGTCGGAATTTAACAAAACTAGAAGAAAATACGATTATTCAAAGGATAATTGAGCTAGATTCGCAAGCATTTCCTCCCCGGCTAAGTGCTGTTGAAGATATGGCAAACCGACTGCTACGCGACCGCGACGCGTTACGCGTCGGCAAGAACTGGGCCTCCAACTTCGTTAAGCGACAACCACAGCTCAAGACGGTATTCAGCCGTAAATACGACTATTCTCGGGCCTTATGCGAAGATCCAGAGCTTATTCAAGGCTGGTTTGACCTTGTGCGCAATACAATTGCGAAATATGGGATCGTCGATGCCGAAATCTACAATTTCGACGAGACCGGCTTTATGATAGGTCAGATTACCGCATCGATGGTTGTTACGAGCTCTGAAAGGAAAGGCAAGCCTAAGCTAGCCCAGCCTGGCAATCGGGAATGAGCTACGGTGATCCAGGGCGTCAATTCCCAAGGCTGGACGGTCCCGCCATACATCATTGTCAAAGGCCAATACCACCTCTCTTCCTGGTACGAAAACGACGCGTTGCCGAAGGACTGGAGGATCACCGTGAGCCCAAATGGTTGAAATACGAACGAATTGACCGCAGATTGGCTAAAACACTTTGACAATACACCAAAGGCCGGAAATCGGGTGTATATCGCCTTCTTATCCTGGACGGCCACGAAAGCCACCATTCCGACGCCTTTGAGCAATATTGCAAAGAGAACAAGATTATTACACTTTGTATGCCTGCCCACTCTTCCCATATCCTCCAGCCACTAGATGTGGCATGTTTTGCGCCGTTAAAAAAGGCCTACGGCTCGCAAATCGAGAAGCTCGTCCGAGCCCGGATTTCGCATATCACAAAGGAGGACTTTCTTCCGGCATTTTGCGACCCGTTCAAGAAGAGCCTGACCGAAAGCAATATTCTTGCAGGCTTTCAAGGGGCTGGGCTTGTGCCTTTAAGCCCAGATATTGTTATTGAGAAGCTGGATGTGAAATTACAGACTCCAACGTCCTCCCGGCCCCCTACGCGGGAAACCCTTCCTTGGGCTTCTCGGACGCCAAACAGCCCAACCGAGGCTACTTCGCAATCCGAATTTATTAAATCTCGAATTGCCAGGCATCAAAATAGCCCCCCGACGTCAATTTACGATGCTATCGATCAGTTTTTGAAAGGAGCGCGGAGTATTATGCATAAGATGGCTTTACTCCAAGCTGAGGTCGCCGAACTTCGAGAGGCAAATGCTCTAATTAGCAAGCGGCGCAGGGCCAAAAAACACGAGTACGGCTTGGAGGATCACTTATGTCAGGGTACGGCTAGGCCGAAGGCAATAGTACAGAGTGATGGGGAGTAACGGGCGTCCCTCCTACGTAATACCGGGTGGTCACTGGCGGTCTCAGGTAGGGGTGCCCACGGTGATGCATTGATCTCTGCCCTCTCTATCTTCCTCCGTCTCGACTCCTTACTTATAGCCAGCCGAGGTTCTCTCTTGGATTCTGGATGTTTGCTTCCGTATGTCTGTGTTCCTCCGACTTCGGCCAATATCTTGGACAGCGGCTCCTTATCTGCAACCAAGCGATTCCCTATCCGTTGCAAACGGCTTCAACGGCTCTCATTCGCCACAAGCGGCTCTCTAGCCGCCACAAACGGCTTCCTACCTGGTGGAAGCCGGCCCGCCTCGGATGACACTTGTGGCTCTGACAACTCCTTCCCTATCCTACTTCGAGATGGTCGTTATATAGATAGCTAGGCCGCCGCTTGGACCCGGCATAACAGCAGGGTCGGCGATGCCAAGGATCTTGACTCTCGTCATCCCAAAGCTTCACATAGATTGTAATCATGATTCGGGAGTCTTTTGTCCGAAACACCCCTCCGGCGGCCCGCCGGTGTCCTGCGTTCAGTGTCCTGACACCCACTGGTGCCTATGGCATTCTGTTCTCTGACAACTTAATTCACAAGACGTACAAGATCTTCAAAATCAAAAGGACGTTGCGCAGCAAGTACAGCAGGAAATGCGTGGAAATAGCGCTGGATCAAATCGTGGCCAGCCACGGCAACGGCGCTGTGGCGTATGCGGGAAGACCGGGCATAATGCGCGAACCTGTCAGGTAGAGATAGAATGGGCAAGAGTATTCTGAGTAGTTTTAATTGATTTACGGCGTTGTCGTTGCGAAATCGTGTTGAATTCCATGTTTTGCTAGTTGGCGTGACCCGTTCGGTTGGGTGACCCGTTCGCTTGTGGACTACGTTAACTCTACTAACTGTTTTCCCTATTACTTTCGAAATTCCTCAATAGAATAAGGGAAGTCTTTATTCCTTATTATTTAAATTCCCAAAAGAACAAAGAACCTCTTTATTTTTAAATAGATAGGTCATAGTGCTGGCGATTACATAGCCACATAGTACTGTATATAGCAGTTAGTCGGACCAAATGTCAGTGATCCACTAATATTGAAGATCTTTTGGTCTATTGGCCTAGGGGTATGGTCCTTCCATTTTCAGGTCATCTTTTAATATCCTCTAACCGCATTGACCACCTTTTTGCATGCACCCCCATTTTGCAGGGAATTTCTACGCCTCAACAACACGACATCTCTCAATTTACCTCGCAATTGCTCCCTATCTACGTACAAAATGGCTAATCCAGTGGAGAATAGTCTGGACGATTTTGAGCAGCGAATCGAACGCGCTAAAGAGCTTGTCCGTCAGGGCTTTTCCCAGGCCGTAGCAGCTCATCGGTACGGTATCAAGGGGACTACACTGTCCTACCGTATTCGTCACGGTAATTCGCATCGCGACGCGGCCTCCAGGCAACAAAAGTTGACTCCAGAGCAAGAGGAGGTTATCGTGAACTGGATCCTACACGAAGAAGTGTGTGGACGGGCTCCTAGCAAGCGTTATGTGGCCGACTTCGCTGCCGAAATCCTCCTTGCTCAAAGGGATAACAATACACTCGGCCAACACTGGGTGGATCACTTCGTTAGCCGCCATCCACAGATACGTACCAAAATTGGGCGCGTCGTAGATGCTAGCCGAGTTAGAGCGTCCGATTCGAACAAGATCCGAGACTTCTACACCCTCCTCGAACGCTTACGTACGAAGTATCGTATCAAACCCGACAACGAGTATAGTGTGGATGAGACAGGTGTCCAAGAGGGGAATCTGGGAATGGTACGGTTATTGGGACGTCTAATTCACGCCGGGTACGCGTATCAAAGTCGGACGCTTCGTCGTGGTGCTCCTGGTTAGAGTACATTTCGCATACCCAACGGGGTACACCTGTCTGCGTATTTTCCGGCAAGAGAGTCCAAGCACAGTGGTTCCCAGACCAAAATATCCCTGAGTGGGAATACACCGCGACGAGTAAGGGCTGGAGTAATAAAGTTATCGCAAATAGGTGGTTAGATCAGGTTTTTCTCCCCGAGACGAAGCCTAGGGGTACCGAATGGCGACTCCTTATCCTCGACGGCCACCAGACACATATTCATGCCGAATTTATGTGGAAAGCCTACTCTAATAGAGTCGCCGTGCTGTATTTACCCTCAGACTGCAGTGACGATCTCCAGCCGTGCGATGTCGGGCCGTTCTCACCTTTGAAGACCTACTACCGCCAAGAGCTCAGGGCTTACGCTTCCTACAAGGCTACAGCCCAATTTACAAGCAACGTATGCTAGAAGCATATCTACGTGCCTCGGAGAGAGCCTTTACTACGGAAAATATTAAATCTGGCTGGCGGAAGACTGGTATATGGCCCCTAGGCTCCGAAGGACTAGTCGACGTATCTTGTGATCCTCCGCCTCATATATCACCACCTTTAGTTGCTTTTACTCCTCAGAAAGCGCAGTAACTATCTAGCCAACTACAGTCGATAGAGAAAGCCGAGGGCGGGGTATCTCGTAAGATTCGTACCCTAGTAGGCAAGGCGGGCAAGGCCCTTACACTCCAGGCCGCCGAGAATGCCAAATTACGTATCGAAAACGAGCAACTATATAAAGAACTCGATAAATACGCTCCAGATATACGCCAGCCCGTCGAGCCAGACCCGAATAAAGTATTCGTTAACTTATCAGCGATCCGAACAGCCCAGGACAAGCGAAATAAGCGAATACGGCCTATTTTACCGGATAAGCAGTTATAAATTGATACTTTTCTCGAAGGAAAGGTCCCTCCTAAAAATAGGGCTCGAAAGAATATATCTAAGTCTTCGGACACTTAAATTAAGTATGTTCTGTATATAAATACTATGGACGAAGTATTTAGGTTGATTCAGTTAGACCCTGCAAAATGGGGGTGTATGCAAAAAGGTGGTCAATGCGGTTAGTATATGTACAGGTCTGCAATCAGCAACCTTTCATCTGAGCATCAAACCAGGACGACATATGTGGAATTGGTGGCCTGAGGTCATGATGAGGTACACCCGAGAGACTTTAGTGCCATTGTGCGGGTTAGAAACCCCGTCATCACCCCCTCTCTCTCCCGGCTGTACCTCCTTTCACCTTCCTATATAGCCGGAACACCAGTACCAATACGGTCCCACAACGTACACTAAAATAATATCAATCATGTATTTTATATTTTCTGCCATTTCCTCTACTGTCCTAAATTACATCTCCTTGGTAGCAAGCAATCCTACACTTTTTTATTTCACAGTCCACAGCATAAGACATCGCTTCACATGTGTACTGTGGCACCTGAATTTAGCGAGAGTGAGGATTGGTTCATAGAAATGTTACAATAAGAGGTACGGAGGTACGTGAAAGGGGCTTGAAGGCAAACCAGGCTCACAATGACTATGTCAAGATGATCTATTCGGAGTTTTATTGCTCGGGGTTAAGGACTCAATGTACTAACAGAAATACGTCCCATATCTCCGGTTTAATTGCGGAAGTCCCAAGAGCTCTGCGCTTCCTCGGGGTATGCAACTATCTAAAAGCCCTCACGTCATTGAGCCCATCTAGGAAGTTTGCTAACACCGACACGGTTATCTCCGCTTCATCCGTCGCCATCCACTGCTTGGCCCGGCTGAGACCGTTCGGCTCGGAGTGGGATGGCCGACTTGGTGAATCTAGAAAGCTTCAATGTGCTTTTCTTATTAATACAACAAGAACACCCATAGAGGGATAGAAATGTTCACCCTGTGATGAAGTAAGTACTTATACCAAACTCTAAACGCCACCCCTGGGAATCAAGGCACTCTCAAATATCACCCCATCTTTATTGCTACCATCTTGTGGCATAACCAATACTTGCAAAGCATTCAAATACAATGTCTTCTAGTGGCAACTACATCAATAAAGTGGCCATCGTCGGCGTAAGTCTTCCATTCGCGTATTCAGGGGTTCCTTTCAAAAGTAACTCCTGGCTGACATGCACAATCAGGCAACTGGAACCGTCGGCAAGTTCATCGTCGAGGAGCTCCTGAAGGCGGGCAATCATGAAGTGACGGCGATTACGCGTGTCGATGGTTCGAGCACTATGCCCGCAGGTGTCAAGGTCGCCAAGGTGGACTACAACAACCCGTCCACCTTGGTCGATGCGCTGCAGGGTCAGGAAGCCCTCATCATCACCATGTCTGTTCGCGCCCCTAAGGACACGCAGGACAAGCTCGTAGAAGCTGCGGCCGTGGCGAATGTGCCTTACGTCCTGCCCAGCGATTGGTAAGCTGCTCTTGCCATTTTTGATCTTCGTTGCTGGACTGTTTCGAGGGTCCTAAAAATCTGCGAAAAGCAAGCTTCACCCCAGCGACATTTTTTGTACCTTCAAAGGCAATAATGAGATGGAAAATATGATATTAAATGATTAAAGGTGTCCGGACATGACCAATGAAGAGTTTGGTAACGATATATTCCTTGGTCCCGCAGAGCGAGCAACTCGGAAGAATATCGAGGACTTGGGAAAGAGTTCGTGGATGGCCATCATCTCGAGCTTCTGGTACGAGTTCAGCCTCGGAGGAGGGCCTGCAATGTACGGTCTTGATTATAAGGGCCGTAGCATGACCTTCTTTGATGACGGCGAGACCAAGATCAACACTATCGTGAGCTTTCCTACCCCAGTGCGAAAAAAAGAAATCAAATGATCAATGGTGCTTACAAACTTTGAAGACATTTCCTCAGAGTGGCCGGGCTGTTGCCAACTTGCTGGCTCTCCCCATCAATTCTGAGAACGGTCCCAGCTTGTCCAAGTACAAGAACAAATTTATTTACGTCTCATCCTTTTGTGTGAGCCAGAAGGACATGTTCAACTCGGTACTACGGGTTACAGGTACCAAGAACGAGGATTGGACGATAAACTACGAGGATTCAACCAAAAGGTTCGAGGATGGCAAGAAGGAAATGCGGAGCGGAAACCCGTTGGGTTTCAGGCAGGTGTTGTACTCCAGGGTCTTCTTCAAGGATGGACTGGGGAATTATGAGGCCACCAAGGGATTGGATAATGGGGCTTTGGGTCTCCCCGAGGAAGACTTGGACCAATTCACCATCGCTGCGATCCAGCTGGCTAAGTCTGACTTGGATTATGGGGAGTAATTGAAAGCAAAGAGTGCCTTGCAAGTGCCTAGCAAGGGAGCAGTAATTCAGCCTGGCTTGGCTTAACATAACTGATTATTTGAATAAGTTTGTGGATGCATATCTATGTAAAGTATTCTCATGCATTATGCACCCCCTGTTAGATTCTCAGACCATACTCGACCTGCTGTTTGTGAGATCTCCCGACGCTCCCCTCCGACACGTTTGAAGATTCGAGGCATAGTACATGGCCCCCGCAATGGTACTCGGATCTATAGGCAGATGAGGCCACCTGATAAGGAACGACGCCGCCACGACCATGATCATTATAGACAACAGGGTGACACCCACCCAAGTGCATACCTCGTGTGCGACGCATGTCTGCATGGACTTGTCCGGGACGTTGGCTACCAGAGCAGGGAGGAAGTAGGAGGTGATTGTCGTGAAGGCCACCACGCCCAGATAGGGGTCTGGCTGATGCCTCGTAAATGCCGACCAAAATCCCGAAAACGCATTCGTTGGTGGGTTTAGATAGACGGTCTCCCTTGTTATCGCACGTTTCGGGACTATCAGCTTGTACGGACTTACGAAGGCGGTTCCTGGTGACAGTGTTAGTTTAATGGTTTCGAGTTAGCATTTATTTTCTCGATACATACCGCTGAAGAAGGATCCCCACCACAGAGAAATGACAACCCCAACGCCAGTGAAAAGGAACCGTACTCCAAATGAATCGCGCTCCATGAACTGTCCAAACTTGGTGCTCGCTGTAGTGCCGTTATACACCACCGTGACGACGAGAGTAGTGCACAAAAGCGCCAAGAACGCCAGTCTACCAGTCGTGCTGAGGGCAAAGAATGGCATCGCCTTTTGCTTGCTTCTCCGCCGACTGGCAAAATCTACACTTCTCCGATCCTTCGGAAGGAGGTTTCCCGCATCATTCATTACGATTACGCCATACTTATGGCCCTCACTATTCTTCCAAATCACGAGGCCGAACCTCCTATCTCCAAACGCCCTGATGGCTTCCTTGTTCTTGATCTTCCCGTGTTTAGGCTTCATCCTTTTCAGCAGCGAACACATGTCGTCGTGGGTGGCCAGACGCAACATTTGAGCCATGTTCCAGGGGTTAGAGTCCACGCCCGTCTTCCATCTCCAGAGCACAATTCCAGCGATAACGAGGAGTAGCGTCATGATGGCGAGGAGCCCGACGATGGCTCGGGCTGGGCCGAGGTTCACACCGAGAGTCACGGCACAGAATGTGTCTCCAGATGAACACACCGGTAGGAGAATGCGTACGGCTTCCGCGCTCAGCGGTATTAATAATGCGCTTGCCAATACCAGGAACCCCGTCAGGGCCAGAAGACCGTTGCCCCTGAGTAGTGATGTAAATCGAGTCCATGCACCCTTGGGACCGCCGGGCTGGAGGCAAAGTGAATCCACAGTCGCTGCACCCCATGGCACTGTCAGTGCGTGGAAAGGTTGGTACATTTTGGCTGTTTGGTCCAAAATGCGGAATGGTATTGATAGTGCTGTGGCGAGAAGTATGGGCAGCATGATGCCGACGAAGTATTCGGCTGAAGAGATGTAGTACACATTTAAAAGCTTAGGGGCAGCCGTCATATCTCCGGAAGGGCGGGCTTTGCCCGTGGGACGGATGACGACTGTTTCTGTTTGCGTTTCTGGATACATAAGAATCGAAGTTTTGGTGGCGACTCCATTGGAATCATAGTATGTCATCGCCCTGGGAGTTTCGGTGATGAGCGTGATCATGGTGGATGTAGGACTACCAAACTGGTCCGTCATTGTGAGGGTGGAAGCCACGAGGTAAAATAATTTTGTAGAGACGGGTTTCCCGTTGGCGTCGGTAATGACGGTCGGTATTGATCCCTTCACCACCCATTCGACTGCAGTTTTCGTTGGGTGCATAGCCAAATCATACATGGTGCGAGTCGTCCTGACTGCTAGCTTTGTTACAATGGTCGTGGCGGTAGGGACCCCGTCAGCGTTTGTAAGGACGCTAGTTGATGGTACGAGGTATTGATCCCCCGTGCCCGTCGCTAGGGTTTCGATTGCATACGACTGAGATTTTTCATGACTGTCGAAGAGGTCAATTGACGTGGTGATTTCAACAAAGATTGCCCCTCCGTCATCGGCGGTGGATGTAGACGTCATTGTTGATTCTTCTATGATGTGTGTTTCCGAGATTACTGGCGGGGCTGTGATAGATCCTGCCGATTGCGTGTCTTGCCCTGGCCATCCCGTTGCCTGGTTTGGGGTTCCAGTCGCTTGATCAGGTGGTCCCGTCACTTGATTAGGAGGACTCGTTTCTTGGCCAGGATTTTTCGTAGCTTTATTGGGTGGCTCAGTTGCTTGATGACCTGGAGCCGTAGAATCCCCTGGATGCGTTTGAATCAATGTTGAATCTCCTGGAGAAATTGTATCATGTCCACTGTCAGATGTGGTAGTCGGGCCCTGCCCCGGCGGTTTCGTTGGTCTTTTGTCTGTGCTGGAAACTGGCGGTTTGGCAGGCCTGGAAGACGAACCAGAAGGAATTAAAACTATAGTTGGACTGGTGGGAGGGCGTTTGGTCGTTGACACCGGTAGGGTGGGGTCTGGTCCTTTTATGAACGTATTGGATGTAATAGAATCCCCGGGGGCGACCGTACCTGTAGACGTATTTGGAGGCGAGACAACGATGGTCCTGCCCCCGCTGGTTTGCGGCGGCCTACTTGGCTCAGTAACAGTTGGCGGTGACGGATAAATCGTTGCAGTCTGATCAGAGGGTAGCCGCGTTGTTGACGTTTGTTGAGGCGGCGGGATTGTCTTTGTCGTTTCTCCAGGTGGTGGCACATTTGTAGTGGTATCCTGAGGCAACGGTATTGTCTTTGTCGTATCTTCAGGCGGTGGCACATTTGTAGTGGTGTCCTGAGGCAGCGGTATTGTCTTCGTGGTATCTTTTGGCGGTGGCACATTTGTAGTAGTATCCTGAGGCAGCGGTATTGTTTTTGTCGTATCTTCAGGCGGTGTCAAACTCGTAGTAGTATCCTGAGGCGGTGGTATTGTCTTTGTGGTATCTTTTGGCGGTGGCACATTTGTAGTAGTATCCTGAGGCAGCGGTATTGTTTTTGTCGTATCTTCAGGCAGTGTCAAACTTGTAGTAGTATCCTGAGGCGGTGGTATTGTCTTTGTGGTATCTTTTGGCGGTGGCACATTTGTAGTAGTATCCTGAGGCGGCAGAACTGTCTTTGTAGTATCTTCTGGTGGTGGCACTTCCGCTGTAGTATCTGGAGGCGGCTGGCTTGTCGTGCTAGTGTCTTGGGGCGGCAGAACTGTCTTTGTCGTATCTTCTGGCGGTGGCATATTTGTAGTAGTATCTTGAGGCGGCGGGATTGTCTTTGTAGTATCTTCAGGGGGAGGCACTTCCGTTGTAGTATCTGGAGACGGCTGGTTTGTACTGCTAGTGTCTTGAGGCGGCAGAACTTTTGTTCTGGTATCTGGAGGTGGCTGTTTTGTCGTGCTAGTGTCTTGGGGCGGCGGAACTTCTGTTGCGGTGCCTTGTGATGGAATTCTTGTTGTGCTGTCTTGAGGCGGTAGAACTTTTGTACCAGTATCTTGAGGTGGTAAAACTGCTGTCTCCGTATCTTGAGGCGGCGGGATGCTTGTTGGAGTGTTTTGAGGTAGCGCAACTGACGTCACAGTCTCTTGAGGAGGCGGATCTGTGTGTGTTGGAATATGAATCGTCGTGGAGTCCACATGTGTCGTATCCTGTCCGCCATCTTCAGGGGCCTTTGTTGTGATAGGGTCGATTTTCGTGGTTTCTTCTGGCTGGGTCGTTGGTTGGGGCGGTTGTGTCTCTTGCTTGCGTGTTGCAGAGGGTTGACTTGTTGTACTGTCTTTCTCCTTAGTATGGGTGACTGGTGGGGGCTTCGTATTATGAGTTGTTTGTGGAGGTTCCGCGGGCTCTGTGGTGGAACTCCCCTCCTCAGTACGAGTCGCAGCGCTTGAGGTTGGGGCAACTATGGATGTTGTGGATGTCGAAAATGGCTCATCCGGCAAGACAGTCGTGGGTTTCAACTGCGAGTTTGGAGTTGCGGCTGTGGTGGGCGCCGGCTGATAAACTTGCGTTGGTGTCGCAGGCACACTTGAGATCTCAGTCGAAGTCTGCTCAGGGGTGGTCGCATCGGACGTTTGGACCAGATCCGGTTTACTCGTCTCGGTGGAGTACTGACGCTTTTGAAGCTCTTGCCCAGATGAACGAAGCCCTTTTCCAGGGAACACACTCCAGCGACCCAGATGTGGCCGGAAGCCAGTCACCAGTAAATGTCGGTTGCGAATTCGCACTTTAGCCGCGGTTTCGTTGTGCCGATTGCGAAGCTCCGGCATGCCTTCGGATGACCCATTGGGAAGAATGTGGACAGCAAGCTCAGTGAGGCTCAGCGCCACCACAAGAGTCATCAAAAGCATAATGAGGAATCTCAGCTTCAAGACGAAGGGCTTGTAGTTGTGATCTGAATTCGACGTCTTTTTCGCCTCCACTTGATCGACCACCTCCAAGGTGGAGACCTTAGGGGCACAGTAGAGGTATTTATCTTCATGCTGGTAGCCCACATATGTCGTCCCCTTATTCGAAGTCAGATACGTCGTCTCGGATCTCAGATCGCTGACTTGGCTGAGTGATGACGGCGCCCGTCCATAGTCTGGTGCGTAGTACTCGACATGGGCGCCTGCAAGTTCCGAAATGTCCAACTCTTCGGACTGGTTCGCCGGAAAGACGGTATTGGCCTCGATATTTGAGACTCTCTGATAGCTCGGATGATACAGATCTCGCAGGATTGCGGCGGAGTCATCTTCGTCTTCCTCGTCTTCCTCGTGTACTATTGACACTCGGCTCAGGATATGCCGTACTCCGCTCTGAAATCGTTCCCTCGCAGTTATCAATGCTTCCCGCTGCTGATGCTGCTCCTGTTCTTTCTGTTCTTTCTGTTCTTTCTGTTCTTTCTGTTCTTTCTGTTCTTTCTGTTCTTTCTGTTCTTTCTGTTCTTTCTGTTCTTTCTGTTCTTTCTGTTCTTTCTGTTCTTTC